ATGCTGAGGTTCGACTTGAGGCAGAGAGGCGTGAGGAGAGGGTGCAGGCAGGTGCTAGCAGCAGGGGTATTCCGCGCTGCAGGAGGTGTGGCAACACAGGACACAACAAGCGTACATGCAAGAAAGATACAGTAGAGATAGGCAATTAATTTAAGCTATTGCGCACTATTATATCTTGTTGTTGTGTTGAGTTATTCACGTTCAAAGATATATTGTTGCATTTAGTGATTCGCTCGGTGGGGTGATTCGCTCGGTGGTGGACCACGTTATCTATTGAGTGTGCGCATAATCTTACGGGTTAGTTCTTGGCAGCTGGGTCAGATTAGTCCTAGGTACATCGATGGTCGGGCCAATCGCGTCGCACCACCAAATAGTATAGTAATGCTGCTCCTTAGACATTGTTTGCAATTCGCATTTTTTGCTAAGTAGCGAAGTTACTGTACAGAAGTAAACGCAATAGATGAAAGACACTAGTCCTGCAATACCCAGTTTACAGGTAGATCATTACGTCACTATCACGGGCTGATATTGATCGAGCACATATGCATGCTATGGTTCGGATGAGAAATACAGTACCATCATTGTCAGCCCTGTTGACTCATGATGTGAATTTCCGTGGTGTCACTCCCTGTATCTCTCTTCTTGAACGCAATCAGATCTGGCTTTTTATTACCAGTCCAGTCCGCCACCGCAAACTCGTACAAGCCATTGCTCCTGAACAGCGGCGTCTCTGAGCGCAGGATGAAGTTTTTATACCTTGACGCTCCTGATAGCACATGCACCTCGGTGCATTTCCCACTCGTCCTGCTCTTCTTCACTACCACCAAGTCTGGCCGTCCGTCGCCGTTCCAGTCGGTGACTATAAAGTCAAACTTGGAGTCGGTTTCGTGCAAGCCGGTGCCGGTCTGCAGGATGAAGTTCTGGAAGTGATCATCGCCGCATAGAACGTGCACTTCAGTGGTCTTGGTCCCGGTGTCGCATCTTTTGATCGCGAATAAGTCCGGCTTATTGCCAGAGCCCCATCTTCCCATGCCAAATGACCATGTTTCGTCCGTTTCTTCGAGCTTAGTGCCGACCTGCAACAGTATGTCTTGGAACTTGGAGGCTCCGGAGAAGATGTGGACTTCAGTGCCGTTTGAGCTGGTGTACGATTTCTTGATCACGACGAGATCCAGTGTGCCGTCGCCGTTCCAGTCTGTGAGCGTGAAATCCAGCTGCTCAGTCCAGTTTTTCCGCAAGGGCGTGAAGTCTGGTGTGGCTATTCGGAGAATGAATCTTTGATAGTCGGAAGATCCATATAGGACGTCGATTTCGATGTTTTCATCCCGGGTACCCGTCCTCTTTACCGCAATCAAGTCTGGGGGGCCGTCTTTGGTTGAGTCGCCCATGAGAAGGCTGAATTGGTCGTTCGTCTCGTGCAGCATTGTGGGGACTTGCGAGACGAATTCGAAGTAGTCAGACCGAAGGGCAACGTCTCCTACTTCGCCACCCTCTTGAGAATTTTTAATCTCTTTGTGCAGTCGCCTGAATGCCTTTTCCCTGCCTTCCCCGTAGAATAGTGACATCTGAATGTCAAAAATGCCCAGCAGGGAATAGGCCATATCTTCTACACGCGTTGTGTTTCGTCCATTCGTCCATGACATCCGTTCGTCGACACTGAAGTGCGACAAAGCTTTTCCCTCGAGAGCTTTGATAGATATCCGAGTGATGTCGGCAATTTCCTGAACACGGGATGACCTGCTACCAAGCTGGTAGCCTTCTCTCGAAAAGAATTCGATGCATTTTGGAGCAAGGAGCTCCTGAAGTGTCCATCCCCTGGTGAACCACCTGCTCTTTTGGAACGATTGCCCATCTTTGGCCAAGCTATCGGACGACACATCGTCAAGGTATACGAAGCACTTCGCCGATTCTTGGTACCAGCGAAACATGCTGTTGATAGCCTCCAGAAGCTCCGTGCTGCTGGACTTGTCAATACAACATGTGTCAATCCAAAAGAACTTCAAGCCGTTGAGAGCAGCTTGCTTGGCACAGAAGTTGATTTTGCGAAAGCCGGCCTTCGTTGTACCTGTTCCGTTGGTCAAGTCCTGGAAGGTAACTTCGTCTTGATTCGCTCCCCAGGTGTGTGAAAGGATCGCATAAGGTGGAATCTGTTGATTGACTCGATATACAAGCCGAAAGCTGCTGTCGTCCTGGAGCTGCAATAGATGCATAATTGCGCCGAGGTACTAGCGCCAACCGAAGCTAACAGTTGTGTGTCGAACGTTGTTCAAGTGCGTAGAGTGGTTGAGCTTCAGAGGCAAAGGGAAGTGCGCGCTGATACATGCCTGTACTTTGACCTTCTTGAAAAGTCAGAGACTGATGTAGCAAGGTCGAATTCAAGCCTACCGAATTATAATTTTGCTCTAAGCGCCTCCGAACTCTAGTGCTTACACCGAGGCTATATATAGGAGACCGTTGCAGGGCATCTTCTCCTAGATTGGTCAAGCAGTCGGTGCTGATATGCAGAGCTCTGATACCCATGTCCCGTGTTAACATTACCAGAAACGGTAAGACAGAGGAGATATGTAGTAAATCGCTAGAAAGACAGCCAGGATATCTGTTTGTTCGGCCCTGTTCAAGCAACGTTCTAGCAGATTAGTAGTCAGGCGAAGCGAATGAATACACCCTGTTGTACATTCTGTCTTGGTTTTGCACATGAAAACCGTTGACGGCCTCCTCCCGTTTATCAATTCTATTTTGTGTGGAATATGGTCGGGGGACTGTGTCGGTGGACTGGGATGAAACGGAGTACTTTGCCCACCAACTAACATGACTCGGAATAACGGTGTGGTAAGCATCTGCAGTAGTTGGCAATGTAACACCCACATGTCCACATACATTTCTTGAAAGGTTCCCAGAGGTATCGATATCGTAATATAGGACTAATAACGTCGTGAAGCCTGAGAGATCAAGGCCAATATAATTCGAAAATGCAGTATCCCGCTCCTAATCCCAAACTCCAAATGCGCCGGTGTATAGAAACCTTCTTTCTGTCCTCTAGTTCCTCAGCGCGCGCAGACGCTCGGTGAAGGCATCCTCCTCTTGTTCTGTTGGACCAACCTTGGTCTTCGGCGCCTCCTGTAGATCGGACTGCAGCTCAACGCCTGCCTTGTCTGCAGCTTGTGCCATCATGCGATCGACGTCTTCCTGCGGGGTGCCGACTGCTGTTGCGGAGGAGGTGATGTCCTGGTAAAGCTCGGTCGCGGAGTCGACGTTCTCGAACTGCTTCTCAAAATCTACCATGACGGCAGCGATCTATATTTTGGTCAGCGGCTATTGCTCTGATCTGTCTCTTCCTCGTCTGATTGAGGGACATGTGCATCGTACCCTCTCAGGACTCATCGACTTCATAGCCACGTCCAAACTGCGGTTGACCTTCATCATGTTGCCTGTGATCTGGCGCATAGTAACAGCGGTCTGGACACGACCGGCGACGGCATCGACTCGTGAGGCTAATTGGAGGAGATTGAGCTTCTCATTCTGCTTGCGGACGGCGTTCTGCGCGTAGATGCGTGCGACATCGTTGTGACCCTGCTTCATAGCCTGTGTTGGTTAAGAATCAGCTGTGGTTCTCTGGGGTGTGCGCATGTATTGCGTACCTTCTCCAGCTTTGCTTTCTCTTGCGCCTCCTCCTTTCCTGCCTTGAGAGACTGGCGATTCAGCGACTTGGCTGTGAACTGTGAACATCAGTATAAGGGCATAGCTGGGCCGAGGTGAGTGCGCGGACGGACCTTGAGGTTGAAGAGCGCATTTTCGAGGCCGGACATAGTGGCGAAGAATGTTGTGTATGCGGTTGTGGTGTAAGGTCAGATGCAGGGTAGAGCTGTGCGGTGGTGCAAATGATAGGCAGAAGGTGGGTTGCGGCGGCTGACTGCCGTGGTCGGCGCGAGCAAACGTCACCGCCCCGCGCTTCAGGCTTGCACAGCGGCATGCTTCACTGGGCGCGACCATTCCCACGACTCAAAGACCAGGCATACGGCACGTTTTGAGGGCTCTTTGGTGCAACTGGGAAATGTGATGCAGTGTTAAAGGCTTTTGCCATGTAAGATTATGCTGGCTGTCTTGCAGCTGCTCGAAGAATTGCGGCCCGTGGATGCCAGCTGAATGCCTTTCAATGATGTGCCCAATCTATGTCCCGAACGCCATGTAGAGACCTGTGTGGTCAACGCCCTCAACGCCTCGCAGCCTGTATCGTATTTTTCGTTAAGGCGCCGTGCACTACGAAGGCGCCGAGTTGAACTTGTCGGTGGCCGAGCGGAACAGCTCTTCTTGCGCGCGAATGAGCTCCTCCTCGGTCATGCCGCTCTGCTCGATCTTGGTCTGCTTCTTTTCGCGGTTCTGCAATATGTTAGTATGAACGCAATCCCAAAAGAACAGATCAGCCCGCACCTGTTGCTGCTTCTTATAGTCCTGCGCGACGTCGAGAATCGCAGGCACGTACTCTCCAAAATCCAATTCTTCCAGCGCTGCCTTGACGTGCTCGCAGGCTATTGTCTTCTTTGCATCTTTCTCGGCAATCTCGTTGGCTTCGGAAGATATGAGAGTTATAAACTCGACGCAGCATTCTATAAGCAGGTCGCGGGAGTCTTTCGCGAATGTCATGCCGGGTTCTGTCGCCAGGATGTCCTGCACAATCTTCTGCACGGTCGCTGGACGCGTTAGTTGCCTGAGATGACACCAAAGTTCAACGTGAAACAAACCCTTTGGCAGCGACAGGTCATCGTTGCCGCCAAACTCGCGATCAGACATGGTGGGGTTTGCGCAGTAATTCAAGCTATCGCCGTTGTCGCGGCCTCGAGGACCCTAGACTTTTATGTACGCAGGAAAGTTGCTCCTTCCCCGACCGGCTACCAATCAGCGGCCGGCGAACAATTAGGTGTCAATGTCATTCGTGACACCATTTGGCATGGGCACCAGACCTGGTGCTGGGAATGACCGGCTCGGGAAATGCAGAACTCATCTTGGGGACTCGAGTTGACAGTCTTTCCGGTCTCGGTGCTCTCCATTCCTCAGGGCAGCTCGCCGGGTACATCAGCTGCTCAAACCAGCACATCACATGGAAGTCACTCGAGCCACTCGAATCACTCGAATCGCTTTACTCCCTACACCTACCAATGAACACAAATTCCGCCCTGCGGCTTATCAGCCCAGGGTCCTCACGGCCGCAACGCCTGCGGCGGCATATGCAGCTCGCCATGGGTGCATTCACACGGTGGATCATTGCATTGTTCCCTGTAACGACAGTTCCCACAAGACGCGCAGGGAGATTGGGCATTTCCTCGTGGATACCACTTCATTCCACTTGGTGCACCTCATCAGTCGTGAGGTCGTCCGCTGCCCACTTGATCAGGGACTGATACGGCGGAGTGGAGCCGCAGCACCGATTTTCCTCGGCGATTGGCACGCTTCCAGGGTCGTCTCGCTCGCCGATCCACGATGCCGGCGCCCGTCCACTTTTTCGTCATCGTGCCGCAACCCTTGGCGCGAGGGATGCCCTTGAGCTGCTGGGTCGCAGAAAAGGCGGCTGGTCGATGTCGACCTGCTTGTTGCCGAGCACAGACTAGGAGACACCAGTCTGCGAGTGGTGTCGACGGATGACAGTTTCTAGCTGCGGTGAACAATGTCAAACAAACCGTGCCAGTAGGAGCCCTGTCAGACAAAGTACACAGGGTCGCTGCCGGTTGCGTACTGCATGGTGCTGCAATCGCTGATACGTGCCAGACGGTGAATGCGCTGCCTGGCTCGTGTTCTCGAGGTCATGATTTTGTGTTGAGGTGAATGAGCGGCACTGCGCTTGCCTATCTCGCGCAGTCACCGCGGCGTCTGGCTATCTTACTGACCATATCAGCATCGACTTGCGCAAGGCATGTCACACAGCTGCCAATCGCTCAATAATTGTCCAGCGCGCGCCGCCAATATTATACAGTCCTCAGGCGCTGCCCGCCGTGGTGTGCAATTCCCAACGGCTCCCGAGATTCCGCCCTACGCATGAAGTTAGCTATTAGCCCTGCTAGCTTTGTTAGGTCCCTCTTGTCGACGCAGCGAAGGTACCCAGTCCAAGAACCGCGCTGTTCACCGCCGCCGCGCTGAGCCCTGGAAGAACTCGGGTGTCTTTGTTCGCGCGACGCTCGTGCAGGCCCGATAGAAGCCTTAGCAGAGTTTTCTCATTTCGTTGCAGCGGCTAACGCTGTTTTAGCGCAGCGAGCCAGGTTCCGGTTGATTATCTATTACATATGACTTCACGCCCGCAACACATGGACCTGGTCACCTCGTCTCCCGCGACTTCAAGCGTACGTACTGCCAGCACAGCATCCACCGCCAGCACATCGCGAGCCAGTCTCCGGGCAACAAACATCACCATTCCGTCCAGTGCTGCTGCCGTCGATGCTCGCCCTGCTCGACCCGGACTAGTATCCCGCGCTTCTGAACTCTCTCCCACCAAGGCCTCGCGACCCCGCCGTCACCTGTCAACCAAGTCCTCGAGTGCAGTGCCCACGCTGTCCGCTCTGAACGCCAGCAATAACGAGAAATCCGCACCCACCACCGCCACCAAAAAGCCCACCGCCCGCCCACCGCCCAAGTTTGGCAAGATGACCTCGTCCAACGGTGGCGCTCCCTCAGCCGCAGCCGACCTGCTGCGGCAAGCCATGGGCAACCAGAGGTAAGCTACTCCTGCGTTGTTTGTACTTTTCTTTTTTTGCAATTCGTTGGGCAGTGGTGAGGGTGTGCAAAGCTCGCAAAGGGCAGTTGCGGCCACGCTTAGTTCAGCACCAGCGGGCAGCCAGTAGCGCAGCTGCTTTGCCGATGTCAACGTTACACGCTCTCTGCCTGGGCCAGCTTTTTGCCGCAGCACCTGCCTTTCTCAGCAGCGTTATCCTCTCGCCCTCCCTCGCGAATATTTGTGCACGCCGACACGACTGCCCGCACCGCAGCAATAATGCCAGCCCACAACGCACTACTAACGCCGCACAGAGCAGCGACCCACGACGACGACGGCCACGATCAGATCGGTTCCACCAGCTCAACTCCACCCGGTGCCTCAACACCGCGCCCCGATCCTACTGATAAACGACTGCCGGGTATTCTGCACAGCTACTTTGGCCAGGTTCGTGATTCCCTCTTGCCCCAGAGCAAATCTTCGTTGTCAAAAAGTTCCAACCCCGCACCTGTTTCTTCAAACGCCGCTTCAATGGAACCCAAAGAGAAGGAAAGCACAGAAAAGGCCACCCCTCACCAGACTATGCTGCCTAGTCCTGCGCCCAGTGCCTCTTCTCGAACCCCCTCAGCTTCGCAGTTGAACGGTGAAACAGAGAAGCTAACAGAAGGCGACTTTTCGTCGCTGCAGAATCAGGCTACCCCTCCTCAGACCCCCCGCACACGCTCACAAGAAGGCAAGCCCCCAACATCGAGCTTGTCTCGCACCTCGCTTGCGTCGAGTAACTCGAGAGAGTCGAAGGGATCAAATAAGTCGGACAAGGTTGCCGCCGTTGTGGGAGCTCCTAAGGGGAAGCTCGCAGTGACCATCACAGAAGGACGAGACCTACGTGCAAGCACAGATCCCTACTGCGTTATCCAGTTCCAGTGGGCCGAGTACATCTCAGATGGACCAAAGCACGACGACACCAAGGGCCGCCGTGGTCCCATGCAGATGAGGAGGACTGAGAGCGAGATGCACAAGCCGATGGCTATCCCCATGAAGAGCCGTCAGAGCAGCAACAGCGGTCACAGCTCTGATGCTAGGGATGATACCTTCGAGGAGACGGCCAACCCCACTTGGGAGCACGAAGCCGAATTGTAGTTGCCCCGCATATTTGCTCCATCAATGCACCTACTGACAAAGTGCAGCGACGTCGTCGGCGACCACGCTGAGGTCGACATCTCCGTATACGACCGAGCGAATGGCGAGGCTTTCCTTGGTCATGTCCGTTTCTGCCCGAACCTGATCGAGTACAACCAGCCGTACGATTGCTGGTTTGCCCTCGAGCCTCGTGAGGGCGAGAGTGCCAAGGTCACTGGCGAGATCCATCTCAAGCTCGACTTTCACAAGATTGAAAAGAAATCTTACGGTCCGGAAGACTTTGAGATCTTGAAGCTCATCGGCAAAGGCACATTTGGTCAGGTATTTCAGGTTCGCAAGCGTGACACCAAGCGGATCTACGCCATGAAGGTCCTATCGAAGAAAGTCATTGTTCAGAAGAAGGAAGTAGCGCATACTCTGGGCGAACGCAATATCCTTGTCCGGACTGCCATGGCTGATTCCTCCTTCATCGTTGGCCTGAAATTTTCCTTCCAGACACCATCTGACCTCTACCTGGTCACTGACTACATGTCTGGTGGTGAACTCTTCTGGCATCTTCAAAGGGAGGGTCGCTTCCAGGAGGCTCGTGCGAAGTTCTACATCGCTGAGCTGATCTTGGCTCTGCAACATTTGCACGAGCACAACATTGTCTACCGTGATCTGAAGCCAGAGAACATTTTGCTGGATGCCAATGGCCATATTGCACTTTGCGATTTCGGTCTTTCTAAGGCTAACCTTACCGAGAACGCAACCACCAACACATTTTGCGGTACTACCGAGTACCTGGCGCCCGAGGTACTTCTGGACGAGCATGGTTACACCAAAATGGTCGATTTCTGGTCTCTCGGTGTGCTAGTCTTCGAGATGTGCTGCGGCTGGAGTCCCTTCTACGCAGAAGATACCCAGCAGATGTACAAGAACATTGCATTCGGAAAGGTTAGGTTCCCCAGGGATGCATTGAGCACTGAAGGTCGCAACTTTGTGAAAGGCCTCCTGAACAGGAACCCGAAGCACAGACTTGGCGCCACCCGAGATGCGTTAGAGCTGAAGGAGCACCCATTCTTTGCCGACATCGACTGGGATGCTCTTTCAAAGAAAAACGTTGTGCCACCCTTCAAGCCCAAGCTTAAGGGAGAACTTGACGTTTCCAACTTCGACCCCGAGTTCACAAATGCGCTCAACGGCAATGGATCTCTGAACGCTCGTGCTGCTGCGTTGGCGTCCGGTGTCAATCCCGCCTCGACGCCGCTCTCACCGACGATGCAGGCCAATTTTGCTGGTTTCACATTCACGGGCGAAAGTACCATGGAGCAACAGTTCGGTGGCAGCAGGACTCAAAATGACCACGAACGTATGGAAGAAGACGACAAGGACGACATCAACTGGGACAAGCCAGCTGGGCGCGGAGATAGGATGTCCGGCGTCATTCCCAGCAACAACGAGCACGATATCTTCAATCATGGCCAAATGGACGTCTAAAGGAGCGTCCTCATTCGAGGGCTGGTTCGACAAAAGTAATTCAGCAGCGCTGTTATGAGTTCTACGAACCGTCATTGGGTGGCCTGGACGCGCCATTGACTTATCGTTCGTCTTTGTTCTGGATACCCACGCCTATCCTTCACGAAGGCCGCGAATTGCGTTCGTTGCCTGTCGCATATCTTTTCGCTTTGCACGTAGGCTTTTGCCATACGTTTGACCACGTTTTCCGCGAGCACATGAACGACATCGAGTGCCACATCAGAGCACCATTACGTGCGGTCAATGGGACCGATCTTGGAATCTACATACCACCTACAGAACCTGAGCGTCCATTCGTGTTACAAACAGGAGAATACACGACCGAGTATGCCTCAGAGGTATGATGTTGCTTGGAATGCCGGACATGGATTTTCATTTCTAAGGGTTGCCTTCATTGCATTGCGTGGGGTGCTTTCGCGAGGCATTGTGCTTGTTTTGTGGTCATTCACTCTTGCTGGCGTATGGTTTATTCGTTGTGCATCAAGCATGTTTCTGTTGCGCGCTTGAGCATGTTTGAGTTTGGGTCATCGCATCGTCTTCAATGCCAATGAGTGGGCTGGATAAGGGTCAAATAAGGCTAGCACTCTGTACATTTGAACTGCACAAATATGAATACCGAGACCTACGGTAATGGTAATGAGACAATATGACAAATACCCTGTTTCAGCATCGGACATTCTGTAAACATCCCAAGATCGTCTGGCTGCGGTGCCGATTTTGGTCTGCCTAGGCCGTACTTGGTATGGACGATTGCGAGCTGGTGAATCGACCTCGACGACCTCGGTAAACCTGGAGCTTGGAACCGTGATTGCCGCCCCGCTCACACGTCAAACTTCTCAAAGCTTAGGTATTTAGGATCCAAGTACCTTCAATATACAGTCATAAAGCATACAAGTCGCATACTAGCACGTTCATCATGAGCGAGAAGGCAGGTCCCGGTGCTGGTTTTGAGTTCCCCAGCTACGAGGTTTCGTGGATGAAGCGTGATCTGTTGCTTTTTGCAACCAGCATCGGCGCTACTTACCCTGACGAACTACACTTCCTCTATGTGAGTTACACTAACACAGGCAATGCAGGTTCTTGTTAACAGCTACTTCAGGAACTGCACCCTAGATTCGCAGCGTTCCCCACATACCCCGTCATCTTACCTTTCAAGCGCACCGACCAGGAAGTGGTCGACTTCTACGTCCGCTCGAATTCCGAGCCTATCAAAGGCGTACCCAAGTTCGACACCACGCGTGTTGTTGACGGCGAGCGCAAGGTTGAGTTCCTCAAGCCCATTCCCGTCTCCAGTGAGGGTCGCAAGTTCGAGATCAGGAGCAAGGTGCTCGGCGTCTACGACAAGGGAAAGCCCGGCACAGTAGTCGAGACAGAGCAGAGGCTTGTAGATGCCGAGACTGGCGAGACATACAGCAGAGCTATTGGCAGTGGCTTCTACGTCGGTCAGGGAGGATGGGGAGGCCCCAAGGGTGAGCGCATTCCTCTCACGCATCTACAATGAACGCAGACTAACAATCATGTAGGCCCCAAGGTCCCCAACTACCCAGCTCCAGAGCGCGCGCCAGACGCGACCCGCACCGTCCAGACCACCATGGAGACTGTCCATCTCTACCGCCTGAACGGCGACTACAACCCGCTCCACGCCGATCCCGAGCCCGGCAAGAAGATGGGCTTCGGCGGCCCCATAATCCACGGCCTGTTCAGCTGGAACTCATCTGCACACGCCGTCCTGCAGGCATTCGGCGCAAGCAAGCCAGAGAACCTCAAGGAGTTCCAGGCTCGTTTTGCAGCGCCCGTGAAGCCTGCTGACAAGCTCATCATCGAGATGTGGAGGACAGGGGAAAAACATGACAATGGCTTCGAGGAGATTAGATTTGCCGTGCGCGTGGAGGGTGGAAAGACGGTCTTGACGAATGGAAGGGCGATCGTCAAGGTCGAGGGCCCGATCAAGTCTAAGTTGTAGATGTTGTACGAACAGTCAAAGCAAAATGAAAATCTTCGTCTTTAAGCCTCGTAGCCGTCACCTTGCCGTGTTCGCACTCGCACCAGCCATGTGGAGTTCGCTCACCAGTCGAGTTAGATCCTCCGCGACCTGACCGAGATCTGATCTGATAAGATGAAGGCACAGAATCACGTGCAGCTCGTCTTCATGCCTCGGAAACTGAAACACTCCAGACGACGACCAACACCAGCTGTTTCCGGCAAGCCCGGCACTAGTAACGACCGGCTCCTGCCTAAGGAAGTAAGAGACGATGCTTTGTTGGTTTCAATCGAGTTTGCGCTGAACCAGGGGCTCAGTCTTTGTTACCCCGACTCGCCGGCTCTCCAACACCAACACACCGTTCACAAGCATGAGATAGTCGCGGCACCTTTTGGTCCAGTATAGATCAGTAGTAATTGGCGCGTGCCGTATCTTCCAATCGCGCACATTATGTTGTTCTCCCTCCCATCTTCCCTTGCAACCCTGACCTACCTCCTCGCCGCAACCCCGACACACGCCTACAAGCCGCTCTCAGACAGCTTTCTCAAAGCCATACCCTCGCCGGGCGACCTCTTCGACTATCAAACGGGGCCCCTCCTTGCGCCCATTCTCATTCCCCGCGTTCCCGGCACCGCAGGCCAGACGACCACGCAACAGCACTTCGTCTCGTACTTCCAGCGCGAACTCCCAAAATGGGATATCTCGTGGCAGAACAGCACGGCCACAACACCCACCTCCCGCGGCAAACAGCTGCCGTTCCAGAACCTGATTTTCAAGCGCGAGCCGCCATGGGTCAAGCCGGGACAGGCGAATCTGCTCACGCTGGTTGCGCACTACGATAGCAAGATTGCACCGAAGGGATTCATTGGCGCGACGGACTCGGCTGCCCCGTGTGCGATGCTGACGTGGATTGCCAAGGTCGTAGACGGGTATATGCAGCGCATGTACGATGAGATGCAGGAACTGCAGGAAGGCGGGACGGTGGAGATGGACATGGGGATCCAGATCCTGCTCTTAGACGGCGAAGAAGCCTTCCAATCGTGGACAGACACAGACAGCCTATACGGCGCAAGGTGCGTGATCCCTCCACTCAGCACCAGGCGCCGAGTCGCAACGGGCGTGCACGCTAACATTCGACGCAGGAGTCTTGCAACAGAATGGGCAGGCACACGCAACCCGCCCTCTTCAAAGTTCTACCAGTACCGCACACCCCTCAGCCAGATCTCGCTGTTCGTGCTGCTCGATCTCCTCGGCAGCGCGGGGCCGAGCGTGCCCTCTTACTTCCCCACAACGCACTGGGCATACCGCCACCTCTCGTCAGTTGAGTCGCGCCTCCGAGACCTGAAGCTCCTCGAATCGAGCCCGCAAACGCCGTTTCTGCCCGACGTGAACATGACGATGGCGAGCTTCGGAGGGATATCAGATGACCATCTGCCGTTTATACATCAGGGCGTGGAAGTGCTGCATATTATCCCTAGTCCATTCCCTCATGTCTGGCATACGATGCAGGATGACGGGGCACATTTGGATGCGAAGACGGTGAAGGATTGGGCGAAAATTGTCGCTGGGTTTGTGTTGGAATGGTTGGATATGATGGAGGTGTGGGATGGGGACGAGGAGGTGGCTGGAGATGGCAGTGGGAGTGGAAATGGGGCGCTGAGAGGGTGAGATTGATCAGAAGAAATGTATTGGATGTTGCCTGGATTGGTCTTGCTCAGGAATCTCTTCGAACACACGGTGAGAAGGCAGCTATGGTGAGTGAAGACGCTCTGCTTCAGAGGGACTGCACACCGCATTTCATATGCCGGACTTATCTTCTAACGGTACTTCTTAGCGATGATCTCTGCAGCTCTTTCCGCAATCCCATACACCGCCGTCTGGATATTCGCACTACTCATAATCGGAATCACGCTCGCATCCACAACCCGCAGATTCCTCACCCCATACACCTTCAACTCGGGATCAACGACCCCTCCATTCTCCTTCGTCGGCATAGCACACGTCTCCAGCAGATGGTAGAACGTGCTCACATTCTCGCGTACGTATGCTTCCCACTGCTCGTCCGTCTGCGTGTCGAAGCCGGGATCGTACTCCTTGGCCCAGAGCTCTTTGAACGGGCTCGACGTACCCATCTTGCGGAGGTATTTGGCTGCCTCTTTGGTCGCTTCCAGGTCGAATGCGTTGCTGATGTAGCGCGGGTCGATGAGGGGTTTGGCGGACGCGTTGGCGCCGCTGATGTGCACTGAACCGCGGGTGAAGGAGTGCATGACGCCTGCCAGCGTACTTTTTACCGTATCCGGATGTGATGTTTGCTGGGTAGCCGCGCGTGCCGATGTACCCGTCGCCAAAGACGACTTGGAGGTCGGGCGCGCGGGATGTCGGGTCAGAGAGGAGAGAAAGCTTCATGCGGTCAATCACGTTGGATGGGTCAGCAACGGACCTCGCGAGCTGTAAAAGTCGGGTGCTTTTGCTGGCTGCTGTTTGCCACTTCAAGAAACCATAGCAGATGCCGCTGTACTGGTAGAGGGAAGTGTGCCCTTGGCGCTATAATTCCAGTTCGATCTCGGCACGAGTCTGGTTAAAGCGCAGGACGTCTAGGTCGGTGATGTTTGGCTGAAGTTCGTAGGTTGTCTGGATGCGCAGATGGTCTTGCAGATTTTCGCCTACGCCAGCAAGATCAATCTTCTGCTCGATACCGGCCTCAGCGAGGATGTCTTTGCGTCCAATTCCAGAGAGCTCTAGTAACTTGGGTGAGAGCAGACTACCCGCTGACAAGATTACCTCCTTTATGGCCTTGATCTTCTTACCGCTTGAGAGCACAACTGCAGTAGCGCTTGAACCATTATTGCCTCGAACCTGGGGCTTTCCCGGTCCATATATCATCAGATCGTTAGGCTGGGCCAGTATCCTGCCAAAACGCACCCCTCGCAACAAGGAGGCTACAGCTACGGATCCAGATCGCGAAGTGGATACTCGAAGCATCAGATCTCGACCTTACGACCGGGTCAAGGAAGACGCGATTCATCGGTGGCAAGGAGCGAGGATAGCGAGATACCCTTGAAACCGGTTATTGAGAAAACGACAGAGGTACACATCCATTGAGTGTGCAGACCGAGTATATAGAGAGGGCGGCTTTTCTCATTCTCTAGAATGTACATCCATCAAGCATTGAGCTCAGAGCCTCTCGCATTACACGTCGATACGACATAACCTCCTGTTGAAACAGGAAACAAACGTAAAATAAAAACTTTACGCACTCAACGAACATTCACTATCAGAAGGGCGCAATTGAAAATGAAGAGAGACCGTTGTAAACACGTAGATGATTTGCCTGTGAGACAGGGCACTACAGACAAGGGTGATATTGTGAGCATGAGAGAGCAACGCGCATGCTACCCAAATCTAGTCTTACGACCAGGCCAATTCAACAGACTGTACAGTGATCGTTTGGATACTCATCAATTGAACGGTAAACAACAAAGGCACATGGGATTGCATCGAAAAAAACAAAGCCCAAAAGGCTTTTGTCGTGGACAATATCCGCTATAAACTACTCACCTTTTTTTTTAGCTCACACGCTACATCTACGTTCCTTTTAAAATCCAATTCCTATTGCTGGCCTGGCCACACAGCATCAGCAATGCTCCTCACAAGCTGCAGCTTCTTGCGCATGTCCTCGTAGCCCAGCGAATTGCCCTCCGCATGCGAAGCGAATCCACACTGCGGGCTTACACAGCACTGCTGAATAGCATCCTCACGAGACTGTCCAGTGCCCTTCGCGATCCAGTCAGCGGCCTGGTTAACGCGAGCAATCATCTCGTCCTTGCTTTCGAGCTCGGGGAACTTCGATGTGATGACGCCGAGGACAACGTTCTTGTTCTTAGGCAGATGCGCAAGAGGCTCGAAGCCTCCGGCACGGGGGGTATCGTATTCGAGGTAGTAGGTGTCGACGTTCAGGTCCTGCAATTGTCAGCAATGGTTTCTGATGTAGCGCTGAGGTCACGCACCTGGAACAGCTTCTTGGCGATGTTGTCGTAAGCGCCTTCTGAGAAGTGGCGGCTGCCCACGTAGTTGCCTCTGCACAGGTGAATGCCAAGATGCATATCCGATGGGCGCTCGAAGCACTTATTGTAGAACTTGACGTATGCGTCAAACATCTCGTCAGCTGTGCGGTTGTTCTCCTTGTCTGCAGCCCAGCCCTCCAACATGTCCTTCGAACAGAAGTACGCCAGGTTGGGATCGTCGATCTGGATGTTCCTGATGCCTTGCGCGTGTAGAATCTTCAGCTCCTTTTGGTATGCCTTCGCTACATCCTCAAAGTATTCCTCATCGTTCGCATACACCTCCTTGGGGAAGCTGCGTCCGTTCAAGTAACGGAAGTGGTACCAGCTCGGGGAGATCAGGGTGATTTTGATGTTGTTCCACTCGCTCTCGGGGAGTAAGCTCTTCATGAGATCTACTTCGTACTGGTTGCTCGACTTGCCTGTGTGGCTGATCTTGTCAACACAGACAGTAACATGGTTAGGGACCTCCTTAGCCTCCATGAAGGACTTGACGTCAGGCGCGTAGGGGCGGAAGATGCTAGCATCAAACCCTTTCGGAAAACCGAGCTGAAGCTCCTTCATGCCATTCAGGGTCTCGAAGAAGGAGCCCCAGAACATGTGCCTTCACAATGTCAGCTGGAGAGATCAGCACATGAGGCGCGCCACTGACCTAGTGTACTCTCCACTGGATACGACCTTGAGACCACAGTCCTGCTGGAACTTCACAACCTCTGCCACCGCCTTCTTCTCAAGGGGGACCAGATCCTCTGGTTGAGCCCTGCCCGAGGCAACATCATACCTCTTCTGAACCAGCTCCTGGGGTCGAAGAAGAGAGCCTACGTGCTCGGCGCGGAAAGGTGGGCTTCTCTTGGGGGACGACATGTTCAATGGCAATTTCTGATGTCAGCAAAGAGGATTCGAGTTCAGACCAAAGATGCTAATGGGAGCTTCGCCCCTCTTCTAGGCTGGGCGCCCCGCATGCACCCTGGATCAATCGCTCATCTTGATCCGTGGAGCAGTTCAGCCCTGACGCCCAAGCTCAGGCGCAGCACTCGAGTAAAGGGAACGGGGAACTCAGAGGCCTTCTATTGGAGGCGAATGTTGTGGGATGTGGGATCCTGTGGTGGGGCCTCAATTTTCTCGACTTTGCCCCACATCTCTCCAGCAGACACCTCCCGTCGGCAGGACACCTCGTACTTCGTCGTCGCTGTCCACGGCAATTCAACAGGATTGCTGCGGATGTCACTTGCCAACACCGCTTGCGGAATATAGGAACATCATTGGCGGCCACCTTCTCCTAATCTATTGCCTTCAAGCACACGACATCACAGTACGGTCACATCCAGCACCTCAAGATGCGCTTGTTCCTCTGCTGCGGCGTATTTATACATGTGCCTTTCACAAAGAAAGAAGAGCTGACACATATACCTGGAACTTCCACGCATGGACTGGGCCAGCCAACGCCTATAGACCCCAGGACAGGCCGGACGCGAGCCGACCTGAAGATGTGAGGTGGAGAACACCACACCAAGATTCACTCGACGATGACGACAGCATGTGGACATAAGGCAGATTGCTAGGGTACTTCTGTCAGCAACGAATGAATGGCCATTGTTTTCCGCGGCGAAGCATGAATGCCGCTGTTCGGAGAGAGCTACCCCGCTAAGTGGGATGCATACAAATGTCGCAACATCTCGCGCCATGGAGGCTCTCGAACATCTTTCAGGCTTTCAACCCACCCCAAATCACTTCATCCTTACATCAATCGAATTGAACACCTCCAAAATCACCCACAATGACTCGTGTTCTGCTTACTGGAGCAAGCGGCTTCATCGCCGCACACACCTTGGACATCCTCCTGGAGCGCGGCCACTCTGTCGTTGGCACAGTCCGCTCACAAGAGAAGGCCGACAAAATTAAGGCGCAATACCAGGGAAAGTACGAGGACCAGCTCAGCTTCGCCATTGTTCCGGATATCGCACAGCCAGGTGCTTTCGATGAGGCTGTCAAGTCAGACCCTCCATTCGAGGCGGTGCTCCACACAGCCAGCCCGTTCCACTTCAACGTCACCGACGTGCAGAAGGTAAGATGCTCAGATGGAACACAGTAGCTGTTGCTGATATTAGCAGGACCTTATTGACCCCGCAGTCATTGGTACAACCGGCATCCTCAGCTCCATCAAGAAGAGCGCACCCTCAGTAAAGCATGTCGTCATCACATCGTCTTTTGCCGCCATCATCCAGGCCGATAAGGGCTTCTGGCCCGGTCACGAATACTCAGAGGCCGACTGGAACCCCATCACCTCCGAGCAAGCGACCGAGAACCCCATGCTAGGCTATCGAGCAAGCAAGACCTTTGCCGAGAAGGCAGCCTGGGAGTTTCTCGAGAAGGAGAAGCCCAACTTCACCATCGCTACTATCAACCCACCGATGGTGTTCGGACCCATTGTCCACGCCCTCGACTCCCTCGACAACCTGAACACATCCAACGAGCGCATCCGCAACGCTGTGCAGGGCAAGTTCAAGGACGAGATTCCCCCCTCGGGCGTGCACTTCTGGGTCGACGTGCGGGACGTCGCAGAAGCACATGTCAACGCATTCGAGAAGCCCGATGCCGCGAACAAGCGCTTCTTTGTCACCGCTGGATACTTCTCGAACAAGGAGATCACCCAGATCATCAAGAAGAACTTCCCGCAGTACAAGGATCTCCCCAGCGACTCGACACCCGGCGGCGACTACCCCGAGGGCACACCAGACAAGGGCCTGTACACATACAACAACAAGCGCTCGATCGAGGTGCTGGGTCTGAAGTACAAGTCGCTGGAGCAATCCATTGTTGACTCTGTGAAGTCTTTCCAAGCAAAGGGTTTGTAGGGTATTGGAAACGAGATGGAAATATAGATAGCATTGATAGATTGTAGACTACGTCTAGATAATGTGGATTGGCAAAGCGTGAATCAAAACCTGCGACAGTATGTCAGCGTATGTTGCCATGAGCTTGTGAAGAGAATAGCAAAGTGCGAATAGCAATCAGCCTGTTGAGCTTGAAAAATTTGGACTTCATCGTCGTTTTGACTCGGAAGTAACGTTTGAAGTAATGAATCATCATAATGCGGGATGGAGAAGCGTGGTGTGTACTTACAGTGGGTATCGTTGAGCAGCTCGCACGCCTGAACGTTAGAAAATGCAGACGATTAGAGCTTCACGACAGTGCGCGGGCGACGCCAGTGGAGTCTCGTCTGCCGACGCGGCTTGTAAAGCCCGCCGTTCGTTGCGGTCACTGTTAGAACATCCACCTAGGTCGTGTGATTGCATCGTGCCTTTCCGAGTGACTCTTACTCGACATCAGAAGGACGTGGTTTGCAGCAATTTGCTGCGCTATCCAGGTTCAAAGTGGTGTGTTGTGGAATTGAAAGTAGGACGAAGCGCGTCGAAGAAGAAAAGTAAGCACGCACGGAGGATTCTCGGACCGCTGCTGCCCCACCAGCCGTCAAGCAAGACGACCTTTTGACTGTGCCCAAACACGCCCAACTTGTGACAACACCAGCCCCTCAGCCTTTGTGCGCAGCCTCAGTAAAACTCTCCTCGACCTAAATTCACAGCGTCAAGCTTCAGATCCAGCAAAATGTGTACGTCACTTCTACCCCGCATCGAGCATGCCTTGGACTGACAGCAAGAAGCTTTCGAAGAAGTCGGCAGTATGTATACCGCAGACCATGGCGCGACCGCTTTCGACCAGCTAGACCTATGCGCCACACAGTGAACTGCGGCTGATCCCGAACAGAGCAGTTCGTCGAGTACTACTACAAGACCTTCGATGAGAACCGCGCTGCTCTCGCTCCGCTTTACGTATGCGCATCACGCCCGCAACTTTGGAAATGCAATGGCTGATGGCTCCGGACAGCGCGACCACTCCATGCTTACATTTGAGGCCTCTGGTATCCTCGGTGCACCGGCTATCGTTGAGAAGCTCCAGGTGAATATGACATCAGGCTGAAGGAGGACTCGGCTGATCCCCGCAGAACTTGCCCTTCCAGCAGGTCCAGCACCGCACCGACACGCTCGATGCCCAGCCCTCCGGCCAGAACGGTGTTCTCGTCCTCGTTACCGGCGCACTCCTCGTACGTATAGGAAGAAGCACGTGTTGGATATGGCTAACAACAACAGGTTGAGGGGTCAGAGAGGCCCATGAGCTTCACCCAGGCGTTCAACCTGCAGCAGGACAACGGCAGCTACTACGTCCTCAACGATGTCTTCCGCCTCGTATACCCTGCCGCATAAACGTCTGCCCTGCAGTTGAGACGATTGACGACGACATTTTGTTTTGGAGCATTTTCGCGAGGACGGCGGGATATGGGGTAGGAAAAGGTGGTGGAACAATTGCTTGACACGGCCGTGGGCACGAGCATTGGATGCTGTTTCGACGCCCGTCCTCGGACACTGACGATATGTAGCACCGCTAGATTGGCTGCAATGCATGTGCGTTTTACACACCGTCCTTCTCCAGCCTCGCGGCTCGTCCCGCGACAATATCCGCTTTCCACGCTCGTGTTGCTCTTATCCGAGCGGGGCCTCCTTTTCCGGTCATGTGATGGTGGGGATGATACCTTAGCCGCAGGATGAGCTCTGTTGTTCTCCGCCCGAATCCATTGCCGAAGCTCCAAATCGGAGCTGTAACATCATCGTTATGTCTATTTTCCGCGGCGAGCCTCCACGCTTTTTCTTTCCACTACCTTCTTGACTTTTTGCCTCTCTCCTACACCACCAAACTGTCTTGGACCCTCATTCTGCAATTAGCGTTTCCTACTTGACAATGGCGTTCGTACAGAAAGGCCTCAAGAACATCCTCCAGAAGAACCCCAACGACGTGGTCATTCTCTCAGCGCTGCGCACCCCAGTGACGCGGGCGAAGAAGGGAGGTCTGCGCGATGCCTACGACCACGAGATGCTCGGCGCGGTACGTCACACCATCGTCCCGTTGAAGCGATACTAACGAACGTCAAGGTCCTCAAAGCCACGGTCCAGAAATTCCCCAACCTCGACCCCGCGAAAATAGACGACATCTGCATCGGCACGGTGCTCGCAGAGCTCGGCGGCTCAAAAGCCGGCCGCATGGCCGCAAACCATGTCGGCATCCCGACCACGACATCCTTCAGCACGGTGAACCGGGCCTGCGCATCAGGCCTGAGCGCCATCACAAGCATCGCGAACTCGATCGCGGTCGGGCAAATCGACGTGGGCATCGCAGGCGGCATGGAGAGCATGACGCGCAACTACGGCAGCCGCGCGATCCCAACCGAGCTCTGGCCCGAGATGAAAGAGTCCCCCGTGAAAGAGGCGCGCGAGTGCATCATGAACATGGGCATCACGTCCGAGAATGTCGCGGCCCGGTACGGCGTCAGCCGCGGCGACCAGGACGCCTTCGCCGCCGAGAGCCAGCGGCGCGCGGCGCACGCGCAGAAAGCGGGCTTCTTCGACAAGGAAATCGTGCCTGTTTCCACACGCTGGATCGAACCCGAGACGCCCGAGAGCGTCAAGGAGGTCACCGTGACCAAGGACGACGGCATCCGCCCCACCACGACGCTCGAGAAGCTGAGCGCCATGAAGCCCGCGTTCAAAAGCGACGGCACGTCGACCGCCGGAAACTCGTCGCAGGTGTCCGACGGCGCCAGCGCGGCGCTCATGATGCGCCGCTCCGCCGCGGCGCAGCTCGGGCTCAGCGACCACATCATCGGGAAATGGGCGGGGACGCAGGTCGTTGGCTGCGCGCCGGACGAGATGGGTGTCGGGCCTGCGTTGGCGATTCCCGCGCTTCTCGAGTACACTGGTGTGGAGAAGAGCGAGGTAGATGTGTGGGAGATCAACGAGGCGTTTGCGAGTCAGGCGCTGCATTGCATTCGCACGCTGGGCTTGGAGGGGAATATGGATAAAATTAATCCGAATGGAGGCGCGATTGCGCTGGGACATCCGCTTGGGGCGACGAGCGGACGGATGTTGGCTACCATGTTGAGCGAGATGGGGCGCAACGGGCAGCAGGTCGGTGTTATGAGTAAGTGTATTGGGACGGGGATGGGCATGGCTAGTCTGTTTGTCAGAGAGTAGAGGGATCAAAGGGAAAGAAAAAAGAAAGCAAGAGAAAGATGCACCAAGCGAATATCAAGACTTTCATACATGCGAACCCCGGGGTATCGTTGTGCACCCGTAACTCCTGCCTTTTTGTAACGGAACTGGCTCTTAGATATCCTTGGCATCCTTGCCTTTACCCTTTTTCTTCTTGCTTCGCTCGGCGAGCAGTTCGTCGAGATAGCTCGTCGGCTTGGCTCTGCTCTTCTTGACACGCTTTTTAGGCTTGAGATCGATGTCGTCGTCTGAGTCGTCCTTTGGTTGCTCCTTGGACCTGGCAGCATCATTGGACTCGTCGTCTGCCTCCACGGGCCCAGTGCCTTCGTTCTTTTTCTTGGACTCGACGCTCTTCGACTTCGGCTGGGGCTTGGCCTTGTCGTTCCGCTTCCCTCGCGATGCAATGGTTGCGGCTCTGCTCTCCTCCTCGTCTTCGCTTTCTTCTGCGCCCTGGACAATGGGCTTTTGCTGGTTCTGCCATGCTGGCTGTTGGCGTGCGCTGGCTCGTTCGGCTTCCTGTTTCGCAGCTAGATGGGCTTTTGCGCGCTTCTTGCCGATTAGTTGTTCGAGAAGTTTGTCGTTTGATGTTGGTGCGCGGCGTGTGAAGCTGCCGTCTGCTATGTCTTTGGGTACGGCGTGGCCTACGCCGAGTCTGTCTGCATCAACTCCTGATATTGAAGCCGTGAGAGCAACAGCAATTACCTGTCATGGCCATAGTCTGACTGCTTCAGGTCTGCGTCTTCGTCTTTGCCGTCTTCTGCAACGTGACTTGCAGATGGGGCTGTTGGCGCATCGCCCATCCACGAAGTCAATAATTTCGAGCTCTTCGCGTTCACGAGACTGAACTTGTTCCCCAGCACATCGTCGAAGCTGTCCCTCTTCGCCATGTTTAGTCCTTGCTCTTATTGATTGCGAATTTTGGTTTCGATACTTCTACCCGGTCTGTATGAGGCAAGTTCCCGGCCGCCGGGAAGAATCGTGTATAGAACATCCGTGCACGCTACATCTCACGTTGAACCTGAAGCATAGCAACGGGCCAGCTCCATCACCTCCTCTCCACACACACCGACACCATGTACAACATTGCCCGCGCCAGCCGGCCAATGGCCCGCGCCGCCCGCGCCGCCTACGTGAGTGCGCGAGAGAGCTGCGGACGGGCCAGACAGCCAAACAGGCTCTGGTCCCTGCCGCCAGCTTGCATTGCAACTGAAATGGGGAGCAAGCTGACACGATGCATAGACTCCGCTGCGGCAATCGGCGGTGCAGCAGAAGCGCTGCCTGTCGATTCACGAATACCGCTCCGCGGCGCTGCTCGAGCAGGTACGCGCTGAGCCCCGGCCCTCCGGCGCAACACCGCGAGGATGCTAACTAACGCGCGCAGTACGGCGTCGGCGTGCCCAAGGGCGGAGTCGCGACCAATGCGGCCGAGGCGGAGAAGATTGCCAAGGACATCGGCGGCGACGACGCGGTCATCAAGGCCCAGGTGCTCGCCGGCGGCCGTGGAAAGGGCACCTTCGACAACGGCTTCAAGGGCGGCGTGCGCGTTGTCTACAGGTAGAGACACCACACATACGCAGACTGCAGACTGCGAACAGCGGCTAACGGCGACAGCCCCCGCGAGGCGGCCATCCTCGCCGACCAGATGATCGGCCACAAGCTCATCACCAAGCAGACGGGCGCCGCGGGCCGTCTCTGCAACGCCGTCTACATCGTCGAGCGCAAGTTCGCCCGCCGCGAGTTCTACCTGGCCATCCTCATGGACCGCGCCAGCCAGGGCCCCGTCATCGTCGCCTCGTCGCAGGGCGGCATGGACATCGAGACGGTCGCCAAGGAGACGCCCGAGGCCATCATCACCACCCCGATCGACATCCACGTCGGCGTCACCGACGACATCGCCCGCAACATCGCGACCGAGCTGGGCTTCTCCGAGCAGTGCATCGAGGACGCCAAGAACACCATCCAGAACCTGTACAAGGTCTTCACCGAGCGCGACGCCACCCAGATCGAGATCAACCCGCTGTCCGAGACGACCGACCACCAGGTCCTGGCCATGGACGCCAAGCTCGGCTTCGACGACAACGCCGACTTCCGCCAGAAGGAGGTCTTTGAGTGGCGCGACGTCACCCAGGAGGACCCCGACGAGGTCAAGGCCGCCAAGGTCGGCCTCAACTTCATCAAGCTCGACGGCGACATTGGCTGCCTGGTCAACGGCGCCGGTCTGGCCATGGCCACCATGGACATCATCAAGCTGAACGGCGGCGCGCCCGCCAACTTCCTCGACGTCGGCGGCGGTGCCACCCCCGAGGCTATCCGCCAGGCCTTCGACCTGATCACCTCGGACCCCAAGGTCACGGCCATCTTCGTCAACATCTTTGGCGGCATCGTCCGCTGCGACGCCATCGCCAAGGGCCTGATCCAGGTCGTCGAGAGCATGAACCTGAAGACTCCCGTCATTGCCCGTCTGCAGGGTACCAACATGGAGGCGGCCCACAAGCTGGTACGTACGAGCGAACGAGCGAACGAGGCCTCGTCCCTTCAACCGCAGAAAACACTTGCCCCTCCACCAATCAATGGACGCATGCTAACATCTCCCAGCTCAACGACTCGGGCCTCAAGATCTTCTCCATCGACGACCTGCAAGCCGCGGCCGAGAAGTCGGTGCAGTTCTCCAAGGTCGTCAAGATGGCGCGTGACATCGACGTCGGCGTCGAGTTCACCCTCGGTATTTAAGCTCCTTCTTCGGGCCGCTGTCTCACCCCCCGCATATCATCCACCACCCATCTACGCGATTTGAGAGTCCGGCATGCAGTCTCGTGCTCGGGCTGTTGTGTCTTTGTATAGTCTACCACCTGTGTTTTAGTGCAACGGGCCTGTGGCAAGCGCAAGCGCGGTATCTAAATGCATCTTGTTCATGTCTTCACCTTTGCTTGCCCGAGAGCTCTGTGCAGCTCGTTGCGTTTTGTTAAGCGTGCGGCGTTCCGTTCGACAGCACATGCTGCTGCTTGTCGCAGACCAACGCCGATGTTTCTTACTGACCTCGCCAGGCCTTTAACCGCCCCCCGGGCAGACGGAGAGAGCAAGACATGGCCCGAGACCGCTTGACGCGGTGTATGTTTCTGTTCATTGGCTGGAGAGGTCTACGTGGTACTCTCGCGTAGCTTTTTTGCGCGCACAGAAGGATGGCTTCATGCGCGATTATCACTTTTGAAAGGCAGACGCGGACTGTCCATCTCAGGCTCTTGTGGACTTTTGAGGTGCACAGCGGCATGCACACCAGCGTTTCTGCGTATTTTTTGTAGAAAAGAGAGAACAGTGTGGTGGTTTGAGATAACAGCGAGACAGGTTATGCACTCTATTCGCAGTTGTTTGTGGCCTGAGTTCCGAGGCGCTCCGGAAATATCCGTAAAGTCGCGTATTTCGCGTTTGAATCGTACGGCTCGTAAGCTCTCTTCATCATGTTCGGGGTTGCGAGAGAGGACACGTCCTCCTTCGCTTCTGAAGCTCTCTGTTCAATAGCAGATGCTAACAGACACACACCAGGCCAGTTCTTTGGTTCTTCCTTTTGATAGGAAAGAAAAAATGAGCATTTCATACCGAGACCCCGCTTATTCTCCCTGTTCGAAGACGTGGAAATGGATGCGCCGCGCAACACTCCCTCGATTAAGTTTTTGAAGCAGGCACACGCCACGAGACTCCGTGACGTCCTCTTAAAGACAAGGAGGCAAGCCATAGCTTATAGTCCTGTGGTGTTTTGCGGGTCTTGCGCAAACAGATGCAGAACATCGATGCTGCGAATAGTACAAAGGTTCTCTGCAGACTCGAACAGGGAACTCCATCGGAGGAACTCCCATTACATTGAAGGAAGGAAGGATGCTCCGCATTCAACATGCCCAACAGAATCGTCAAGTACTCGGAGAAGCATCCAGGTAAGGCGCGCGGGTGGAAGATCGCCGAAGCGGACTGGGAAAAGCATCGTGACAAGATCGTGCACCTCTGGCTCGAAGATGGTGACGAAGGAAGGACGTTAGGCGAGATCGTTGAGGTCATGAGCAGTAAAAACAAGTTTGTTGCGACGTAACTTAGGCTTCGTGAAAGATTCGATCATCCGAACAATCGCTTACCTATCGACTTTGTAGAGCTTCTCAGTACCATAATCGCCTTGTCAAAAAGTGGTCGATCCGGAAGAATATCACAAAGAAAGAGTGACACAAACTCTACCGTGAAGATCAATGGCGAAGAGGAAGGGGTAAAAGTACGACTTTTCGGTTCATTAATCGCCTGATCTCCATCGAAACAAATTATGACATTACTCTCGAGTGGAAGACTGCGTGCAGTTGACCGGGTGATAGCTTCATATTCACATCTGGACAACGCGCTGCAAGACATGCGTTCGATGAACGATTTCACGGATCTGGAGAATTGGTTGTATCGCCGACAGATACACGACACGAGCAATGCGGTATCTTCCCTTGCAATATTTCTGACACAATACGGATAGCCTTCAGCTGATTCTACGTGTGGTAAGCTATCATGCCATGTGTCTGCGTGACATCAAGCTGCTCGACTGGCTTCGTAAGCAAGGTCTAGCACTTGGAAGTCTTCACATCGATTACGTGGAGGGCGAGATCTTTTGTATGCACTCTGCTCCCTGCATGGATGACAAGCTCATCCGCCAAAGCAGACAAGATTTGTTTGTGCTACCTTCGCTTCTCGATGTTGCTATCAGGTAAGGAGACCCGGCCATGATACAGTATCTCCTCTCCGCCAGTCCTGTGCATAGAGAATCGTGCGCTCTACTACATGCAGTGAAAGCTAATGCTCACACTGCTATGAACCAACTGCTCCGGTACGAGGAACGTAACAGTACAAATACGAAGCGGACACAGTACAGCAGTGCCGCCTTACAAGTTGCCATCCGTAACCACAACTACCCTCTGATAAGAACATTGGCCCAAGCCACTGATATACACGGCCTCGAGCCTGTCGATGCGGGAGAAGGCGTTCTAAACTGGCTGGACCCTCTTGGTGAAGCAGTCTTGCGGGATGACTGCGACGCAGTCGAGATATTGCTGGATCACGGAGGCGACCCAGATGCAGTAGTCGCCTTCGAGGGGCTTCGAGAACATACACCACGAATTCAAATAACAGTAGTTTGTTACGAATGACGCCCTTACTAGTGGCCACCGACGTAGGGAGCCGCGCTATGACAGAGCTCCTTTTGAAACATGGAGCGAGCATCGATCGATCATTGGACATGGGGTTGTTGAGAGCACCATTGCAAAGGGCCGCTGAAATTGACGATTTTGACATCATGCGATACCTCATTGAGAAGGGAGCCACGATTGACACCACTCCCGCGTACGGCGGCGGTACTGCGCTGCAACTGGCTGCTATGAGTGGCCATGTCGGCATTGAAGCGTTGCTAATTGAGCACGGAGCTGACGTGAACCATCTACCTGCAAAAGGACCCGGGCGAACGGTATTCGAAGCAGCAGCGGAGTGGTGCCGTCCAGATATGATGTATTTCCTCATGAAACATGGGGCTCAGCTTGACCTTCATATAACCGAGGAGATTGGGGAACTCGACGATGCCGAGGATCAGGATGATTTGGATTGAGGTATTCTGGAGCTATGGTATATCTTTGACGCATGTCGTACCCAGTATGAACGCGCGATACAGTTTGCAGAGGAGCGAGAAGAGTACGCGTCCAAGAGAATCGTGGAAGGTCTGTGGCAGAAGTATAGTCACACCTTTGTTGCGTGACTGGGTTTCTAGCGAAATTGGCAAGTGCATATAGAGTACCACGCACACCTGAAAAAGGGTAATAGCGTTGGACATATGGGCATGACTGAATTTGTAGCTCGGACTGTCTCCAGCAGTGCATGATCCACAGTTTCTTCTCTTTTCGGCTTTCGTGGTTTTCCTCTCGCATGCATATTTGATAAATAAACCTCTCAAACGTAATGCATCTAGTCAAAAATTCTCATATTCAGAGACATGAGAGGAATTAGCGGAAAGGAAGTGAGAGCCGACAGTAATGAGTATTCTCGGATCCATGCGATCGCGCACTTGTGACACACTTACGTTATCATCTCCTGTTTAGGTTCCAGCGAAGAAAACGGAAATAGAGCGAGCATTTTCTGCAGGTCTTTTCGCCTCTGGTCTGGATTTTGGCCCTCACGGAAGAAACGGACTTCAAGAAGCACAGATATATCTTCCAGGACAGAAGACCCGAACATCCAATGCGATCTTTCGTGTCCTCGATCTTACAGTCGCCCCATGTTGCACTCAAAAGTGTGTTTGTGGAGGTCCTCACCCGCACATACGCCAACTAGAATAGACTTCCAGCAAACGTAAGGGAAAGTTCGAGTTAATTGAAGAAGAGCAGATAGAGGTCAACAGCTTCGGTACAAATTTTGGCTTCAGGGAGACGTTCATCTCTTGTTACAGAAAGCCACAGGAATGTTACATGCCGACGACCCTGTACAGAGGACCGTGAGTGGTGCAGTCGGCGAATAATCTCCCCCAGAGCGCTCTCGAGTGCGGACTTCCTGCGCAAGCCTCGAAGCTAAATCGCGTCGAATTAGCTGAGAAACGCTGCAAGCGCTTTAGATTTTTGACATACCTACCGGTAGAACATACAGTGTGCCACCGATTGCGAACTCCAACTCAAAATCAAATTCTATCAGATAATTAGCACTCACTCTCAACAAACTGTACAGTTTACTGACTAGAACGTTCGCTGTGCAGTATGTACAGCGACTCGATCTTCGTACACGAAAAACGTCACCTGTGAGATAGAGATGATCAGAGCCTGGAAACAATCCTGGATAGGAATGACGTGCAAGACTTTGAGGGAATCAACTATCAGCCTCGTGAGCCACACCAAATCTTCTCACCGGTCGACTTTGAATGAGAAACCGACATATAAGAGCCGGTGAGGTGTGCAATCCTGCACCTACATACACGTGCAGCAAGGCTGAGAGTACAAGGGTTTCTGGATCTCTTGCCACGCACGGAACGCATCCAGGACTAAGACGATTGATCTGATGATTCTGAACGGATGGTCTGGAGGTTCTACCTCCTAATGGTATTTCATCAACGTGTGTGCGATTGCACCATATGAAAGTGAGAAGAGAGTTCTGAATGCAAGGTTCAAGGTAGAGAATTTGTGCCCAAAAGTCAGCCTTGCGGTAGAATCATGGTTGATAAGGTCTTGAGCTGTCAACACAAAGGCGATAGCAATGATCCCAAACCACATGAATGAGGGCAGTTACCCTGCAATTACGTCGTGATTACCCTTATTCTAGGGTCGCACTGGCATGAGTTGCCCCTCGTATCAATGTATGAATGCGGCACAGTAAAGGGCAAGGACCAGAACACGAGCCCATCACCCTCGATCGTATGTGCAACCTAAGTGAGGAGCTTCATTTGAAACGACGCGTAGTTACAGCGCCTACATTCATATGGTCTAGGGTTTCCTTTGGCGTGATCTTTACTGCTTGTGATGGTTGCATGAACCCCCCCCCCCTTCTCGCGCAATCCCAGGGTATGATAGCGGAATGCCACAGCCAATGATTTCTCAATCTCCTCCATCTCAAGAAATACGAGTGAGGCGTTCGCACAAGTGCGGGGACGGGAGCGGGCCGGAGGTCAGTATCAACCATTCATCGCCGTAGTTTCGTCAGCCTGAGCCCTAACGTGGTAGATAATCATTGGCTACCTTCGACTCCAGATAAGAAATGTCTGATCATCTCGATATTTACGCTTCAATTCTCCAGCCAATAAGTGGTAACAATTCGTGGAAATGCATGTGAACGATGCGTCCGCGGGGCGTCCTCTACATCAGCAGTACAATGAAGCAAACCTACAGCCAACTGCCATCTCCCACGTAGGTCAGAATCTACTGTGATTCCTCATGTACCTTGCTGATTCGATCACGCAGCTATGTTGCGACAAAACATGTATGATGGATGACGACCGTTGGAGCTTGACCGGTGAGACAACCATGGTGGTCGGAAAACACGCTGTAGCAATTGCGTTATGGCAGGATATAAGAATAAGTGAGGAGACACAAAGAGCCATTCTTAAGTATCAGTAGATTGATAGAAACTTCCAGATCTCCCTTTGTCCACAATGGCTACGGATACAGGACGAAAGACACCCAGGCGAGATTCCGTTGTGGGAAGCATCAATTCCCCGGATGGAACGGCAGAAGTAGTGCGAGGTTTTTGCAGCGCACTAAAGGCATTCAATTCTGAGCAGGGGTTCCAAAGCCTAGCTGAGCTGGTAGACAGAGTCCCAAAACTTGAAGCGGATCTACTGGGAAAAGAGAGGGCACTGGCCTTGTCCCACGAGACCAGCGAGCGCGAGAGAGAAGTACGCCAAAACGAACGACACGAGGACCTTCAGCTGTACAGTGCAGAATACAAACGGTGGGAGAAAGAGAAGACACGTGTTGAGCAACGGATCGCTGAACTACAGACGAGCATCACGAAGAGAGACCAAGCCATCGCTGAAAAAGAAGCCAAGGAGGCGAGTCTGAAAGACGCAGGGCGTAAGTTTGAAGATCTGTACAGATCAACACAGGCCAAGTTGAAAGCGAGGGACGGCGAGATTACACAGCTTAAGCAACAGAACCAGGATAAATGTACCAAGGCCGAAAGTCTTGCGGCAGATCTCAAGAAGTCACGAGGCGAGGTGTCTTCTTTAGATGCCTTGTTGCAAAACATGCAGCAGCACAATGCGCAGCTCGGTTCGTCTTTGAAAGAGACCCAGGACCAACAGAAAGAGATTGCCAGCTACTCTGCAGAACTCCAGGATATTGACGCCGATCAACTGTGAGCCCATGACGACTAGAGGGTTGCAACGCCTGCTAACTACAACAAGGGCACAGGAGCTGAGCGTAATCTGGGTGTCAGTCACTCTACTGATCAGAAAGTTTGTCGGAGTTGATTTGAACGAGAGCATGCTCAAGGTACAATTTTCGGAAACAGGTATCGTGAGCCTTCACTGACCCATATCGTGTAGCGAGACTGGAAGATCCTGGACGATGCTGCCGGGTATCTACCGATCAGGCAGCTTCCGCAGTCCAATACGCAAATCGCCAAAGAACTGCGAGTGGTCAAGGTCCTCGCTATTCTAGCGGAATCGATTCACAAACACCTTCTACAGCCATTATACCAACCACCCAACGAAAACTGTGCCTTGAGCGGAGCTCTTTATGACCTCGCGTCTATCGAACCAAATCGGGAGAGGATACTGAGAGGTATGCTTCTGGCTGCGCTCGAGGATCAGCGGGAACAGGCCGAGTTACAACTGTTGGACTGGATAATTGACGATGTCGTCCAAAAACAAGGTGTCGGAATGGTAATCCGCCCAGATCTTGCCAGTGAATTTGAGGACACTCTTGAGAACATCTTGACTGACGTGCAAGACATTTGGCACAAGGTCCAACTTAGTACGCAGGTGTTCGAGTCACGCTTCGACGTTACTCAAGTCACGGACTTTAATTTCACGGACTTTGAAAGGCAGATTCCAGGATTCCAGCCCAGCGATCCGTCAAAGACGCAGCCCTACGATGATGACGATGACGTTGTCATCCTGTTCCCCACGATTTTCCGTGTAGGCAACGAGATGATACCCATCACTACTGGCACGATCGTGCGGAAGAGCCGAATCAGCGCTTTGGTCAAGGAGGAGCGGCATATTTCTCGATCTGCCGAGCCGGACCCACCCAGGCCTCGGCAGAGACAGAGGACCATGTCCATGTCCATGAGCAGCAGTGCACGAAATGGAACAGCGAAAGAGGCTTTTTTACCTCGACCAGGCGGAGCAGCCGACGGACCATCAAAGGTGTAATGGCCCTACTAGGGAGATGGAGGCGTGATTAGGTGTTTGTTAGTGATCTAGTTGTAATAAGTAAACATTGATTCAAACGAGCTGGAGCGACGCATTAGAGCATACTCAAGACCCGCCTTCATCCAGCTTCGACGCGTCAGCAGTGTCCACGTCCATCCTCAGCTCCACGCCCAGCTCATCCAAGAACTTCTCCGCCTTGCCCTTAGTCCTCTTCTCGCGCATGGCCCTCCTCTTCTCCTCGACCATCCTCTTGCGCTCCTCAAGCCTACCCCTCCTCTCGCTGCGCACCCTCTCCGTCTCCTTGCGCTCCTTCTCGAGATTGTCCATCTGCCTCTGTCTCTCCACCTCGTCCGTGTCGAAATACATGAACCCCGTGCCCCTCGTCCGCGCCTCCTGGCGGCCGTCAAAATGCAGCTCCGGCGGGGGCGTGAGCTCCTTGTCCCTCTTCGCCGCGAGGTCGGCCATGGCCTGCGCAATCGTCTCATCGGGGTTGAAGGCGTGGGTCTGCACCGTGTCGCCGTAGATGATCTGGTCCGGCGCCTCGGGGCGGGCTGTGAAGCGGTCCGGTGCGTCGAGCGCGCGCGTGCGCTTCCGCCGCTCCTCCTGCAGCGCTTCGGCGCGCGAGCCCTTTCTCGTCCGCCCGAACTCGTCCACGTACTCGACTTCGGCGTCGTCGTCGGCGTCGCTGTCGTTGTCCGACGAAGACGACGAGCTTGCGTGCCCGGCGACGCCCTTGTCGGCCTGTGCGTCTGCCCATTTACGGTCAAAGTCGACGCCGTACTTGTCGGCAATGTCTTCCACGTCGCCGCGCTTCAGGGCGTTGTAGAGTCGTGCCTTTTCCTCCATGCGCCGCTGGGTGCGCTTCCAGTGGGCCGCATCGTCGTCCTTCTCGTCGGCGGTGCGGGCGCGGTGTTTTTGCGTGGCGAGGTCCGTGTCGTCGAGGTCGGCGAGCGCGCGTTTCTGGGCGTTCCTGTTGTGGGTCTTGAAGATGTCGTCTTTGTCTTTCTGGCGGGCGCGGGCGGCAGGTTTGCTTGCGTCGCCGGCCGACGACGAGGCTTTGATGAGGGTGGACAGCGTCGAGGAGAAGGCGACGGTGCTGCTGCTCGAGATATCCTTGCGCTTGCTGCGCGCGGTGTGCTTGGCGCCGTAGAGATGCGCGTCCTTGCCGGAGAGGTGGGTGTTGCCGGACATGCTGGTGGATGTGTGACATTTTGGCGTTTGGGGGGAGACGCGACTGGGCGATGTCGGACCCAAGGCGTTGCATCATCGCGCTCCTCTGCCCCGCAACCCCACGTCGAAAGATGAATCGGCGGCTCCGCAGCGGCGTGAGTTAATTAGAATGACTGGGATTTCTGGAGCTCTCACTACCAAGTAGCCCAGTCCTCCTTCACTGAAGCTTCGCACAGCCAATTGACGCCTCAGCCACCATGTCTCCTCCCCGTCAAGTCTTCATTGCCGTTATTGGTACGTGCAGCTACACCAAGTGCCCTAGGACATTTTCACGCCAATCTCCAGCTTCGCCGTGAACAAACTATACTGACTCTCCCCAGGCGCCGGCGGCGTGGGCAAGTGCTTCCTGCACCAGCTCACAGGCCTCGCCCAGCGGCTCTCCCAATCGCCCTCGGCGCCGTACTACCTCTCCCTGATCTGGCTGTCCACGTCCAAGAAAGCGCTCTACCACGCCGACTACAAGTCGCTCTCCAACTGGGAGTCGGAGCTGCAGACCAACGCCAAGCCCACGCTGCCCCTGCCGCAGCTGGAGGACTACCTCGTCGGCGCGCCGGGCAAGGTCGTCCTCGTCGACAACACGAGTGACCAGCAAGTCGCCGCTGCGTACCCGAGCTTCCTCAGGAAGGGCATCAGCATCGTGACGCCCAACAAGAAGGCCTTTAGCGGGGACTTGCAGCTGTTCAAGGACATCTTCGCCGCGGCCTCGAACGGGTCGGGAGCCGGCGGCTACATCTTCCACGAGTCGTCGGTCGGTGCGGGCCTGCCCGTCATCAGCACGCTCAAGGACCTCGTCGAGACGGGCGACAAAGTGACCAAGATCGAGGGCGTCTTCAGCGGCACCATGAGCTTCCTGTTCAACAGCTTCCAGCCGACGTCCGGCGGCGGCGGCAAGTTCAGCGCCGAGGTCGCCAGCGCAAAGGAGAAGGGCTACACGGAGCCCGACGCGCGCGACGACCTGAACGGCCTGGACGTAGCCCGCAAGCTGACCATCCTGGCGCGCCTGGCGGGGCTGGACGTCGAGTCGCCAACCTCGTTCCCCGTGCAGTCGCTGATCCCCGCCGAGCTCGAGTCGTGCACGTCAGGCGACGAGTTCCTGTCCAAGCTGCCGCAGTTCGACGCCCAGATGGACGAGCTGAAGCAGGCCGCCGAGAAGGAGGGCAAGGTGGTCCGCTTCGTTGGCTCCGTCGACGTCCCCAGCAACGCCGTCAAGGTTGGCCTGGAGAAGTTTGACACGAGCCACCCGATTGCCGCGCTCAAGGGCAGCGACAACATCATTGCTTTCTACACTGAGCGCTACGGCGCCAACCCGCTGATCATCCAGGGTGCTGGCGCCGGTGGCGACGTCACCGCCATGGGCGTCACTGCCGATTTGGTCAAGGTCTTGAGACTGCTTCACTAGAGGGGTGTTGAGACTGCTTCACTAGGATGGGAGGGTGTTGAGCCTGCTTCACTAGGATGGGAGGGTGTTGAGCCTGCTTCACTAGGATGGGAGGGTGTTGAGCCGAGGGCGCCACGGCCGTAGTGATCGAAATGAATCAAATCTTTCCCGCTACACGGAGTGAAGCTACAACGTCGTGAAGAGCTGATCAGGTCGCCATGGTGCATACAGCTTGCTCTGCCATCCCGCTCGACGAGCCGTGAACACGCTTGCCCCCGTCTTCACCCTCTTCAATTTCACCTCTTCACTTCTTCACCTCTTCACCTCGACAAACCGCATCACTCACGCCCAGTTCTTCGGCCAAGCCCACCAGCACTGCATTACCACGCTTACCGACTCATGCGCGTGGCATACCCACCAGCACATCTTCAATTCCAATACGACGCAACGTCTGGGTCTAGATGCGATGCGCACATCGAGACGTTGACCCACCTGCGGTCCGGTGTAGATCCACACTCTCCAGCCAAGCACGTGCGAGTCTGGGGAATGTGGCTAGTGAGAGGGCATGCTGACGTGGCTGAGCTATCGAATGCAGTGGAGCTCGCTACATGCAGTACGATATGAGGGAGGAGGAGCATGTGGGCCGAGCCTTGCGGGGTCCGGAGAGGGTGAGTTTGCCAGTCGTTAGAGGGGGGGAATTGAGTGAGGTTCGAGGGACTCTCGCTGCCTTGTTGTATTAGTGTCGGGCTGAGGGTGTTTGCCGAGACCGATGTCTTCCTTCCGCATCTTGCGCGTGCTTGACGACTGAAGGATCGAAGACTTGCTTTTGAGCCCGCGCCTGCGCTGTACCTAGTTGTGACTGATATGCCCGAATCCTACCTGCTATCTCTCGCACACCCACGAAATTAGTTCACTTCGCTGGCTCAGTACTCTGTGCGACAACGTGTCCAGCACATGGCTCCCGGTTTCAGGATTGCGGCGTCCAGAATCCGTCCGGAGGGTGTGTTGACCGTGGTGCCGGAACCGCACTGGTCTTGGAATCGTTACACTGATCTGGGCGTGACGGGCGCGCGAGTGGTCAAGAGATGCGCTCCCGGGGCCAGGCTACTTGGCCTCGCTTGTTCTCATCCACGTGCTTTCGCCCTGAGAAGCCCCCGCGCGACGATGAAGGCGAGTGGTGGTGAGGTGGCTTGAGGGAGCGGGGTGAAGCGCTGCTTGGCGTATCTTGGCGTATATGCTTGGCGACGGGTTAGCCTGGGTGACCAAGCGACATGTTGCATGATGGCGTCGAGGCTGTGCAGGTTTGTCGGCATGGGCTGCATCAGGGCAATGTCGTGCGCATCCTTGCGCATGGACTTATCTTCATGGTGGTGTTTGAGACGAGGTGGTAGGATGATGGTGAGGCTACTGCCAGCTGATCTTCGGGTGATATGCGACCATTGTCCTACCAAGCGAATAAACAAAGCAAAGTTTAGTCAAGTTCGTAGGTCGAAGGTGATCGGAAGTGCCGGATTATGTCCGCTGTCGTCCGCTGCCGTCCGCTGGGAGTCATGGAAGGTCAGGTTGAGGTGCATGCGCGGTCGCAGGAGTGGTCTCACCAAGCGCCGAAATAATGCACCGAGAAGGTACTCGGACGGGAATCGCGATTCGTGACGTCTGTGTCGCAAAAAGCGGTATGCGGCAAGGAATGATAAGATGCATCCTTCGGGTTCGTTGCTTTTCCAAACGGCTGAGTTTGGGCTGCAATGCTGGAGCGTGCACGACCAGGCCAGTCAGGAGAACGGCGGAGCTCAGGTTGCAGGACCGTTCGCAGATGAATGATCGCCCATGAGATTGTCGCAGTGGCTCTCATGTGATGATTCCTGTGATAGACACGGGCTTGGGGTCGAGGAGGAAGGTGCATTCGGCCCACGGGACAATGACTTCATCCGAAAGTGTGACCGCTGAACAACGTTCGGACCTTTTCTCGCATTTCAAGAGATCAACATGGTTCTCCCGCGCAGAATCCTTCGGCATGCCGACAGCTTCGCTACCGAGATTAGTGTATGCAGCCTTTGATATTGGCCACGTTTTCCAGGCGGGAGAAGTGCCATGGAGCGCAGTCCGCAGCGTGCGTCTGCGGGACGTGCGAGGATGGCGTCGAGGAACAGATCTGATAGAATGTTCGGCATTACTTCGTACTCTCTGGCTGCCTTCCGCAGTGTCCACCGCTTGCAGCGCAGCTGTGACGGTGTGCTCGAGTCAAGTTGGCACTTCGGCAGCGTGGGGAGACGATCCCCGGCGGAGGTCGCCCTGTCCGAATCGCCTGGCAAAATAGACACCCTGGCCATACGCAGATTGCAGCTGTCTTCAGTCGTCAGAGCGCGGCCACTGTGTCAGGACGACAGGTATTCTTGTTGCACAGGGGCGCCAATAAAGGGACACGGTGCGGCGTCGTCGCCTGATACGAACTCGTCTCTGCCAATGAGGGGCACCGCGTTCACGCAGCAAAGGGGCGCTCGGGTGCGATCATGGACAGAACAACCAACGGTCCGGGAGCGGTGAGACGTGGACGTTTCGTTTGCGTGCCTGTCTGCGATGCGCGTCCCAGAAGAGTGGCACTGATCTGCTCAGGGGAGTGAAGGGGCTTGTCACTAGTTGTCACCTTGGTGCGCCGTTAGCCTGAGCTCCGTGTGCGTCGTCCCGCCGCCCGCGGACGGGGATGCTCATGAAAGAAACCGCATCTAAACCGTGCCGGGGCATTGTGTAAGTCAAGTCATGGCACGCGTGGCTGTTAGAGACTGCCAATCTCCTCTCCGCCCGCGCTAGACCTGCTCCCCATGTCAGGCCTGTCGTACGCTTTCGAGCCCAGCGCCCGCGGTGCACATTAAATAAAGACTCCCTGCTGTGTGACCTCCGCTGTCCAGCTCACGACTTCCATCACACGATTACTGCTTTTCCAGCGCACTCGTATTAGATAAGGCTGGCCTCACCATCACTTGCTGATCTACTGCAACTCTATTTGACTGGCCCCGCTGCTCATCATCGTGTAAGCCAGGCACCACCAAGACACCAGCACCAACCGCAGATCGTAATCCCTCCACCAGCTTCCACCTTCCGCTGCTCTCCAAGGACACATTACCTAGCCGAATCACATTGGGCCGCGTTTCTCACCGTCGCACTACAGAAACTCTCCCCGCTCCCCGTCAACTTGGAAAGGCAAGGGATCTCCTGCTTCCAGCCCATCAGCTCCCATTCCTTGGCATACTGCAAACACTCGCTCCCTCAATAAGTGCAAGCCTGCTGCCTGTTGCAAAACCACTCAACAAACCATCTCAAAATTTGGTCGACTATACCTAATACTTCCTCGACCATCACCCCGCTCTTGCATCCATCAGTGTGGCTGTGAAGACTAGCAACTAGTTTACCCCAGGGATCCTCGCCACCACCGCTTGGCCTTTGTCTTGTGACAGTCGCCGTCAATCTCTCGACCAGAAACCACGCACACGTACCAATCGTACATATACACCAAGTCTTCCACCACGACGTCGTCTTTCCTACAAGGAACAACACCTCGCAAACGCATTTACCTCGACATTACCTGAACCAACACCATGTGCGTCACAGAACTTTGCGTCACCAAGCAGGCCTGCCAGCATCGCTGGTACCATCTCGTCCGACCATGTGCACCAACCATGGATCTGGCCACTTGCCCCAAGAAGCTGGGTATCTCTGGATGGGAAGTCAAGGTCGACCACTGCCCCTACTGCCAGGGCCATGCAACCAGCTCGGCCTACCGTCTGATTGGTGACGGCCCAGCTCCACCCGTTGGGTCTCTCTCTGGTCTTGCACGCGCACACTCAACAAGCCTTCACGCAGCTCGCCGCGACGAGCGCCTGCAGCTTATCACATCCAGGAGCGACAGTGTCACCAGTATTGGCAGTAAGAGTAGCATAGTCACAGCAGCATCAGAGAAGAACCGCGCCATGAACGCAAGACTCGACTCGTACTTCTTCCCATCTGAGGGCTCTCCAGTCTCGGCTTTTCCCAGATCAGTCCGCGAACCTGGCGATGAGAGCGCCACCGAGAGCTCCAGCGACACATCAAGCAACGACCAGGCCAGCCTACGACACCAGTCCATGTCCAACGAGCCGTACAAGGTCGGCATGCTTTCGCGCATCGGTCGCAAGACCAAGCGATTCTCGATGTTCAAGTGAGCATTCTCCACATGTTGAACACTCCAGCCACGTCATGTTCGATGCACAGCCTGCGCCCAGCAATCGCTGCGACTGTTTACGTTGAGGCTTACCATCATCGTGGGCCTAGACCGCCTGCGCTCGACCGCCAAACCCAGCGGAGCCGGCAGCCGGGCTCTGCGGGTCCTGCAACCGAAAACGAACATCCAGACTTCGGTCCGATCTCGTGAAACTGCAGCCATCACCATCACGAAAGCATCGTCGAACCATCGTCGACAACAGCTCACTTTAGACCATCCTTCTCCAGCGCAGCGGCATTCTCCACTTCTACCCTGTTCTTTCTTACGTTCGGGTCGCCTAGTACGACGCGGATGCGCTTGCTTTTCTTCAGATACCCACCTTGTTTGGCTGCGCGCAGTCACATGCCATGTCTAGCTTCATCTCTACTTCGGCGTTTTCACAAAAGAGTCAGTCTTTGCAGCATTGGGCTGCGACAGTACAGACAACCTTCGCCTCGCGCATTCTTTCGGACAATGTTTCCGTTCTTGACTTAGAATTACGTTTGAGTAATTCTTAGGGTGCTCTTTGAAGGCGCACGGTCGGCCATGTTACTGCGGCGTTGGCTGCAACAGGTTTGTTGCTGCAAACTCAAATTCTCAGTACGCAGCGTGGCTATTGCGATGCTATGATCAAAGTCAGTGCAGCGCATACCTTGGTATCCATAGCAATACATTTTTGTCTCCGCCTACTCCACTGCGCCCGAACACCGTGCTGTGAATGCATTCTCTTCCACCGCTGTTTCCGCAGTGCAAAGGCTAGATACACCAGAGGACTGGCAGTCGTGCGACGGCACACCGCCATCTGCGTCTCCTTGTCGCCTCGCCTCGACGCAACGTTAGTGATCCACTCAGACCCGCTACCTAGCTCTCTCTCGTGATGCAGCTGCTGCATGGTTTATCTTCGCCAAGATATGCCGGCACGCATTCCGCTCCGCTCCGGGACGGTTTTTGACCGTCGCAGCCGGAGTCGGTGTGAAAGGTGAGATCACGTGGATTTGCCAGCCGAGGTGCGAGGTTGCTTGCTTGTTCTCTAACCCTGCAAGGTGCAATGTTTCATCTTCTTGTTGACAAAGCGTGATTTGCGTCTGAGGCGAATATAGTACCTGCAGATCGCTGTGCAGAAACTTGGCCACCCTGCACCCTTCCATCTCAGTACTCACAGTCCCAAGCACGAGATCCATCACGAAGTCCAAATAAGCACACCAAGCATCATAACAGTCTCGCTATACCCTCGGCGACGTGTACATCCGTCACAGCGCCCGTTATAACGGTACCGGTGCTGGGAAGGGGCTTGTAGTACGCAAGCCATACGGAAAGTACCACATCCCAAAAACAAAGTTATGAATGAGCTCTTGAGACAAGCACACCAAGCATGCCTCGGTAGCATAGAGAGCTAGTGCGGCGACGTGCAAAGGGACGAGCCTTGTGCAACGCGTTGATGCGTCGATCCACGACAGCGGAAAGTACCACCGCCGGGCCACATTGCGCAAGGGCCAGAAGAGATAGCCAACCCCTGGAGAGCCTGATGGTTGTTTGGTTGAGGTAAAAATAGCCCTTCTGATCGATACTTCGTCATGCAATACAGCGAAGGACCGCATCATTGCATATGAGCGTACAAGAGAGCGACCACAGCGCAAAGTCCCACATCACACAGCACAGCGGAGTTTCCTGCTTACTCAAAGAAAAGCATCGTATGAGGAGGGCCACAGCCACGTCACCGTTTCCAGCAGATTGGGTGGAATGCGCAGGTTGTGTGCTTCGGATGCCCTCAAGCATTCTTTCACACCTGGGTACAAACCTTGACGAAGCTTGTTGAGAAATCCTGTTGCACCAGCTCCTCGCGCGAGGCTCACACGCGCAGGAATGTGCTTCTTCGTGATGGTGATCAACACTCGGTACCCTGAGGGCGGGCACAACCGGTGGTCAAGCATGAACAAGCTTCATTTTGCAACTTTCGTGTTCTCTTGTGTGGTCTGACCTGGGGTAGGATTAAAACGCAGATCGATATAATCCCCGGCGTTTTTCAGGACATTGATCGCCATGGTCCCGACTTCGACGATCCGGATCGGCGTGCTGTTTGAGTTTAGGGAGAGAGACAAGCTTTGGGTCGATGGATCAGGATTAAGAGTTTTGGGCTTATTTGTCGATGTGAGAGGTGTACCACGATCTGCAATCTCAAGGTCCGATGACTTTGCGATTCTTCTACAAACGACCCTGGAGGCACGCAGCCAACTTTCAGACTCCGGCGCTTTTCACATAGTCTGGTTTTTGAGATTCTTGCTTTCACGCTCCCCTTCTGTCAACGAGAATACTGCCAAAGCAAGCATTCCATCTACCAACAGGATAACGGCCTGACACACAGAGAGCTCGAGAGGTACATGACTCGTAGTCGTACACCTCGTAAGCTTGTCTCCCAGGGCCCGTCGGGAAGTTTGGTACGCCCGAAAGCTCCTCCAGAGAGCAGCCGTCCTCCTGAAGTATCCACGGGACTTCGACAACATATTGTCGAGCCTTTCCAACCAATCTGGAACTGTACGTCAGTCTGTTTCGGTTTTGTGGCGTATCGCAGACTCCATGTAACGACCTGGCTGGCACAGCGCGTACCGCAGCCGTGTTGCTTGTACCGGAGTCATCTCGCTGCAATTCGGTGCATCCATCATCGCTGGAGGTCGCTGGATGTCGCCAGAGGCGTCGCGGGGTCTTTCCTAGCGTTCGGTGCCATCGTGAGAATCATAGGTAGAACAGGTTACGTGAGTGTGAGACGAAGACGTCGGACAGAGTGGGCAGTGCTGGTGCTTGGCATAAAGAAGGAGTCTGGAGGTAGTCACATTTCTCAACTGGATCTAGCTTCAAAGGAACAACGCTCAAAGCTATGCATGCAGCTATGATGGGTATAGAATGTTCTAGAATGAATTTACTTCTTCTTCCCACCCTGATATGTAATATCGTACTGAATGAAGCTGTCCCATATGCTACCTCTCCTCGTCCCAACTGACTGCTTAACAGGGCTCGTTGCCAGACTGCCCGCTCGTGCATCTGGCAGACTCCCAAACCGTTGCTTAATAGATGAAGCGTTCGGTGATCGTAGCGCGGCGGCATTGCTGATTATATCCGACGGGCCAGACATGGCGACATAGCCAGGCCGTTGTTGGCGAACTATGCGTATATCCTAGGCAAAGTCAGCTTGATGTCAGTACACAAGGGGAGCTTAGATTTACCGCATCAGCAATTCTAAGGTCCCCAGAGCTGGTCTTGCCGCACATTTACACCGTTATGCTCTTCCTCCGCATCAGCAGTGTTGGTCGATGTCTCGCGCAAGTGGCTCGGACCGTGTGTTGCTGCCGGGCTCGCACTCGTACCCCGTGCTGCAACTGGGCTGGCGCCTCGCGTTGCTGCGTTTGAGTTCGCTCCAGATTCGACAGCTTCAGAAGAGTTGAGCCGCTCAGCTGATGGTCGGCCGCCAACAACTGGTATGCTCTTCTTGCTAGTACCGCTACTACGACGGCTGTCGAGTGATTTCCCGAGCTGAATGGCCGGATCGGCTGATGACTTCTTCTTCGCACGTTGCATGTCTGCTTGACCAACTACCAAACTACTGGTTGCGGTGGTTGCACTCTTGAGGCCTGGAGTGCCTGGAGCCATGGGCTTTTCCTCTGTGGCGTCGAGAAGGTACCATCGTAGACCGTCGGAGAGCTCGAAGGGGTTGTCGTCCTCAATCGATAGAGCGTTACTGGACGCAATTGACCGACCGTCAAGAGAAGCTCGAGGCCCATCCAAGGTCTTGGAGAGATCTACAACACGCTCTTCAATCTTGGAGATCCGAGCAACAAGCCATTCCTTACCACGAAGACGATGTGAGTCTTGCTCGCGAAGAAAGAAATGCGGTGCGCCAACATTGAAAGCTGCCCATGGGCGGTGTGCGTTGTTGCGAGTAGGCAGAAACAAGGCCAGGTCGCCCTCCTTGAAGGAACGATACGCGATCTTCTCATGACTGTCGGCCTGGAACCGGTGTGACTTATCTCGGTAGGCGCGAGCTTCCTTCTGCCACTTCCTGGCGGTGTGCTCCATGTCACGCATGCGCTTGGCAATGGCTTCGCTGAACGTCTCCATGTTGAAAAGGTCCAGCTTGCTAATTAGCTCCTTGTAGCGCTGATCCTCCTCGTTAACACTCGCAGAATCGGCCCACTGCAGGAATGAGAGGTCGCCATTCTCCTCTAGGAAACGTTTGAGTGGGGTGGGTGACTGGGTCGTGGTGCTGCGGCCGAGGTCGCCGGTAGTACCTCCCATGACAGAGCTGTTGCTCATTTTAGAGGCACGTTGGAGGACCATCCCGCCATCCTCATGTGTGATGATGAAACCGAGAGCTTCCAATAAGCGCACAAGACGTTCATGCGATGTGTAGAGACGCTGGCTAAGCTCTCTTGCACGGCCCAGGCGCTGTTGAGACCGAAATGAATCGAATTCCTCGTACTTGAGCACCTTCTTGCCGAGTCGCATGATCTCCACATCGAGGCTGTTTGAGTGCGACTTCTGTTCTGCCAGTTCGACTTGAAGGCGCCCAACCTTTGCCTCCTCTTCCTCGACCCGCTTGCGCAAGGCCTCGGAGCCAGTCTCGCCTTCTGCAAACTTCGCGCGTAGATCGTGCAGATGCCCACGCTCTTCGTCGAGCTCGGCGCTGATCGAAGCTACCTTTACCTTCTCGAGCTCGAGCTGTTCACGAGCAGATACGAGATTTTGCTCGTGCTTGCTGATCTGAGCGTTGAGGGTATGCTCTTGCTCTTGGGCTTGGTCGCGCGTGTTCTCGTTCTCAGACCGAGCCATCGCAATTGCCTCTTCGAGCTCCTTCTGGTGATTGAAGGAGCGACTCGCCAGATCCTCAAGCTGTACCAGCAACGCCGTGTGATCGGTCGGTGTGTCTGTGCCAGGTGCCAGACGGCTGAATACTGTCTTGAGGGACTCGAATTGGTCAGCATGCGCCGCTTGATGGTCGTCTAGCTGTGCTTGTAAGTTGGTGAGCTTTTCGTTTGCTTGCGAGAGCTGTTCGGTAGCCTGCGCGATCTGCTCAGAAGCCTCGTTTTGGATCTTCTCAAATTCAGATGCCAACTCATGGACCCTGGCATCAATCTCGCTCCTTGCATTGTCGCGACTTCCGAGGATGCGATCTAGCTCGTCTTCAGCCTCCTCGATCTTGGCCTTGTGGGCTTGAATCTCCTCTTCAAGGGATCGTCGCTCATCGCCAAATTCAATCTGCTGGGCCTTCATGTTTTCCATAATGTTCTTCTTGGTGGATACGGCTTCCTCTCTAGCAGATGTGGCTTCTTCAACTTGCCGCCGCAGGTCGATCTCGATATCTTTGTGAGCCTGTGCCTCCTTGTCCAGCTTGGTGCGAGCTTCCTTCTCGATACCAAGCTGCTGTTCGAGCCGAATGATGCGGCGCTTGTCTACATCACCCTGAGCCGACAGTCGTCGCGATGAGATTGAGGATCGCCGAGACAGCTCTTCGTATGGTTTCGGCGAAGCAGTCTCGAATGTTGGTGTCGATGGGTCTCCCGGGCTCTGAAAACCTGGTGGAGGGGCTCCAGCTCCGCCTATCGAGAGCCTACTGTTTTGGTTCGAGCGATGTAGCAAGTCTTCAAGTCTACGTACCCGACTCTTGTTTGCTTTGAGCTCGTCATCAAGCTTCGCGTTTGCTTCTCTAAGCACGCGCAGCTCATCGTCACCTCGAACCATAAGCTGAGAACCCTTGCCGAATGCAGGCTCGTGAACGCTGCCCATCTTGAAGTTCTTTGCACGCTTGATCTGCTGCTTTGTCGGTCGATCAAGGTCCTTGATGGCTTGAGCCAAAGCTTCAGCCTCAGTACTCTGCTCCTCTAGGCTTTGCAAGATCTGAAGATACTGCTTGAGGTCGTCCCTAGCAACCTCTGGCCAGATGGTCTTCTCAGGCTGAACATTCATTTCAAACCCCGGTGCGCCACCCTGGACAGCTTCGGCATTGATGACATCTGCAATAGGTTTTAACCACCTCTTGCGTCGGCGTTCCTCCTCCTCCTGGAATGTAGCCATCTCTTCAGCCAACGACGATGTGTCCTTCTCGATCCTTTCAGCCCACTCTCGCCTTCGAACCGCTTCGATTAAGAGGGTACCGTATATATAAGGGAGTCTACCCACGAGAGAGATCAACTCGAACGCTGCGACGCCTTCCTGTGGTATGCTGATCGACTCGAGTTCTGCGTTCAGGGCTGAAATAACAGATTCGATATTGGCGATGCCCTGCATGCTCTCCACTGAAAGGTTGATAGCGGTGTTCTTCTGCTCCACAGACCTTCGCACGAGATCGCTCATCTCGACGCTGTACTCGCTTATCGCGGGCAGAAAGTTCCGTGTATGCAACAGGGCCATCTTCGACACTTGTGCCACCGACTTAGGGTCGCTCATGAGGCCCATGACATGTTCGTAGTCCGACTCGACCTTCTTCGCAACCGCTTCGATCTCGTTATATAGGCGCACAGGCTCCTCCGAGTCATCCATAAGTGATCGACTCTGACTTTGTCCCACGGCGCTGAGCAACTCGTTGTAGTCGGCGCCAATTTTGTCCAATTGTGTATACATGCCAGCCATGCGCTTGCCGAATGCATCTCTGACGCGCTTGCTTGTGCTTGTGCCTTTCTTGACAGCCTCGACATCGAGGAACTCCTGCAGGGTCGAACTTCCGTTTGGAGAAGCTTTGCGCGATGCCTGCGCAGCCTGAGGTGAGCGCAACTCTTTGGACAGGAAGTGCGCGAACTCGACTTTCGCAGGTATCGAGCCCAGCTGGCCAAGATCGATGTCCAGGCGCGTCAGGTTGTCGCTGGCTTCTTTCTCCACGCCGTCAAACCACTCCTTTGCTGCCTGGTACTTCTGCTCCAACCCCCTGATGTGCAAATCATGGTTTCCCACGGCGACCTGTGTTCCCTTCTCGATTGTTGCCTGCTCGGAGAAGTGCTTCGAGGCTATGACAGACATGGCGTGTGATTTCTCGAGGACGGCAAAGGCCCAGTCGCGGCGAGCCTGAAAAAGCGACCGCCATGATTCCATATCCGTATTGTTCGCGAGGAACTTCGGTGGGTCTTCAGGCGTGAAGACATCTGGGAGCGGTGTGGATGGAATAGTCCGCTGGGATCCGTTCGAGAGCTCGCGGCTGTATACGAAGATGTCCTTCTCTGTGAGTAGCGCCTGGAGCTTGACATGCTTGCCGGCGGGCGTCAGTAAGATCTGGAGCTCAGGCGCAATATCCGTAGCTCTTGCGATCCAGTGCTTGAGCGCATCGACGGATACGAATGCAACGGGATCAGCGTCAAAGCGCTGGCCCGTGTGAGCTACAGCAATCTGCAGCGACATTCCGCAAACCCTCCTGCTGCTTCGGGGAAATCATGCAGCAGGTGTGAAAAGAATAATGAGGGTCAATAGTACTCTCTCACGAATGTCAACCTGCCAAGCAGGCAGGGTCGGGCGCACGGCCGGCGACCATGCATCATTCACGCGCGCGATAACTGATAGTCACATGTGCTGCCTGGGTCACTCACTTGAGCACAATACACCTTGGGATTGCGGTAAAGATGGCGAACAAAGATGATACTGCCATGACGGACGCAAACGCCAAATCAGCGGATTCATGCGACCTTGGTGATTTGCTTCAAACAAACCACGGCGACGCGTTCCTGTTCACCGAGTCCGAGGCGCTAGCCCTCGAGCTCTATGACCAGCTTCAGGAGCTTGAGCTGCAACAGAGCTTGTTACGAGGGCAAGAAACAGGCACGTCATGTCGCTGTGCGAGGTTTGAGGCTCAAGGCTAACACATTTGCAGCGCGTGGGCCTGATGTCTCAAGTCTCTCAGATGATGACCTGCAAGAGCAGCTGATCGTGGCCGAGCGCGAGGCTATGGAAGCAAAGGCAGAGTACGAGTTGCGCAACAGGATCATCCACAATGTTCTTGTCACGGATCCGGTGCTCAAGGCTATCCATGGGGTTGAAGAGATTGACGTTGCCGAGAGGTGAGCTCTTGTCTCAACATTAAACATGCTCCGCCTGACGTTCAGAAGGCGCTTACTGCCTCTGATCACCGAGAACGATACCGTAGCTATGGTGCAAGGCCATCTGAGTTCCAAGCTTGCTTCTTCGACACATGCCCTGGTCACAGTAGAGCAGGCAAACATTGTTGCAAATCAGAAGAACAGAGAATTGTCTAAAGCCATGCTCGCTCTGGCAGAGGCAATGAAGGCACAGTCAGCAGAAGATATTGAAGACCCGAACTTGCGCGAGCAGATCAAAGTGGTGGAGAACGAACTGAAGGAGTCAAGAAGAAGGATGAAGACACTCAAGGGCATCCTTTCAGCGATGATCGTTGGCAGCGGCATAAACTGGGCGGCGGACGAAAACCTAACCGAGCTTGTTCTGGACGATGAGGATGATTGAAAGCCTACAGATCCGGGCAAGATGAGCAGTCACTTCGGTTGAAATTTTCAACAGCATCTTCAAATGTAGGTATCTATCTTGTTGCTTGCTATTGCCGGCTTCCGCTGCTCGCCAAGGGCATGCGGTGATGTAAACCGGGCACTTTCAGCGCTTCCTGGAAGTACACCGCAAGAAGTAGTGCGCGAGGGAGGGCGACCAAGAAGAGCCTAAAGCATCACAAGCGCTGCGAGGAGCTGTAGAAGAAAGACGGTACTGCAGAGGAAGCTTCAGTATGACGTAGCAGTTGACAAATAGCCAGCGGAGAGCTAAGGCTCGAAAGCTCGGAGCGTTCATGTTGACATTCAGCGCAATACCACATTAGGATGGAAGATCCAATGTTGAATTGATGGCAATATGATGGGCCTGGCTAGTCGTTTTTCCAACGTCGAAACTCGAGATCATGCGTGAAACAAGGTGGAGCGTGACGCAAGACGCAATGCGCCTGCTCAACGGCGCTGCGGCGTCGATCAATGAGCTCCCCACAACATCTTACATCGCAGCTTTATATTGGATCCAGGCTAGCAACAGCAACGCCTGATAAAGAATGTGAAAAGTGCGAGTGCTTTTCGCTCGTCTCAAGCTCTCCTGGCGCACGCCAAAGGTGCAGTGGATCCAGGTCTCGCCCAAGCTGGCAAGTCAGAGGCACCTTGCAGCAAGACAGCCAGCGGTCTTTGTTGCTGGAAGCGGACCAGGCGCATGAGACTCGGCTCGCAGGCAACGGCAATGCCGCAAAAGAGCACTTGCTGCGGGGTCAGGGAGACGAGCTGACGTCCGGGCCAGCCTCCAAGCGGCTTCTGGAGAACATCGAAGATTGCAGGCACCCCCTTTCGGTCGGCGTGCGCAGCGGGCTGGTAGGCGGGTGAGCGAGTAACATCGATATGCCAACAACTAAAGTGATATCAAGGGCGGCTTTGCACAGCACTGACCAGTTGCAGCACGTATCGACTGCAATGCGCAATTTCACTCCTCGAAACCAGCCAGTCAAGGTTGGGAGGGCGACCGGCCACGCCCAAGATGCTGCATGTTTGTGCGTCGCCTTGCGCAGGTGCTGAAGGCTCGCAGAGCGGTCGCTAGAGGAGATAAAAGTGCAATATTGATGCTAAATTTGCCTAAAAAACGTGGAGACGGTCAGAAACACCTGTTTGACTCTGGCAGCTTCGCCGATATCGTTTGCAGCCCGTGTGCTGCTGCGAAGCACCCGGCGTCGTTGGGAGGGGCTTGCGGTGCGAGCGCGCCTGCCATAACATCAGAGTTCGCTTACATAACGCCGCTTGGCGCAAGCTGCGGTTTTGGGGGGAGCGCCTGCCCGCCCTCATACTGTGTGAGCGTCCTCTCCCATACAAATCCTCTCCATACAAACTGCTTCCACCGCAGAACACGACTTCGGTGAGTCTCGCTTGCACTATATCACATCCACTTGAGCTCCAACACAACCACGCATCTCTATACTATTTTACGCGCGTCTACTGGCCTCAATTCGCGTCTCTACAGCTTGTCCTGCCTTCTTTTCAGCACAATTTGAGCGTCGTCGAGTTCCCATCCTGTTCTTGACCGTCGCGCTGCACAGCAAAAGCACGCATGCTAACAACCATACAGACTTCAGTCACCCCATTGAATTCTACCGATCTCAAATCTTTCAGTAAGTCCTGTCATCTTCCACCCTCGCAAAATCGCGCATTCTCGCGACGCATCGCGGCGTTTTGCGACCGCGTCACTCTGCACGCGCCACAAGATGCTGCTGCACGCAGGTCACTCATGTACACCCACCACCCACGAATGTCGGTACTGGCGGTCCCACAACCATTCACTTCATTTTTACGTCATTAATTGACGCGTGTGTCCATTTACTTGCATACTCCCTCTCTTCATTCAATAACCGCCTGCTAACAATCCGTGCAGCACAACAATATGCCTAAGGAGAAGGTAACCCGCGGTAAGGGCAGGAAGGCCGATGCTGGCAAGAAAAAGAAGGGTAATATCACGTCTATTCACAATCGTGCGCACTCACTAACACACAATAGACCCCAACGCGCCCAAGCGCGGTCTCTCCGCCTACATGTTCTTCGCCAACGAGCAGCGCGACAAAGTCCGCGAGGAGAACCCTGGCATCAAGTTCGGTAAGCCAAGGTCCATTGGCTTCCGCGTTGCACATGCTAATTCTTCGCAGGCGAGGTCGGCAAGCAGCTGGGTGAGAAGTGGAAGGCTCTCTCTGAGAAGCAGCGCACTCCTTACGAGGCCAAGGCCGCTGCTGACAAGAAGCGTTACGAGGAGGAGAAGGCTGCTTACCAGGTATGTCCTGTATGTTTGCGGCGTGATTCTTGCTAACAAGTTTCAGGAGCGTGCCGAGGAGGAGGAGGAGGAGGAGGAGTCCGAGTAGAATATTCCTTCACTCGCTGTCTTCCTAGTCTAATATGCACTCACGTGCTTCGTCTTTCGGTGCTTTGGTTAGGCGGTATGGTGTCACGGGCGGCTTCAGGATCGGATATTTCACATGGTTCATCTTAATGGTTCTATGCGAAAGCTGCTAGCGATCTGGTTCATTCGACGGACTGCCGCAGTACAGCTTCACCAAGGCAGACATAGCTTCGGCACATGTCTATGATGTATGGCGTTCTCTCACCATTGAGGGCGCGTAAGTCATCATGAAGCTTATGATCTTTGTACAATAGTCAACTGCGGCTTCAACATCTTTGTCATAATCTTCTGCGCCGTGCTTGTATGACTTCGTGAGTAGACGGTCTGGACTTCTCTGCCCACGCGCTTTGCCTGACTCACACGGCCCTGTAGTACGATGAGAACGGTACATCGTCATAGCATAGACCAACACCTAGCTCCATGGCACGGTGATGTTTACTCAAGTGCGGTTCGACGCGTACGCGTAGCGCTACTCATACCTCGGTACATCAGGTCCCAGCCTACTTCGTACCTTCAGCTACGAAGTCGAGCGATTGCATACCGCAGGACACCACGCAGACTCGTCCATACCTCGAAACAAAGCTGTGGGACTCGCGTAGAGAACAACATAGTTGTTTGTCGTTCGAATCTCTTCGAAACAATCTTCGACGAAGGGCCCGCAGCATGTAACCGCTTATTATATCACGCCGGCTGTATCTGAGATGCTGCGTGACAGGAAAGCCTACTGCGAACCTCATCTTCATGTCCTGCTCTTCCCGTCCATCAAGATGTTGATCGAAACTCACGATATGTTGAGAAGGGCGGCATCTGTCCAACGAGTCTTCGGCCCCTTTGTCTTGTGGGGTGCCGCTTTACTGGGTCCGCGATAGAGGCGGTGAGTAGTCCGGATCTTGCATCATCATTACCTTCTCAACCGACGAATAACTTGACAACACTACTGTACTGCTCACGAGCTTGAAATGCGTGCCTCACAAGACCACCGGCCGAGTCTATCCGGTCTATAAAGTATATATATAATATTTTCTGTCCTAACCTAACAACTATCTCTCAAAGCATCCGTAGTGCAGTGGTTAGCATATCTGCTTCCCATTCATGGTGACAGCAGGGGGTCGCGGGTTCAAACCCCGCCGGATGCATCACCCTTTTTGCTCTTCGCCAGGTCTTCTGCGCGGTGATGCAGAGGATGTTTTTGGTGGTGAGGGCGCGGTCGCTGGGGACGCTAGTGAGGAGCAACCAATGCCTTCGTATGTCGCAGCATCTACTTTTCTGGTATATCTACCACCTGTTTCGGAGCGAGGAATGGGATTCCTTTTGCTCCTTTCTTACAACAGAGTATCGTAATTGCTTTTGCTTTGTCCCCTTTTGACGGTAGATATTCACGACGCCATACAAGACTTTAGCATAAGACCGTTCATGTCTGGCTACTTGCGACGTTGAGCTGTGACCTGCTGTAGCTCAGGCAACTAACACGATATATGCATACCAATAGAACCTTCAAGGCCGAATGGTGGCGCTTCACCCGAGCCTGAGATAATAGCACTGGCTTCCTATAGAACGGTTATTTCATTCCAATATTCGTGTGACAGCCCAAACGCCCTGCTCTGCTATAATAGCTGCAGTGGTACACGGCCTCAAGCCAATGTGCACTCCAGCGCGTCTCCATCCGTTGGTATGGCCCGTCTGCAACATGTCCAGTATGCTCGCGGCGTTCCCACTCGACGGCTCTCTCCACATCATTCCCTCTGTAACACCACCATCAACCCCATTATTCCCAGCATGACCTGCTTCAGCCATGGGTGCTCGCTCAGCAAGATTGTGACGTAGCCTACGAAGGGAATGAAGCCGACCACACTACCAATGACATCCTCCTTGCGGTTGAGGAAGGACTGGCCCTGCGCGTAGAGCTCGGTGTCGTCCGCGAGGTTGTTGTCGCCCTTGGTGAGCAGACGGAGGGGCGTCTTGCTGTGAACTCGTCAGCACTTGCTCTCCATTCTTGATTCGCCAGCACCAGAAGCCGTGATATCGAATTTTTTGCACACCCTCGAAGCTCTGTCCCAACTCGAGCTTCTCGCTGCGCGGGCGTAATCCGAGAAAGTTATACTTACTTTCCACCATACCTCCGCACCACCCTGTGCACAATCGGGATATCCTTGCCCTTGACGTTGTACACCACAATCTCTCCGACCTGTGTATCCAGTCCCCGGTTCCACAAGAACAGCAGATCTCCCCTCTGGAACGCGGGCTCCATGGACCCTGAAAGCACAACGACGATGGGTGAAGGCGAGTCGCTAGCTATGGAGAGACCCTTCCATAGCATGAATGCGGTCGAGAGGACGAGCGCGAAGTTCAGGACTTGCGCGGCGAGTTGCCGGGGCTGCATGCCTGCGACGCCGAGCATAGTCGCGGTATGGGTGGTGGTGAGGGTGGGATAAAGGATTGTGCGTGCGCAGGCGGTGAATTTACGCAGGTGGATGCGCGGCGGCCTCTTGACTGGGCGAACGTGTACGTGATCTTTGGTTGTCTTATGTACGAGCTCTTGGTGCCTGCAGTGGTGAGCTTGATGCCAGATGTCCTGAGATTGGTTAGCTGTTATCGATAGTGAAACCCCCGAATGTCCTCCGCTCCGCTGCTTCAACACCACCGATACCATGATCTCGAGACACTCCTCAATAAACCCATCGCGAACACCATAGTTGAGGTGACGTAGACTTCAAGATGACAGAATCATTTGCTTGCTCATCCGAAGAATGGGCCAGGTCTCGTCCTCTCTCACCTGGCAAACGACCGTGCTTCAGCTACCTTTACTTTGACTTTGATTTTAGATTTCGCCATATTTGAAAGATACATTTCTATTTTCCTACTTACCTCCTCATGGTCTCACTGTTAAACATTCTGCGTTACTAAGCCAAGTTGACTAGACTACCGTGTAAACTCCACCCCCCCCCCCCCCCCCCCCCTCTCCGTATATGTCACAGTACCCGACTCGTAGCTCGCTTCCTCGTCAACGATAACTTCTCGAAGATAGCACAACTGACTACGATGCGTAATTTGAGAAGCCCCGCGCCCGGCATGGTACTGCTCTACCAAGAATGCGTATCCATTCCATTGTGGCCTGCGGTACACCTCACAGACGATGTTACACCACAGTCATTCCTCGCAACTCGACCGCCCGGGCTTCACTCAATCGTGCTGAAACTATCTAGAGTGGCTGACTACAGTTATCTGTAAGTTTGATGCCGACGCATGAATGCATCACAACACTGACTACGATAGGCGGTGGGCATTGACGTCACAGATGACAACGTTCGACCCCAGCGCTGCCGACAAAGAGACGAAGCGAACTACTCCAGGACTTCAAGAGGCGTATGACATTGCTCTCGATTCTCTTGACGTGGAACTGCCATTGGAATACTGGAAGGCTATACTTGATTCTATTCAAGAAGAAGAGCTACCACCCGTTGACAACGACCAAAATGGCTTTGACAGTGACCCAGAGATGGCGGAGGCGATCAGAATGGGTATCATCGATGTCCCTCCGCAAATAATTCGCTCTCGACAAAAGCCACCGGTACCTCGTATGGGACTGTCAAGCGGAGTCTCCAAACCTTCGCATTCACGGCGTGTGAGCTCAGTCCCGCATCAGTACGATACAGAGTTGCCATTGCCTATTCGCAAGCACCCGCAGCCACCATCAAGTTTGCTGACACTGGCACCTTCACCTCTAGTCGCGAACAAGTCCTTCAGCTTCTCATCGCGACCACCGAAGCGTTCAGGTCCACCTACGCCAGCATACGTGGATGATGATCTGCTTTCGCCCACGCAGAGGAGAAAGCTCGGTAGAAATACGGGGGCTGAGCGAGCCAGCGCCTATCAGACAACATCACAATCCACTCAAGGGATATCCTCCTCACCGTTCACCTTCTCCGATGACAGCGAAGATGAGTTGCCTCCACCGCCCCCGAGGGGGAAGTCATCAATTCGCAGACCGGCATCTGTATTGCCACTATCCGCGCAGGATCTATTCCTCAATAACGGACTGAGGGCTTCAACGCCTGCGGCGCCTGATGCGGACGTCATTGAAGAAGATCTGTATGTAGAATGCGTGATCAAGAGTTTCCTCCGTCTAATATGCAACAGTGAAGAGAGCAATCAGTTCGTACAGGTGTTCGTTGGTCCTGAGATAGATCCAGCAAATGGCAGTGACATTGATCCTCAACGCCGCAAGTACAAGTTGCAACTCCTCAAGCAGCACGTGTGGGACAGGCCTTACTTCCGCGATGCGCTCTCGGCAAGGAACTATATAGGGCCCATTGGCGAGAATACATGGGAACTCGTCCATCCGCGACTTGTCGACATCTCCCCAGAAGATTTTCGTTGGGCCGCAGAGTACTTGTCAGGCGGCGATTTTGGCCACCGAGAGCCCGAGACTGAGGAGGAAGTCAAAGATACATTCGCCCAATGCATGTCAGCACGGAGGACTGCCGAGCTTCTGAACATGGACGACCTGCTCGAACACATCGTCGACAAGATTCGTGCCTTCCAGCCCTGGTGGGACCTCTGGAACGTAATGGCATTTGCCGTCTCAATTTACCAGAGCGAGGTTTCTCTGCAGGCACATGACGATCTGAAGGAGCTGTTCACGGGATACATCGCAGATCTCTTCTACATCTATATCGAAGACGATCATATCAGCACGACTTTCACCGACCGTCTGAAGCAGCTGCCAGAGCTCGAGAGAGACGTCTTGAAGAAGCGATTTGCACAGCTGGAGCACCGTTTGCAGCCGCAGGAGGAGAAGAACAACCAGTAGACCAAGAAGAGGAGAAGCAAGAGGATGATATGGATATGTACAGCTGATTGGGACAGTTACAGAATGCATGCTCATCAGTTGCGAGTAGCACGTCCACTTTCGAGATTGCTGGAGAAACAAGACAGAGTCGTGGCAGTGCTCTCATAGGTAGAGGTGACGGGCCAGAGCAGGAGCAAGATATCCGGCCAATTAGGCGCGGAGAGTTCTTCTTTACGAATCTGTCCTTGTCAACGGTTTCAGGATGGCTCATTGAGAGGTGTCTCACATCACGACGGCCGCAACTCAAGCGAGGCGACAACAGCTCAAATTTGAAATGGCGGTTGGCCAAATGCGGCGTTTCGGTTCGGATATGTTCATACTTTCCCTCTTTACGCTTGCTCTACCACAACCCCTGAATTTCAGACAGTCGCTGCGTCGGCTCAATCACCGTGGTGCTATCCGCCGTGGTTGTCCTTGACATGCTTCCCGTATCACGGAATGTAGGGAAAGCTGCGACATCGTTATCTGCACTTGCATCCCAGCCTAGTGTTTCCTCCTCATGATCCATCGGCGCCCATGCAGCGTCTTCTTCCTCCTGCATTCTCGCATCGTTGTGCGGCACGAACAGGCTCTCTTCATCCTCTGATTCGGCTTGTGTTAACGCGGCCTGGGACTGCAAGGGTGCCGATGATGGCTGCCGTGAGCCTGGGTTGCGTAGGCGGCCGTTTTGGTCTCGCCGTGATGCTGGCTGAACCGGCGGCGGCATCTCTGAGCGTAGGCTGCGTTTATCTGTTCGTTCCGAAGCAGTTGACTGTACTTGCGAGGCTTGTCTACTCTGCTGCTGCGGTGTAGCCGAGTGTTGTTCAGGTGCGGGGGTTGACGTGGGCAGTGCCCCGGCATAATCGCCGGATGTCATGAGTGTAAACTGAGCCACGAGCCCGTCACACCCATAGCTAAACTGAAGTGGTCGAGCAGGAGCTGAGTAGTAGGCTTTGAGACTGGTTTTGAGTGTGTCGGCATGTAGGACGATGGCCTTGAAGTCTTTGACGCTGATGACGATGTGTAGCCCTGCTTGGACGCTAAAGTCTTCGAAGTCGGATGTGTTCACGGCGACTGCTGTGACGAGTGGGTGTTTGAGGATCTCTTTCCCATCTGAGATCTTTTCTGTGTAGCTCTTGAAGACACATCGCCCGTCCTCTCCAGTAAAGATGTCCAGTAGCTCAGTCTTCGTGCCAAAGTACTCGATGTACTCTCGAATGGCGCCAGAATGCATACTCCATCGATTTCGCGCGATACTGCGGTCGAAGAGTGCATGCATGACATCAACAGCCTCGTATGTCAACTTGTACGTCTTAGTGACTCCTTGATTGCAAACCATCTTGACAATAAACCTGCAGTAAGCTTCATTGTTCTGCTCTTGCAAGCCGACTTCGCAGCGCTCGACTGCTCCATCCCGGCCTAGTGGGTCGTACAATCGTCCCTTGAAGACAGACAGCAGGGCCTTGGTATACATGCTGCAAGTGAAGCGCCCATCGGCCCCGCCTGCATCCGGAATGCACTCATACTCGCTGAAAAACTGCTTGCCGTCCAGAGTCACTGCACAGTATGCAGACTTGGAAGAGTTGAGGGCGGTGAATGTGAACTGAGACGAGGAGCATGAGAAAGTGACCAGAATAAATGAGATCCAAGGTGACCCACTCTTTCTCGACGCGCCTCGACGGCGACAGTTTCGCTGAACTTTCCCAAGCACACAAGCAGATCATGTACTTTCGATGCTGCCTCGGGCGTCAGCGTGAAGTTGAGGACAGTCATCTTGCATGTCTATGTCGGATGGCGCATCGCTAGGCATCAAAGTTGAGACGGTGCTCCGGAAACGCGTCGTCGAAAGCGCGCTAGTGCGGTGACATCACGAGATTGCGGAGCTTTGGTTGTGCGACAGCATCAACGTCAACATCAGCATCGGGTTTTAGCAAAGTTGCGCCAGAATGGCTCCCGCGCTGCCGGATGATATTCTGCACGTGTTGTGTGAAGAGTTGGCCAATCTGCGACAATTCGACACTCTCTTCAACTGCGCATGCGCCAGCCGAGTGCTAGCTGTGCCTGCACTGACTAATCTATATCGGTGTGTTACATGTACTCTCCTCTCCTGCAGCATGCTGATCATTTGTGAAGGTCACACCATGAGGCGCCAATCCGAGGTGGTGGAGATGATGCACTAGGCACTCCACTTGCTCAGAGACTCTTGGTCACCCAACGATGGTCCATCCTGTGGAAGTCCATTATCGCCTCGAGTCTCGGCACCACTATGTTCCCGTACTGTCGCTACATCAAGACACTTGACTTCCGTGATTTGGGGAATCTCTTTGGCGATGAGCAGTTCCGCAGCGAGGTCCAGATGTCAGTGAACCAATCACACAGCGCCTCTTGTATTGATCCTTGTCAGGCACTTTTTTTCAGGCCCTCTAAAGCAGTTCGAGAGGACTGAGCAACGGAAGAGTGCGTCTGGGAATAAGTGGACCAGTTTGTTGGATGCCGATACCATCGAAGCGATTGGGGAAGGTGGGCACCTTATCCCTCTTGAGAATCTGCACGAGAACTTACGCAATCAGCTGTCACGCAACATACACCAATGCTTGAAACGATAAGTGGTGAACGTAAGATTTTTCGAGTTCTTTCTGTTATCTTGCTAAAGGCCTCCAGTGAAATCAGATGCACTCGTCCGGTGGACTTCTCGACTGCCGCGCTTACAAAACTTGGAGCTCTTCGATGGAAGACCCCTTGAGAACCCGTTGGTGCATACATCACTTCATGAGTACTGTTCCAACTTCAATGAGCTCATGATCTATACGTGGTCACAAGAAGATTTAATGTCTGACCACCGCGACCAGAAGTTCGCCCAGTTCCTGAGTTCGATGCGGGCCGACTCCTTGAAGTCACTGCAGACCATGCACGACATAGGTGCTGACGCCGAGACTTTCTCAGCATTGAGTCATCACGGCGGCTCGCTGGAAGATCTTGGAATGTACACCTCGAACGAGTCCTTGTCGCACCTGAACATGTTGCAAGGCTGCACAGCCTTACGACAGTTGCGCATTGAAGATACTCATGGCGTGGTGGATCTTCAAGCAACTCAGAACGACGTATTTCTGGAGACAATCGCATGGCTCAGCAAGTGCAAGGGCCTGCGGGTCATTCGCTTCTCAAACTTCGCATCTGGCGCCGCACTCATGACGCCTGTGCTTCTCGAGCAGGATATCAGACTTGAACATCTGGAGATCGACTCGTACGTCCTGAAGGACCACAAGACTTTTCATCAAGCGCTCGTTCATCAGCAATCACATATGATCGAGCTCTCCCTCAACGGAGAACCAGACGGTATGTTCCGGGATGATCTCGACACACTTGTTGATTCGTTGAAGCAGCTGAAGGCAATGCGACGGCTTTCATTGACACTTCCCGAAGTGCTCCGTGACGAGCATATCGTCGCTATCTTCCAGAATCTCAAGCAGCTCGAGACCATTTATGTCACAGGTTTGGAGATCAACGATGACGTGTTGCCAACTATCGGAGGGTTACCTAATCTACGAGATGTCACTCTTTCAGGCATCTCGAAGTTCACCGTGGATGGACTTTTCGACTTCATCTCGATGCTCGGTACCGGAAACCAAGGCATCCGTGTTATCATCGACCAGGCGGACCCAGATACTGCGCTCACTGACGAAAACCAAGCAGTACTGAGTAAGTATATTGCTGAGCATTCAGGGGGTACATTCGACTACACACTGTTCAGAGGTTTGTTGCACCTTGTCGCTGGCGCTATTTGCTGTAATACGTGCTGACCCCAAATAAAGATCCGTACCTCTCCGACTTTGAAGGTGATTCGGATTGAGTGCACGCCTTGATGATACCTCGAAATAGAAGGTTAACTAGATTGTCGACCTGACCCGAATCGAACTGAGCACAAGAAGCTGGAACCAGCTAAGCCACGAAGCGTTGCCAGCGGCAAAATTTGCGAGGCAGGTGCCAGGTTTCTAAATCACAATTGGACATGAGCATAAGAGCTACGATGTAGGCTCTCTTGATAAAGGAATATTTTCAGTTTGATGAGGATTGACCCGAATCGGGAGTCGCACTTGCAGAGTGCAAAGTACCGATCCATTACGTGGGTCTCGCCTAGTCTCGGATACGTAGCGGGGCTCGGAATGGGTACCGCTTTGTACCTGACGTCTTCCATAATCCAGACCTTTAGATCAAGTGTATCAACCCGATCCTGTTTATCAATGGCTGCTACAAAGCGGATTTTGGTGATCGCTGGGTCGGACAGCTCCGGTGGAGCGTACGCTCTCTGCCCCTTCCTCTCACCCCATCAATTGCGACTGACACGATATTCGCAGTGGTCTTGAGGCAGACCAGAAGGTCATTGCTGCACATGGGTGCTATGCGATGACTGCAACTACTGCCCTCACCGCACAGAACACACAAGGCGTACAAGACGTCCTCCATACACCGCCTGCGTTTCTTAAGAAGCAGCTGGATGCAGTCTGCGAGGATGTCGGAGTGGACGTAGTCAAGACAGGTACTTTTTGGCGCAATTATACAAGGTTGTGAGAATTGACGATATATCCAGGCATGCTTGCGTCGGCGGAGACTATAGAGATCGTTGCAGACGCATTTCGCCGATACAATGTCGCGAAAAGCGTGGTTGACCCTGTATGCTGCCCATCCGTACCTCTCGAAACCAAGCAGGTCGAAGACTAACTCTGTCGAAAGGTGATGGTATCAACATCTGGCTCGCATCTTCTTCCAGAGTCAGCCATCTCAACTTTGATCGGAAAGCTGTTGCCTCTGACCACTATACTCACGCCCAACCTGCCTGAGGCTGAGTTACTCTTGAAGATCGCCGGCGTAGACATCAAGAGCCCGGAAAACGTCGATGATATTGTGGCAATGGCTAAACATCTCCAACAGCTAGGTCCCAAGTACGTCTTACTCAAGGGCGGACACCTGCCGCTCACAAAGGGGCATCTAGTCAGCAAAGGCGAGAAAGAGAGCGCGATTGTCTTGAACGTATTGGTCAGCCATGACGAGGTGATCATGATGGAGAGTGAATACTTGCACAGCAAGAATACTCACGGAACAGGATGCTCATTAGCATGCAAGATCTCCGGAATGTATGAGTGAGCATCATGCTAACTTCTCTTCAGCTGCCATTGCGTGCAACCTCGCTTCTGGTATGAACATGGCAAAAGCTGTCAACAAAGCCAATCGTTACGTCGAGACTGGCATCAGAACAAGCCGGGATTTAGGTAAGGGTAGTGGACCGATTAACCACTTCCATGCTATGTACACACTGCCATTCTCACAGTAAGTCCCTGCTACGAGAGCACTGTTGATCTCGGCATATGCTAAGCACTACTTCTTCAGAGGCGACTTCATACAGTACCTGCTAGACCGCGACGACAGTCAGAAGCCATGGAAAGCCTACATCGAGCACGAGTTCGTGCAAAAGATGGGTGATGGGTCACTGCCCATCGAGAACTACAAGTACTACCTGATCCAAGACTACTTGTTCCTCGTGAGGCCCCAATCAACGAAGGCTATGTGGAAAAAGTACTGACAACTCGACAGATTCAGTTTGCACGCGCCACGGCCCTCGGAGCTTATAAATCCAGTTCTTTGACGGACATTGGCCGCTCGGTGCAACAAGTTGTCACGCTGCAGGAGGAGATCAAGCTGCACATCGACTTCTGCAAAGACCAAGGCTTATCCGTGAAGGACATCGAGAGTCAGGAAGAGGATCAAGCCACGACTGCATACACCAGATACGTCCTGGACATTGGGCAGTCTCAGGATTGGCTTGCACTGCAAGTGGCCCTCTTGCCCTGTCTGATTGGATATGGCATCATTGCAAAACGCCTCTTCGATGACACCAACACACTCAGGGAGGGCAGATACTGGACGTGGATCAAACAGTACGTCGACGAGGAGTATATGGAGGCAATGGCGAGAGGCTCTGCTCTGATTGAGGAGCATGCAGGCAAGCAGTCGGTTGCGCGTCTTGACGAGCTGGCCCAAATTTTTATTCATGCCACAAACGTAAGTGCTACACCCCACAACTTCCCATTATTAAGCTGACCTGCCCCAGATGGAAAGAGGTTTCTGGGACATGGGCATGAGGGCCGGAGTTACAGCCAAGTGATGGCCAGAGCAATGCACTTCGAACAGGAAAGCAATTTTGTCGTCGCGGCGATGGCGCACGCCAAGTAGCATACGTTTGCAGATAACAAAGGTGGTTGTGGGTCTTTGTTGTCGATAACGCTCTTCGCCCCTTCCAATATTTTCAGTGGACCGTGCCCTGCCAAGACGGTGAGGCAAACATAATTTTCTGTTTCGCACCACAACCACAACTCACCTCTCCCACAAGTTCCACAGTGCATACTTTGCGATCTCTTATTGTCGCATAATTGCAACTAATACAATACAACCGTTTCACACGAAACGCAACGCTCACTTTTGCTGAAGCGTTATCCCTTTCACTGTTCCCTACTGAACACTCGACAATCATGTCTTACGGAGGTGGATACGGTGGTCGCGGCGGCGGCGGTGACCGCGGCTACTCCAACGGGTACGAAAACAGCAACTCTGGATACAGCGGCAGCACCTACAATAGTCACGACTACACTTCCAGCCATCATGCATCGTACGGGTGAGACGATTCATCCCCTTAGCACGGGAGGGCATCAGTGTGGTGGAACTGTGGACTGCCCTTGTTCATTTGCGATCTCTTTCATCAAGGCTCTGCGCGCAGACTGAGTCCGCGGCTATGCTTGCTTCACCTGCTTTCACAGGTCAGGCGGGCGGTCGCGTACTTTCTGCAACAGCGTAGAGTTCCCCTTTACTGTCTCCATCCTCCTCCTGAGTACCTAGCACTAACCTATATTCAGTGGTGGCTACGGCGGCGGCGGTGGCTCCAACGGATATTCTGGCGGCGGCGGCGGTGGCTACGGCGGCGGCGGCTACGGCGGCGGCGGCGGCTATGGTGGTGGAGGTGGTGGAGGTGACCGTATGGGCCAGCTCGGCTCTGGTCTCAAGCAGCAGGAGTGGGGTACGCATGCTGGATAACTTGTCAAGAGCTCAGCTAACAAGATACAGACATGGACACATTGCCCAAGTTCGAGAAGTCTTTCTACAAGGAGGACCCCGATGTCGAAAACCGCTCCGCCGAAGATGTTGAGGCTTTCCGCAAGGAACACCAGATCGCAGTCAAGGGCTCCAACGTCCCGAAGCCCGTCACAACATTCGACGAGGCTGGTTTCCCCGGCTACGTTATGAACGAGGTCAAGGCGCAAGGCTTCGCTAAGCCCACACCCATTCAGTGCCAGGGATGGCCCATGGCTCTCTCTGGTCGCGACGTTGTTGGTGTTGCCGAGACTGGTTCCGGAAAGACCCTCACATACTGCTTGCCCGCCATCGTCCACATCAACGCTCAGCCTCTCCTCGCACCCGGCGACGGCCCCATCGTCCTGATTCTCGCGCCCACCCGTGAGTTGGCTGTTCAGATTCAGGTTGAGATCAGTAAATTCGGAAAATCTTCTCGTATTCGCAACACTTGCGTCTACGGAGGTGTTCCCAAGGGTCCTCAGATCCGCGACCTTGCTCGTGGTGTCGAGGTCTGCATCGCCACACCCGGTCGTCTCATAGATATGCTTGAGGCTGGCAAGACAAACCTTCGCCGTGTCACCTACCTCGTTCTCGACGAGGCTGACCGCATGCTGGACATGGGTTTTGAGCCCCAGATCCGCAAGATCATTGGACAGATTCGCCCTGACCGTCAGACTTGCATGTGGTCTGCTACATGGCCCAAGGAGGTTCGCCAGTTGGCTGCCGACTACCAGAACGACTGGATCCAGGTGAATATCGGTTCGATGGATCTGTCTGCCAACCATCGCATTCAGCAGATCGTTGAGGTTGTCTCAGAGTTCGAGAAGCGCGACCGCATGGCCAAGCATCTCGAGACCATCATGAACGACAAGAGCAACAAGATTCTTATCTTCACAGGTACCAAGCGTGTCGCCGACGAGATCACACGATTCCTGCGTCAGGACGGGTGGCCTGCGTTGTGTAAGTCACTCTCAAGATTCGCTTATATGACATTTGCTAATGTTCAATGCAGCTATCCACGGTGACAAGCAGCAAAACGAACGCGATTGGGTCCTGAACGAGTTCAAGACTGGCAAAAGCCCCATCATGGTTGCCACTGATGTGGCTTCCCGTGGTATCGGTATGATTGCAAACCCCTCAACACCCCCTCCCCTCTCCGAACTATTATTACGCGTGAACTGCCAATATGCTCTGCTTAGGTTGTCTCGTGCGCTTGCTGCATTCGCTCCCATGACATCGTCCATGGCTTGAAGTCCGTTAGAATCTGAACGCCAGGGATCCTGGAGCATACTTGCGAGGCTTTCGCTCTTCACTGCTCTTTGTTTCACGTGCCTTTTGAGGCACCACTGAGGCAAGCTGAGATGATATGACTCCTGTCGAGTTACAGTCTCTTCCAAGGGTTTCTGGACCAGGGGATATTCTACAGCCTCTTCCACTGGACCTGATGCCGTGAATCTCGTCGTAGCGCACTTGAGACACTTGCACGCAACATGCTGCTGCAGCTTCACGCGATCAAGATATGATCGTTCGTTTGCTCGTCACACTTACCAAGATGCTAACCTTTGCTCTTCAAGATGTCCGCAATATCACTCACGTTTTCAACTATGACTACCCCAACAACTCGGAGGATTACGTCCATCGTATCGGTCGTACTGGTCGTGCTGGTCAGACAGGTACCGCTATCACCCTATTTACTGCGGAGAGTACGTATATCCAACTTCGCCAACAGATCTTCGCTAACACCTTCCGTAGACTCCAAGCAGGCCCGTGATCTCGTCCAGATTCTCACGGAGTCTAAGCAGCAGATTGACCCTCGCTTACACGAGATGTGCCGCTACGGCGGTGGCGGCGGTGGTGGTGGCCGCTGGGGAGGTGGCCGTGGCCGTGGTGGTGGTCGCGGTGGCGGCGGAGGCCGGGGTGGTTGGTCCGGTGGTAACGGCGACCCCATTCGCAACAGCCGCTGGTAAACGCAACGCTACGTTCGATGATACGACATCCGGCAACGGCTTTTCTCGAGGTTCGGCGTTCGATGTAGACCATTTCCCTTTTCCACGTCACTTTCTTCTACCGACTGCAGCGAAGCAGATGTTACGCATCGTCGAAGCACACTGATACCCCAGAAGGACGCAGTATACTGACCATCATGCATGGGCATTGAGTCGGTAAAAGATCTGCGTGTAGAGTGGCTTTTCTACTTTTTCCTGTACTTGACTTGGTCACTCTTCAACACGCGCAAGGGCTCACGCGAATTTGCATCATGGAGCTGGCGGCGTCGCTTTCAAAAGTTCCATGTAATATGCATTTAGAAGAAATTGTCAATACTCCCAGAACTTCAAATCCCTCTCAATATTCCTGGTGTCGAGCATTCACTGGGATTATCGTGTCACTTGCCTCTCAGCACGCGGCGAATGACGCCTGCTGTGATTATGTGTCGTCGCATGGTTGCCTTTAAAATTTAGCAACTGAAATGAGTGCGGCAATACAACCTGCCGTAACTCGCCGCTCCTTCCTTTACGCCTCTCGCAGTCGTCTAGATCTTCGGTCCTTCCACACGACGGCGAACCCCGACTCATGTGGCTCAAGAAAGGGTTCATCGGTGGATCGCTATGCGCAAGGCGTGTATGACCAACCGTCAATCTCCACGGCGTCCCCGGCTCGGTGCAGACGAGGTAGAGAGATGGCCTGGACTGCTCTAGATGTACTCACTGTTAGGGATGAGGGGGTGATGAAGAGCGAGTTGAACGTTGAGCGGTGTGTAAGTGTGGTTATGATGAGGGGTCTAGTGTTACAAGTGGTGACGTATGGTCAGTGAATCCAAGTGATCGATCGAATCGGTCTGCACCTGAGATTACGCTCCTAGAGTCTGAGCTTCTAATATGTCAAAGATGTGCTGTATGTTGCTGGGCGTGAGAGATCGAGATGTCGAAACCTGACTGCCAAGTGATGGTGTGAAGGAAAGGGTCTTTCCTCAACAACTGAATTGGACCCCTTTCCACAACTTGTAATGGTAACGATCTTGACAGCCCTTTCCTGGACACTTGATCTTTTTCGGGCCATTCGCCTGATGCCGAATCTTGTCGAAACTTCCAGATAAAGGCCAGATGAAGTGAGTTGGTAGTTGGCCCACACATACCCGTACAAAGTTGTTTTTGCGCAGAGTGCATCATAGGAGCTTTCGGATCCACTGTTGGTGTGAAGAGATCTGAGGAGCAGGGCGTGAGTGTGAAGATTACCCGTCGCAACTAATCATATGTTCGATGTTCTGACATACTTCTTATAGCCGTGAGCATGTTCTGAGGCACTCGACTGGTATCTGGTGCATATACATTGAATAGCTAGGCATCGCTATGTGCCGCCTCGATGATGTGATCTCATAGTACTGTGGTTACTTTGATTCAGTCCGTGGATTCTCATGATCTTGGGACCTAGTCTAAAAATCATGTCGCTCCTGCGGTACCATTTTGCTGGGGTATTGGAGGCCTTCCCTTCTACCGGAGGCCAACGTGGTATACGTACGCGGGTCTTCTTCTACTCGGTATGACGGGCGGATCGGTATCGACACGCTAGATTTTGCCTATCTTCATCAAATTCTTGTTGGTTCTCTTTGAATGTCTATCTCGGGCTCCCATGAATCATAGGGGTTATTTATGGGCTTCACTTCGACCCGGTCTTTCCGCAATTTATTACCTCAACTAGCCGGACTGGAACTACTGGGCGTCGATACCGTGCTTCAATGCAATGATGAGCAATTTCACATGTCAAGCTGACCAGATTGACTTGTGTTGATATGGAGGAGAGTGGTCTGAGGGCACGTGTTTTCGAAGACGACGTAGTCGGTCGAAAAGAAGAGGCACTCCGTTCCGATGGAGAACATGGGAAGTGCGGTGAATCGTAGATGGGTAAGCTCTGCAACTATAAACTGGTGGTCGTCTGTTGTGAGCTATGTATGTGACGGAGCGTATGGTAGGTGTGATGAAGGGGAAGTCGTGGAAGAGACGCTTCTCGAGTCCTCGAGAGCAACGCCTAGTCCCATTGCAGCAGTAATCCACCTACACCATGGAACCCCCATGTCATATCATAATCGGTCAGGTTGTTGCCGCTGATAATAGTTGCTGTTCTTCTCTGCTTTGCCTTTGTGGTGTGCAAGTTGGTCTCAGATAGTCATAGTACAATGACGATATTGCGCATTCGCATTCAATTTCGATATTCGGTGACTCCCTTCGTGTCTTTGGTGCTCTTGTGAACTTTCTACTGGCACAAAATAAGTGGTGTTGACTACTGTAATTTTCTTTGTTGATACTGCTCAGAGGCAAACCAAGAAAGCAACCACAAGGAGCATTCAACATCAACATCCAAAATCATCCCAGATACACATAACTACCACACAAGGACATAGTCATAAGTTAGTTCGACTCGGATACATGGAGACCGTTATAATGAGCACATCGTTCATGCTTAGGTAGCATCACAGCAGCATCGACTGAGGCCTTAATTACCGCGACAGGACCAATCTATAGCTACATATATTCAAGCATGGAGGGCAAGCCGCCAGAGGTTTAAAGGTGCTCTGCATATATGGTTTGTTATGTCGGTGCCTACGAAGCCGTTGAACAATACTGACGACTCAGTTTGATCTGGGTTCATCGTAGAAAACATAGAACCTTCCGTGGATGTACATGATTAGAGTATACGCATTTCGCCTTTAAGCTGTCAAGACCTTTGGATAGAATGGGACTATCCCACGGGCATGCGACAAGCAGAGAAGCCTACTAAGGCGTGCGCTTCCGAGTCAATTGAGTTGCTCTGACTACGCGTTTGACCATCTCCTAGTACTGTCTCTTCAGTTGTTTAGACCTTATGCAAAGCCCGTGAAGATTGAGGATTGGGACGTTGCGATAGAGTGGAGGCTAGCAGTGCCGGCGTGAACGGTACTTGTAATCAAACACCAGCCGGTTGTTGTGTAGCCTGCGACTTGTCGCACACGAAGACGTTTACGCTTGACAAGTGCGCTTGACACTCGCTTGAGTCTGCCTAATGCCTGTCTAAATCCTGATGATAGCCTTACTCAACTTCCGACACGAATTCGAAAGTGAGCAGACCTAGATGCTGGGAGTGACACGAGAGCATCGCCCTGGAACGTCATGAGGTCGCCGTCTTCATGCGCGCACTTCCAATGCGACCACGATCGTACTGGACCATGTAGTAGTGGTTCCGGCAATGTCCTGTTTGTACGGATCCATTTTCCTGTTTCGACATCAATCTTCGCTCGCTCTAGGCTCGCGGAAGGTTCAAGCTACAGATCGCACTCGCATTAGGGCAGAAGTGCAGACGCGAGCCTGCATGGTTACGTTTCTGTTTACCGAATCTCACGACGCCCGAATCTCGTCGGACGCAGCAATTGAATCTTGGGTCGAAGACATAAAGTGGTGACAATGCTTGTCCAACCGACTATTCGGCTCTATGCCGTGTTATCCGGATCAAGACATCATTGTTGTTCAATGCCGGAGTTGCCTCCTGGCTGTTGAATGGTGTTTAGTGTGGGGAGGTGGTTCCGTCTGACCCCGAAGCATCGTGCTATTGGCAGTCACTGCGGTGCCGCTGTAAGCAATTGTGTGGGAGATTTGCATGATCTGCTCGCTGCCGATAATTTGCGCATGAGTGAAACTCTTGGTAAAGAATGCCCTGATGATCCACCGCCAAAGAAGTACCGGCGAGGTCATACCCGAGACTAGGTGGTAAGCCTGAGTAAGAGCCGTGACCTCCCCTTCTTGTGCTGTTTCAAATCATCTTGCCTTTCAGGATGTGACTGCTATTCTGGGTCGTGACATGATCTTGTTGTAATTGGAGTGAGGACCGCAATCGTACCCTTTCTGGACCCTTAACGTAATGCTGAGTTACGCATGTTGAAACAATCGATAGCGCGAACAGCCTCGCATTCGTGTTGTTCGTGGTTAGTGTGAATGAGGATTGACAGGCGTCCGGCAGCTGCTTCTCACTGGACCTCCCGAACCAGTTCAGGCTAGAAGGGGGGATCTAAGCGGTTCGCGCTACGTGCAGCAGGTTGCAAGCAGCCAACGTGGTCCCTGTGACCGGGCTCCGTTTCATCCTCCGAGCATGCCGACTAAACCAAACAAGCTTTATCGATTCTCGACGGAGGAAGCGAAATGCTTCCAGAGCTGAGGCGCTGGGAAAGCTCGTCGGGTGCATCAACTTAAGTCACCTGAAAGTGTCAAGGATCGTATCCGATCTTGAGGTCACGTCGTCCTGCAGCGCAATGTGTGAATGTCATGCCCAGAGACTGGTAGAAGATAACTCAGCGGTGTGGTTGTCAATCATCCTGCATCGATGGCTGACCCAGATGCGAACGCGCCAGCGGCCCCCGAGTACAACGCCAGTCATGACAATAATGGAATGAAGATGTCCGACTACGAACGCGCTCAGATCCGCTCATTCAGCAATGTCATGGGCGGAGGTAGAGTGGAAAGATCAGGCGACCGTCATCACAACCGAGGCAAGTCATCACTGGCCTGCAAGCCAGGAAGCAGAATCGGCGAACCAGAGGAGAGGGATTCCATTCACGCGATTTCAAATCAAGGCAAGCTGCCAGGAGCGATCACCGGCCGCCAAAATCGGGCATTCTTCGGTCGCTGTGGATGCCGCATCTTGCAGGTGGAGTGGGGTACCTATGCCTGGCGTGCAATGACCTTTAGCGCGGTTTGACAGAAGATCTTAGAGGTTGGAGTTGCGAGTTGTGTTGAACACGGCTCCGCGGGATTGGTGCTGGTGAAGATGGAGAAAGTGTACCGGTGCTCAATCTGAAGATCTCTCCCGAGTTCTTTCGGAAATCTGACGCTTGTGGAGATTGTACCCTTGATAATACCTAGGTAGAGCGTAACCTTATGCAGGGCGACATCATTGCAGATGTCGCATGCCGTGCAGCTTGTGCAAGAGTCAGCGCCTCTGAAATTGAGTTTGTGTGCTGTCGAAAAGTGGAAAGCCAGGAGGCGTTGCAGCTGCGAGGGTGGGGTACAAAGCTTGTGCAGGAAGTTGTTCTTCCGATGTAAGATGATTGAAGATCAAACGGTCACAGAAAAGGAAGGTGCTGGGTTGAGGGCAAGCCACGCGGCGTGATCCAAGATTCGACATGCATCGTACCCAACATCATGCTTTGAAGTTACATTTGTTGCTTTTTGCTTAACGCAAGCCTTCTTCTCACCTGAGCATTCGTGTTGGAGGGATGGTGGAGGCACGTCCCTACCAATAGCAGCGCACATATGATCTCCAATTAAATCGCGCAGGATTCTAGTGGGCTTCGAAAAACTGTGCGCGGAGACTGCACTGCAGGCTGCGGGTGCTGTGGACAGGGGTCCTACATAGATTTGCGGGACCGACGTGTTCAACACCTTGTCATCATGGCCGAGAACGGAACAAAACTTCCAGCAGCTGAATGTCAGCAGTGTTTGGGGCAGGCAAGGTCATGCGCATGTTCGCACGATAATGCCCCATCTTCCAACGCGGCAAGTACGTAATCTAGGCTCTGACATCTGGGTCTCTTGAGAGAAAAGCTGCAATCGGCATCCGGAGATGCTTGACGACAATGCTATTGAAACCCCGAGATGTTGAAGTCGGCCGCGAAATCGGCCACCGGAAACAGTGCGTCGGCGTCAACGGGAGGTCCAAATCCGGTCCTCCGGCAAGGCAAGGGCAAGGACCAGGGCGGCTTGGAAAGTCAGCCATTTCTCCGCCACGTGAGGGCTGTCGGCGGCATTTCGCTGAGGGTAGACTGGCCGAAAAGTTGGACAGCCACAAAGTCAACGCCTTGCATTGGGACAGGGGATCCTTGTCGGAGTCACTTGCTCGCCCAGATTCATCGGCGGCAGTAATGTTCCTTGATCGGGCTCAACATTAGCCGCAAGAGCCGTGCTGTGAGAGTGTGGATTGGCGATAAAGCAAATTGTGATAGATACGCAGCGTTTGGCCAGCAAGATGATTCGATATATGTGCGTTCATTCATCGCAGCCTTGCACAAAATCGATACTTGCATGCATCGTGGTTGCCGTGCAGGAATCAGTTGCGAGCTGTCTTGGGGCAGGTTCGATTTCCGTGATCTGGTACTGTGATCACCACTCCCAAGATGCAAGACGGCTCGAGGTGCATTATACAGAAAGAGATGCGCCTGTATACTGCAACGATGGTGTGTGAGAGGAATTTTCTCTGGCGTATCCCTATCCCCATCCCCATCCCCACCGCACCCTTTGAACACGGACGGTGCAAGAGGCCACTCATGTCGTGCTTGAGGTTACTCCCGCTCCCGCTCGACGGCGTAGCAGACAATGTAGGCTAGCGGCACCTCTCGTGTCCATCCTGGGTCTGATCAGTCTTGGTGGTCTGACGACCAGTCAGAGACTTGCGGTGACTTTGAGCCGACATTGCGCATTCTGGTTGGCTACTTTGCCATTTGGCTTTGCTCTCAGCAAACATATGCACCACGTAAATGATGACGAACTCGTTTCGAGTAGAGCGACAAGATGTCAAAAACCTCTCCGAAGCGAATAGGTCGCATCACGAATCCAGTGCTCTCGCATGTGGATATGCCACACGCGCTGCCCCACGTTACGCACCTGATATGTAGAACGATGATAATGTCAGTCTGGCCCCGCTTATCGACGCGGGAGACGCAGTGCCAACGCTCTCCACGTTGCTCGCCAAATGCAAAAGCAATGCGACTGCCCGTGACAGCTCGGCTATCAGCCCCTGCAAGATACGGTGGCCTGCCGAGCGAGACTGTCGGTGGCGAATCACTGCACCCAAGAAGGATGCGCCCGTGAAATTGCGTGTGAATCCGGAGTCCGAGACTGATCGTAAGGTACCAAATATTGAGGAGGATGGGTCACAGATGGTTGGGGTAGTGGACCTCCGTGGCAATCTCCATCCTTGCACGTCTGCAAAACGCGGCAGAGCTGCAGGTATCGTGTCCCCTTGCGAGCGCAGTGTCTTCGACGCGCCCGTTAACGCCCGACATATTTGGCATGTCCGTCCGTATGCTGCGACGAGGAAGAGGGTTCGCCCTTGTGACGCCCATCGAGACCTTCAAGTTACCGGCAAAAGCTACCGAATGTGACCGCCCTCGCTCCACATGCTGATTTTCGCACACCGCAACAGCTTCGGTTCGCAGTTGCAGCGCATTGGGCATAATTGCCGCTTTTGAGGTGTCTGTGTGCCGTGTCCAATATTGGCGTGCAGTCGTTTTGAGGCCGCCCCATCCGTGACATGATTCGTGCCGTCAGTTCTGAGGGCGATTGATGAAGTCTGTGATGCGAAGAAGAAGTCAAAGTTGATGTTGGTGGTGTTATACAACTGTAGTCTCACCTAGCAGCTTTTAGTACTAGCTGTCGACCAGGCGCCAAAACCTGTGCCTACCCGGTACGCTAGAGGTAGACTAACTATCAGCCTCATCACATCGCTGCACTCTTCTTTCGACGTCGTCTAAACGCAGAACATGGAGTCGCGCGCCCACAACAATCCCCGGCAACATGGTCGACGCTCTCAGCCGTGCCTCGCGGCTCAGCATCGTCCGTCCGCCGCACGGCCTCTCTGCGCTCCCTTAGTCAGCGATGATCGGCACCTGCCACACATTTAACCCGTCGGACTGTTTCTCGTCGAGATTAGCTTCCTCGCCACTCTCGCGCCTTCCCAACTTTGACCTTAGTTTACGTCGCGAATCTCAGCGCGCTCACCACCATCACCCGGTGCCTTGCTCTAACGCCCGTCACCAACGAGTAGCTTGCTGCCCCAGGCACATCAGATCTCACTCGCGCCCGCTGTGCTACGCGTGCAACCCGCCGCCAGTGCTGCCCGTCGCCCTCTGGCGCGTCTGAAGTTCTCCCCATAACAAACCCACGCGCAGTGCTTGTCCTGCGCCAACGCGCGAGTCACCTGAGCGCATACAGCTGCATCAGATCACGCACCGCCTTTGACGCTCCATAGGCTGCCAACGCTTTGAGGAGCGCTCAGCATTCGTGTGGATTCTTCTGGCGGAGACTCGGCCGGACAACAGGCTGATCGCCTTCACTCGGCACGCTCGGCGCATTGAGCAAATAGTACCAGCAGCAGTGCAGGAACAGCCACTCTGCCATTGAATCTTTCATCTGTCATCGACACCGCCGACGGCCCGACTGCCTGCGTTTGCCTCTTTGCTGCATTCAGCGCGTCTGTCCAGAATTCCTCTGCTCTCGGTGAAAGCGTCCTTCTGCCTGCTTGCGAGCTTCACTCTGTCTTCGGCGAACAAGCACCACCCACCCAGGTACCTGGCAGCCTACCAGCCTACCAGCGACCGCATACACTCCCCCGCGCCATCTCAGAAAAGCCGCTCCTCGAGCCAGCCCACCGTTCCACAGTTTGCGTGCAGCGCCAAACCACGTTCCCCTAGCACGCCCAGAGCAGCAGAAAGGCCACGATTACGACACGGCCTTACCGATTTGGTCTCGCCACGAACCACGCCTGCGAGCATTACGTCTTGATTGACCGACAGAGCTAGCTTCTCCTCGGTCAAGCGGCGACCCGGCCTCTGGAACGTCATTGGTTGACCCGTCCCAAAATTCTGCGCCACCCAGAAAGCTGCTAGCGCGTGTCTTCCAAATCCACGCTCGCCCCAGCTCCACTGACCCACCGAGCAAGCTCATTCACCGCTAGCGCCGTGCAACGAGAGGTTGCACTTCGCTGCGCCTTCGCTCCGCGATTCGAGGGCTTCTCACCCCTGTCGCAACCCCTGTCCCCGGTGGCCTCGAGCGTGCGTCTTCCGTGCGTTATCTTTTCGACGGTCTAAATCTGCCAAACTGCTTGTCCTTCCATCTGGGCGCACTGGAAACCACACCGTCTGCAAATCACCCGCGTTTAACTTCCACGCTATCGTGTCCTGTCAAAATTGCCATTCTGCGGTTTCCTGGCTGTGCGCAATTCTTGGCACCCCTCCGTCTGCTTTTGTACGGTTAGTCGCCTGTCTTCCATCGACCGCGGCAAATCATCCGAAGACGGTCTCTGCAACCGTCATATCTTCCCAGCCATTCCTCTTCCTCCACCACGCGCAACCATTCCCAGCTTAGAGCTTCGGTCCAACTCGACCTCTTGAAAACGTACACAGTCTATGGACGCAAGGCAACAAGACTACCCGCAGTCAGGTTTGAGCTCACCGTACCCAACCTTCTCTGAACCACCTTCTGAGGATACCTTTGCAGATCAAGCATCTGCTGCGCAATACCCTCCTCAAGGTCAAGACCCTCGAGCTGCGAACCTCACACCCACTTCCGACTACAGCAGCCTCCCACCGTCCGCTAGGTCAGGCTCTTTCCCGGAATACATTCAACGCTCGTACCAACCAGGCGCTCAAGGACAAGCACCCGGAGGTATGGCGCAACAACAAAGTCCGTCAATGCCTCTCTCTGATAGTCAAACCAATGACCATCAACAACCTCAACAACTCAAGTCTGACAACGATGTTCCTATAGATCCATCGATTGCTGCCCAGACGAGCCCGACCTACCCTCACCAGCAGCAATACTCGCCCTACACCCCTCACCACGATATGCAGCACTACCCGGGACATCCGCAGACTCCAATGTACGGGCAGCGTCCTGAGTGGGCTGGTCAATATGCTCAGCCTGGCATGCACTACGGTCATCCAGCTTCATCCGGTCCACCGGCCCCCGCAATGGTGTCGCCTGTCCAAAGACCTCCAACCGTAAGTTTTTCTCCATCAGCACGTGCGCGACGCGTCTCTTGCGATCCTCAACGACATGAGATCGGTATTAGAGGTGTGCGACGCGTCTGAGTTGAACCAAGCCACGCGCCAAACATATGCGCGATTGCGAAAATTTGAGCTAACGACGCGTCTAGGGCGGTCACCCTTTGTCTACCGTCTACTCATTTGTGCCCATACCAGGTGCGCAACAGCACAAGCGACCGCGCCGACGTTATGAAGAGATCGAGCGCATGTATAAGTGCGGCTGGAACGGATGTGAAAAGGCTTACGGCACTTTGAACCATCTGAACGCGCACGTCACGATGCAATCGCACGGCGCGAAGCGAACACCAGAAGGTATGTCTTGCGCTTTCATGATTTCAGACTCTTGACAGTGTTGTGGTCGCTCTTGTCAATTCGACGCGCTAAGCTAGCACTGGGGTTGTGTTGCGGCTGCGCCATCTCATGGTGTTCCCACTACTCTGGATAGTCTCTGGCGATGGAAGCTAGCAACTGTCCACCCTTGCTCATTCACCTTGGCATTCACCAACAACACCTCGTTGGTTCCTATGACTGACTTTTATTGCAGAGTTCAAGGAGATACGCAAAGAATGGAAGGCCAAGAAGAAGGAGGAGGAGGCTCAGCGCAAGGCTGACGATGAACGCCAACGCGCTGAGATGCACCAGCACGCGCAGCAGCAGCGTGTTGCGCATGACGGTGGCCCACCCGAGGCACCTGTCTACGGACAGATGCGCCAGGCTGTAGGCGTTCCCGGCCAGCAGCCTCCGCACCCTCAGCTGCCACCCATTGGGTATCAGCCGGCTGCCTCTGGCACTTCGGCTGCTCCTCAGTACGGCACGCACAGTCCGGGTCTTCCTGAGGGCATGGCACAGTATGCTCCTCCCAACAATGCATACGACAGTCCTAGTAATAACCTCAACAATAGTTATCCCCAGTCGCCATACGGCCAGAACCCCCAGATGTACCAGCAAGGTCATTAGGAAGATCAACAAAACAGCGATTACGACACGAATGATGAGCGACTTGACGCTGATTCGGAAATGACTCTACGCAACCTCCCTCATTAGTCTCGAGGTCTGCTATGGGGCTATTATCATCTACACGAGTAGTCGGTCGCACTATGAGACAGGTATGGGCTGGTTCAGCATTTTATACACAGGTCGGGGGTTGCATTTACAACTGGCGGCGGCTGTATCCCTTTATTTTCATGGTGTTCGGGGTAGGACTAAGACGACATTTCCTTCTATATCCCCAGGTCAATGGTCGAGGGTTCCAGTACCCAAATGGGCAGCGCGATGGATCAAAATGTTCGGCGGTAATTTCTTGAACTGCGAGCTTGTCAACCGTCCTGTTTTGCTACCCGCGGGTGTCGTTAGTTCAAAATGCTGGGTTATTCTCTTCTACTGAACCTAGATTTCATGCATCCTTTTGGCGCTCAGACAGAAACAATTGGTCATTCAGGCTTTGTGACCACTGCTTCTTTCGTCCATTGCATGTATTGTATTGAAACGCTCGTGTATTCGCAACGCCTCGGGTGTCGAGTCGCGTCGAGCTGCATAGCAATGAGACTCGAAGGCCTGGGGTGCGCCCTTGCACCATGTACTGAAACCCGTCACCCATGTGCACACGCATGTCACCGTCTATATCTGCACACCCTTGCCGCGACGCAAAACAACGTGTTTGCAGTTTAGTGCCGGATGCCAGTAGACCCGTCTCAGACAGCGAACATGACGTGGACACATGCAGAGGTCTAAGTCGCATTGCATCTGAGAAAGCATTCAATCTGACACTTCAGTCTCCTCTCTACACATGCGCACATGCGTACACGTATCAGCAGCCACATACTGGCCCTCATCTCACACACTGCTGGCTGGTGGCACTTCTGCAGTCGCAAGGCACCGGACACAACGCAGTGCGGGCACGGGGTTTTCGAAAGCTGATTGGATGCACATGCAGCTGCCATCCTGGACGGCGATCGCAGCAGCCAGTCGAACGTGCAGTACATTACACACAATGTGAGGGGAGGCGCAATCGTACCAAACGAGCACTCGACGTGATACATGAAGATGACGTGCAGTACAGTGCAGTGCACCACATGTGCGGTTGCCTTACGATTTGAATTGTATGGTATTGGTACTACAAGTTTGGATGAACACATCGGACTCTTCTCGCCAAAAGCCGATGATGAGCATCTTGTATCTCCAGGCCTTCCCAAAACCAAACAACGAACTCCGCCCCACCTTTCGCTACCATCACTTGAGTACATGACTTCGTGCTGTCACCGAATATTCCAGGCCTAACCTTTAGATCCTGCCTTGTTCTCGAGAAGCCGTTCTCCAACGCCGTGTGGTTCCGCATGCAGCAAGATCCCTCTGTGTGACCGAAAACATGGAGTGACCATCACTGTAGGCCGCTTTCTGTCGTCAACATGGGAGCTACAAGTGAGGAGTGCAATTGGCCAGATTCGTTACGCAGCCATGAAGTGCGAGAGCAGACCTTGCTTGGTCATGCGCGCGGCAGGACTCGGGAGGATGAAGACGGCAAGATGAGCGACGCAGAGTGAGCTGTCCGATGGTTGCGGCGTGCAGTGGTGACGGAGGCGGTGGCTGCGGCTGCCTTTCAGTGTCAACGAAGCCCCCAGAGCTCACATATTCTCAGATACGTACGCCAACTACCCCATAGGTATTTAACCATTCCCACCACCGAGCGCTAAGATCGCTGGTAAGCCTTGCAAGCTCCTGTTTAATGCAAGATATCCGTTGGCAAGACTAGCGCCAACGGCTACTTAGATCCTTCCATCAGCCCAGCTAAACTGGCGTTGGGCTGCGCACTTGCTTTTTCTCCGTGCCTCGCACCGCTTCGTAGGCGCAAGCTAACACCTGCCAGGGCACCAGGGCAGCACCATGCCAGAAGGCTCCTAACAATCTCCCGCGCTGACGGCGGAGACTAGTAGCGGTGCATGCGCGCTGCGTGTGGTGCGTTACACAGCAGCGCGGAGCCACACGAGAATGTGGAGTGGCGCCTGCTTGCTTGCTACTGGAGAAGTTCTGAAGGTCATTCCACAGGACGGAGAGCAAATGAAGCGCAAGGACGCTCTGCAGCGCAACTATGCAGGCTGATGGGCTCGATCAATGGCACAGTAGCATACTTGTAGCAACAACACCCTGGCCGTCCGACCTGCGACACAAGCACAGCGCGCACAGCAAGGCCTCGCACTCATTGCGCACTCCTTGCGTGCGCCGCCCACGATACACGTGTGCGACGGATCGCCTCTGCTCGCACCAGCGCCGGCCATCACGAGTCGTCCTGTGCGAAGGCATTTCGTGCATGCACAGTGTCGCGCCGTGGGAAAGCCGTGTGCGACAGTAGTAGGAAGTAGTCTAATCCGCCACGTTGGCCGGAGGGTTCAAGCTTAGGGGCAATGGCTGGCTTGCTGGTCACCGATCAGAGCGAATTGCTAGACTGAACGCAGGCTTAGACGGAGGCTTGAGCGGAGTATCGTGCTTTAGCTCTCATGTGCCGGCTCCTGCGAGGCCACTTGATCAAGAACTAATCTCCTGGCTTGCTTGCTCGGCTCCAAGGACATGGGAAGGTTGGCTCAGGGACTGTCAGCCTTGCGGCGGAGTGTCTTGCGCGGTGGGCAGCCTAGTGATGTCGGATTAAGGTACATCGAGCTTCTGCAAGCCTTGCTCTAGAAGTAGCACGGCACGGGTAGATACTTGTCCCACAGGATCACCTCCAGGAGTTGCACGAGTTTGATGTTCGTCTTTCCGGCCCAGGTTGATGCTCTTCGGCCTGTCACGTGAGCACCCGCTAGCGTATTCGCGCTGTGGAACGAATGTTTTCTCAAAGTCACGCCGATACACACTACTTGACATAGGTCGAGTACGCGCCGTTCTAATGCTCAACTGTCGCGCCTGCCTTTGGCAATGCGTTCAACCCTTCGATCGCCCTGCTCATCTCCAACGCCTTCGGCACAATGTAAATCCACTTCTACGCCAGAGTCAACAACGGCTCCAGAGCACCGACGTCCGCAAAACCAGCACACGCCCTCACTATCTTACCAAAGTCGAAAAGCTGTCGAACAGCAGAAATGAACCATGGCAGAACTCAGCGGTTGCAGAGAACCAGAAGAAGCGCGAGAGAGCAGCAATGCGGCAGTCGTCATCTGCAGATGTCATTGCCTCTGTAGAGCGGCGAGAAACGCCGAACCTTATGAAGCTGGGTAAGAGAGACACAAGAATGTCAGAAACCGATTGGAACAGGAGGAAGCGGGAGTTGCGGTTCCTACAAGACCCGCTGGACCTGGCGCAGTTCGTACAGGCCGAGTTGAGGAAGGAGAGGGTCGAGGAGATGAAGCAGCTGGTGCGGATGGCGAGTCATTCCATGCCATGTGTGGTCAGCTGGAACCACATCATCGATCACTACCTGGCCAAGTCAAAGGTTGGCGACGCGCTGAAAGTATACAACGACGTACGTGCGGCTATTTCCCTGATGTAGCAAGTGCTCACTCCACACAGATGAAGAAGCGCGCACAATTTCCTGATTCGTACACGTACACAATCCTCCTGCGAGGACTTTCGATCAATGCACAAACTTCAGGTGTGCTCGAGAGGGCACTCTCCGTATACCACTCCCTCTACGCTCCGAATTCTCGAGTCGCACCGTCGATTATACACACGAACGCTGCGCTGCGAGTGTGCGCTCGAGCGCTGGATATGGATGCGCTATGGGGCATAGCCGCGAAGATACCCGAAAAGGGTCCTGCTGCAGCGAACGCAACAACCTACAACACCATAATCAACGCGATCCGCCAAACCATGTTGCTTAACCGACCGAGCGGCGAGTCTGTAGAGGAAGCGGCGGCGAGGAAGGAGCGCAGCATCACGGAAGCAAGGAGGCTTTGGGAGGACATTGCAGGTAAATGGAGGGAAGCTGATCTCGTCATTGATGAGGAGCTGGTGTGCTCAATGGGCAGACTTTTGCTGCTGGGAGCTCGACCACGAGACTGGGACGATGTACTATCCTTGATCGAGCAAACCATGGATATACCGCGACTCGTGCCTCGATTGGGTACGCCAGAACGGAAGGAAGCTGGCTTCCCTCAACTGCGCGCACCAAACGTACCGGACGACTACAAGTTTGATGATGATCATCTGGCACCTGGACAACCCGAGACGCGAGGACAGGAGTTCCTGCCTTTCACAGGCAGCCTCGCGAAACACCTGGCTTTTGTCAAGCCCGACAACAATACGTTGTCACTGATTCAGGAAGCATGTCTGAAGATTGCCGCACCTAGAGCTGCGCAAAAATACTGGGATATGCTATCTGATCAGTACAACATCACACCGGACGTCAACAACCTCAACCATCAACTACGTAATCTGCGGCAGAATCGCGCATCAGCTGCGGCAGTCGAGCTTTTGCAAAAGGATCTGATGGACAAGGGTGTCAAGCCGCCTCCGGGGACATTCAGGATTGCCATGAGTACCTGTGTGCGCGACAAGAATAATCACAACTCGTTCAAACACGGCAGTCAAATCCTCCACTTCATGAATGAAGTCTACCCGGATGTGGATGCGAAGACCGTGGGCATGTACGCTGACCTGGCGAATACATTCCCGTTGGCAAAGGGCCAAGATCTCATCGATGCGCTCACGAATCTCTACCCAATCGTAAAGAACTTGCGCATTCAGATGGGTATTGCTACAGAGGGGGTTTTTGGTACAGAGAAGCCGAAGCGACGCGCCCCTTACCTGACAGGCGAAGCGCGACAGGACGCTCTCGCCGCGATCAGAAAGGTGTACGGCGTCTACGACCGACTTCTGATGTCGAATTTGATTGCAGAAGAGCAGAAGCGGGACTTCAAAAAGGAGAGAGCTAGTCTGTCTGCATTCATCTTGAAGGAGACTGAGAAACATCATGACAGGAAGATCGAGAAGAAGATGCAGGATCTCGACCGGCACGAGAAAGAGTCTTCAGATGAGTTCGATCAGCATAGCTATTTGGCTGACGAAGCGGAGAAAGGAGAGGAGCAAGCTGCTCCAGAGGGGAGCAACGAGAAGCGTACTTGGCGCGATCATGCTTCGGACGACAGCAGAGGCAGTTGGCGAACGAGGAACGCGCAGCCTGCAGACCAGAGAAAGCCATGGAGCAATCGTCTATACTCGTCTCCCTACAACTGAGACGGACAGCGCGTGTGCCGCGAGACCAGTGGGCATTACATGTCGTGGCATATAAATGTACCATATCCTAGGATATGCAGATGAACGACCAATAGATGAAGTAACTTAATGATTCCTCAAAGTTCAAACCCGGTGCCAAGACCTGCCTCCATTTTCGTCCACTCCCGCGCCTCCACTCCGCAAACCCACCATCACCCTCCGCGCTCACTTCGCGCCTCCACACTTACTCACCCTCACACAGACCCACACCTCTCATCTCATACTCCACCATGGGCAACGACGGCGGCTCCATCCCCAAGCGCTGCGAACTTGTTAAAGAAGCCGCCAAGGCGCTCACCACAACACAGGCCAAAGAGCAACTCACCGAGCAACAAGAATACCACTGGTCGACGTGCCCGCTCTCTCGAAAACCGCTCGCCACACCTGTGGTAAGTGACGCCGCGGGCACGCTATACAACAAAGACTCCGTCATCGAGTTCCTGCTCAAGGAGGACGGGCGCGAGAAGGAAGAGGAGGGCAAGGTTGCGGATGTGAAGTCTGATGGCCAGTTTGTAGAGTTGGGGTGTGTTGGGGACAGAGTAAAAGGGATGAAGGATGTTGTGGAGGTGAAGTTCGAGATTGGCGAGGAGGAAAAGAAGGAAGGGAGTGGCAGGAAGGAGAGCTGGATGTGTCCTATTACCGGGCGCGAGCTAGGGCCCGGTGCGAAGGCGGTGTATATTGTGCCGTGTGGGCATGCGTTTGCGGGGAGTGTAGTCAAGGAGGTCGCTGGGTGTGTGTGTTTGCAGGTACGTCTCACTTTGACGAAACGAGGGAGAGTGTGGATGTGGGTCAAGCTAACGAGTACAGTGCAATGAGCCGTATGTCGAGAACGACGTCATTCCCATCCTGCCCACCGTACCGACCGATCTCGCGCGCCTGAATCTCCGGATCAAGACATTGAGGGAGAAGGGTTTCACGCACGCCTTGAAGAAACCGCCGGGCAGCAAAAAGCGCAAGAAGAATGCCGACAAAGAGATGAGCGGCGCCTTTGTATCCACAGATACAAACGGTACACCGTCAAAATCCAAATCCTCGTCCGACGAAGACAGGTCGAAATCTAAAACAAACGGCTCTAAGGCGAACGACACGAACAGCGTGAGCAAGGTAAGCGGCGAGAAGAAAGACACAGCAGACAACGGCATCAAGAACTCGGCAACCGCATCACTGACACGGAAAGTCATGGAAGAGCAGGAAGAGCGTAACAAGAGGAGGAAGCTAGGGCAGAACGAGAATGTCAAGAGTCTGTTCAATACAAGCAACAATGCGCCGAGTAAGGGGAATAGTGCGGATTACATGACAAGGGGGTTCAGTATTGGGAAGAAATGAGCAAATAACTTCCGTGGGAACGGCTGGCTTCGATACCTCGGAAACGATGACATAGAATGGCGTTGGGTGTTTGCACACTACGGCGTTGAGGACGACGTGACGAGCGTGGCGAGGCGGCCATGCGAGCACTGTTACGCGCGGAGAGAAAAATAAATAGAAGATACCCTACAAATTTACTTCATGAAGAGCAGCTGATCTGCGACGTCTGCCTCGCCCTTCTCACACCGTTTACTTTTCTGAATTCTTTCTAGTCTGTCAGCCAGCTGCAGGTATTGATATATTGACCTGTGTTTCTTCGCTTGTACCAGCTTGTTGATACTTCTGTCGGCATTGCCTTGCACCAAATGATCTAAGCTCGTCGTCGTGTCTGCTCCACTCCAAAAGTCAAGTGGCCGCGCGACATAAGTTGCCTACCTCCAAAGCCTTCTGGAAGTGGCTGCATGTCCTGCCGCTTCTAATCTCCTGCCACACTATCGAACAGCATGGTGGAAAGTTCGATGAGCATTCTTTTCTCTTCTCTGCCGACCCAGCATCTGACCCAGCATCTGATCGAAATCGGTAACCTCTGAACCTATGTGCCAGCACGTTGATGTTTGGAATCTGCGCATGGTGATGGAATATCTGTCTGCGGTCTCTGTTCAGCTGGATCTTTCAAAGACATAGAGAATCTGGCAGCAGAATTGCTAGACTCCGATCCGAGAATATATTTTCAAGAGTTGAACGCTCAAGCGTCCACGCCTCCAATGGTGTTGCTACTTTCGTTCCTGCTCGTCCTCTAGTCATCAGCTTGCCGTCTCTGCTTTATCAACATCCTTGCGGGGTCGTCACACTGCAAGTTCATACAGATGTCCTGAGCACCGCAGCAAGCGTCCACAGCGCAGATCTGAGCGCCAGCACAGTCAGAGCTTGTGGTCCAGCTGGCAGGGCCACTGCAAGACACATCTTGCGCGCAGAACCCAATACCTTCAGCAGCGGTGTAGCTGCAACCACCAACACTGTTGCTGCATGACCTGAAGGCACCGTAAACAGTACTGTTGCAGCTAGCATCTAGTGTACCGGGAAGAGTGATGGTGATAGTGGTAGTGGCCTGCGTAGTGGTTGTCTCAGTGACGATGGAGAAGGCCGTGATAGTTGGCGACGCCTGGGTGACGGTTGCCGTAAGTGTGGCAGTCGATGTGGCAAGAGGGATCTTGGTCCGGATTTGAAAGCTGCGATTGCCGGTTTGAAGGTCACAGCAGGAGTTGCGTATGGGACACCACGCTCTGCAACAGAAGTCGCCGTAACAGTCACGGTAGCTCCAGGCAGTGTCACTATCTCCGTTTCGGTGGTAGGTCTGCGCATGCGATTAGTACGAAATGCAGACCGCGGTCGGGAAAAGGACTTACACTGTAGTGGTAATAGGAGTGAAGCTTGTCTGCGTCACAGTCACGCTTGTTGTGGCATCAGATATGCTGATGAAGGAGCCGCAGAAGGAGTACACAGCAGTCTGGTAGTTGACCTTGGTGAGAACGGCAAGAGCGATCTCACCCTATAGTCAGATAATCTTGCTCTCAAGAGGCGACAGTTCAAGCTTGGGAACTGTGACTTTGTTCACCACTGGTGTTTCAGACAGCGGAAACCAAGTTCTGGGAGCTAACAAACATCATAGTTAGGGCGTGTGGTGGTGATAAATGCGGTAGTTATCGAAGGCTGATAGATGGTGGACCAAGAATCTCAACCCATCCTCTTTATACGTCTTCTCCTGCTCTTATCTAACAGCACATGGCTTGACCCAGACAACTGACTAGAAGTTGGTGGCTGAGCTGAACAGTGAGCGATTATGCAGCATCACAATCTCGATCCCGGTACGATTTGCAGTCCACGACCAGATTCCTGGGGCATAGAGTGTAATTTATTGCCAGATTTGACAGCCAAACCGCAGATCTTTCGGGAAATGAGTCGACTTCGCGAAAAGACTCCACTGGCGAGCACCAAAAGGCGATGGTGCAAAAATGCAGGCTCGAAAGTTCCAACTCTTAGATGCGGCTACTGTTACCTGGTTGTTTGTCTATCCATGCCAGGTATTCCAGATCTGATGACTTGCCAAGAAGTTGAGACGTTGCTATCAGTTGATGCTTCGGAGCTTTGCAGACGGACAGCAGTCTTACACAAAGCTAGTACACTAGCGACTCTTTTCAGCCCTGTCTTGGAAAGCAAATTGCACAACTAACTAAATCAGAATAAATGGGAAGTGTCGATGACAAATGAACGTGTATCGATAGAGTCGGCGAATTATGTACCGTCGATCATGCCCTCGACGTGTTGTCGATCAGCCCCGGACCGCCACGGCTCTGGAGAATACCACGAGCACTTCGCCTCGTACGCGAAACCGACGAAGCTGCCCAGCATCGACTGCTGTCACGAAAACCATGGTAGGTGGAAGTCTGAGAGACGGTCACGGTCCGTCGAATACTGGAGGATCGAGCTGACAAGCGTCCTCCGGCTCTATCGGTCCATTTGCGCCGTACAACTCTGATTCGTACCGGAGCAAAGTCGGTTATGCACGGAATGAAGGAAGCCTAGGGTATGTGACGTATTCCAGACTCGTCAGTACGCTTGAAAAATGGGCAACGAGTGCATGTATCGCGTAGGAGACTGACTAGCACCCCGAGCCGTGCCAGCAGACCATCCGACTGAAAATGACGGGTAGATGATGGAGAAGTCAGTGCAGTGAGCAGGGTGCGCATGTAACGAACCATGGCCGCTGGTCCTCTATCTTGGCTGTCTGCAACGCTCTTGTCGGCCTCGTAAGAAGGTAAGTGAAGCATATCTAATAATCAAGTGAGGAGAAGGCAAGGCTTTGCGAGTATCGCGGAAGCAACAAAAGCCGATCAGACGGGAGGGGTAGCTGTAGAAGGCTAAAGACACAGGGTCATCCTCATTGAGTTGGCTGGTCCTGACCCACACCTGTATTGTGGACTGCAAATTCGTGGGGTATGTCGAAGGCGGCACCTCATATTGCAGAGGATACTGCACTTGTGAAGGAAGGTCATCAGCATGATGCGTACAAGGGCTCCGCTTTCACGCCCTATCGACTCTGCCTAGAAAACGCGTCTGTGCGCAAGAGGCTGTATCCGTTTTCGCTCGTTGCTGACTTGCGCCGTTTTCAGGTCTTCGCACGTGTTTCTTGCGTGCCGGTTGTTTGTATTTCATTACTGGTAGAGTACTGTATGATTCCGCTAGAGTGAGAAATATCTAAGGTGAGAGGAGTCTAGTGGTGACGCGGATGTTCAGCCATCTGAACCAATGCTAGATCTGCCTCACAACCAAGTGCAATTTATTGGTTGTAAAGATTCTGCTAAAAGATCCTGCTAGGTAGAAAAATAAGTAAGCGCACATCGGCAAACTGGGTTTACCCCTACTAGGTATTTCGCACTCTAGCGGAATTATACGGTACCGTGTATCCATTTGTATGCTCACACAGCATGCGTCCTGACATTCCATTCTGTCGTAACCATCACATTATCTTTCCTATCATCCTGTCTGGTCGAATCTGTTTGGGACCCCTGAAAGACCAGTTCCAATTCATCGTCGCTGATTCTGCCACCTTGAACGTGTGATCTTGACACGCCCTGATTGCCGAGAGGCTTGGAGCCCGGGTGCTGCTGATAGCCATCGGTACTTCGAGGATACGAGGAGTCGTTCGGTGAGGTGCGGACGACGAGAGCCTTCAATGCGGGTAGAGAGACAACAATGGTTGCTGTGCACATCTCGGCTGTGCACCAAAGATCTTGGAAGAGTCAGAAAACAACACAAAACAAGAAAACTGCAGGACCACATACTACCAGTCGCATCATCGACGAAGTAATCCGTGACCGTGTACACGATGAATCGCGATAGGCTGATAGCAATAGTAATCATGCCAAGGGAGAAAACACCGCACAAAGCAATCTTCTGACGCTTACGCAATTTCAGGCTGCTCAGCAGAAAGAAGGGGACAATGAACACTGCAATCTGGTAAGCAGTGAAACTGAGGATAGTTGCTGACATAACATACGAAGAAGATCAGTAGACCAGTTCAAGGCCCAATTAACAGCGAAGGTGGTGTACGAGTTCCATGTGGAATCCAACTGGTTCTCCAGTGACCTGGTCATTCTGTCAGGTCTGCAAGCTCCATCTACTGTGTTCAACGTACCAGTTGTCGGAGATGTGCGGAGCATGCAAGGTGTCCGAAAGTACAGTAGCGACGAAGCAGCATCCAACATACACAGCAGAGAAGTACACGGCGATTCGACGCCGGAAGCCAAGCGGAATCAGCCACCATAAGAAAGCGACCAGGGACGCCTTTGGGAAGTAGATCCCGAAATCGAAGAAGTAGCACATTACGAACACCGTCTGAAAGCGAAGTCGTTAGCTGTACCCTCTGCAACCAAACGTCCTCATACGCACCTTCATGTATGCGGTCGAATCCGTGAGGAGATCATGCTCGGTCAACGGATGGGCAAGCTGAAGCTTGAGAGCAACGGCCGATCCTACAGAAAAGCCGAGAGCGCTGAACCATGCTCCCCATACAAGGTAATCCGGGAGGGTCAATGTACGACGTTCAAGAAAAACACGGATGTAGCATCGTAGGACAGTGGTTGCTAGCGCAATAGCCACCAGCACGAATTGAACTACCTGTGCTCGTATCAGTCTACCGAAGACCTCCGGCAGTCGCAGAGACCTACAATCGACGCTATAATATCCATACTGCCAGCAGTTGCGCAACTACGCGCTCGTATACAATGAGAAGGAAGTGCCTCACGCCAATACGTGGCAGATTTGGTGGCAACCCCACACGTAAATGCTATTGCCGAATAGGGAGAAGAAAATTGTTCTAGGAAGGAGAGTCCTTCAGGTTACGCGCGCCGCTTTGTTGTTCAATACCACCGATAGTACGCCCGATGAACAGGAAGTTATCCCTCTACGTGCCGCCTCACAGCCATGACTTAGGTAGCCTCATGTACGTCCGGTACCGGAGTCCAACCACAATGCAATGTTAGGCGAGGGCCACTACCTTTCAAGTGTCGTTCTGTCCCGGTATTTGATGCTCACATACACTGCACTATCCTTGACTTCAACAGTAGCCACCTCCGTGACTTCAACACAGAGTTGCGTATCCGTGTCATGACTTATGAGTAAGGCGAACCATGGCAGCTGTTCACGCGTTTTGCGAGCTCGTGCCTCGCAGGCATCCGATATCGCCATTGCATCTCGCCGCAGATTGATCGTTGGGATTTTCTGAGTGCTATTTTGCACCGATGCGAGTCGTAAACGTAAGGCCAAGGCATCCACTGCGCAATCATGACGAAATGCAGACACAAGCACATAGCATTGGCGCTGGCATTACTATGATGCACCCTTGGGGTGGTAGGGCTGTTGATCTTCCCATTGGAGGCTACGACTGCCACACCGGAGCCTTATCCCTGGAAGATCAGAATGTCCGCAGCCAGCTAGTCCGACATGAGGCAGTGCGTGTCGGCGATTCCAGCGTTTGGGTTTGCAGGGTTGATCGGCTCCTGTGGCGTGGTGTCGAGGTCCGTGTTGCGTGGGGAAGGATCCAGATCAAGCGGAAATCATGCGAAGATCACCGGGCTCTTTCGGTGGCACGCCGGCGGCAGATCTTCCGCGGATGGAACGACGCGCGTTCCCTCTAATTGGGTAATGCACTTCCACATTGACTTCTTTGTTCCTTGAAGCCCAAACAGATTTAAAGACAGCCCTAGTCGCACCCCAGGCGATTCAGTGCACGCTGCCTCAGCCAGCCAACCAACGAAGGTAAGTGACCCCTGGTCAGCAACGATCAGACATTCGTTGAACCTTTTCGGCACTGCAGAGCAGCTCCGCGGTGACCAGAACCATTAAGATTGTCATCATTGTCGATCCTGCATGTGCAATCTGATCCATGTCGGCATTCGACACTAACTCAAATTGTACTCGATCGCAACATTCCACGAAGCGCTAGATGAATAAATACCACTGCCAGGAAGGCACAAACTGGATGGAGACGTTTTCTCGAAAGAATCAGCTCGAAATTGCCTCATGACCAGTCACAGACATTTTCGTAGGATCTTCCTGTGTTTGATGGTACTGATGGGGTAGGCCAACCAGATGGGACGCTATCTCAATTGTTAAGCTGGAGGACCATGCTCTTTGGTCGCTGCGTGGTGGTCTCAAACCAGGGCAAATTGAAAGCCCAGGTATCCAGACAATGGATCTCCCACCTTAAGGGAGACCAGGGCCCTGTCTGGAAGCAACATATGTGCAACCAATCTAAACCTCTGCCAACATCGGGATGCCGGGCAGTGGGCGAGCGAGACAGAGCGAGACTAGACATTATCTTTGGCCACAACGCTGTGGCCAGGACTGGCTGTGAATCTCCATTGTTGACGATCAAGTTCCTGATGGTCGTCTTGCCACACGAGTCCCTTAAGCGCAGCAATCGTCCCTGTAAACAACCTCGGTACGTCTCCTCACCTTATGACAGCTGCTGCTTCACTGCATCATAGAGTATTGGACGTCATCAAAAGTACGGCGTCTAGTCCATGTGTGCGCACGCGTATACTATGTACTATGCCAGGCGCAGCCGCAATGAGTTGCAGTGAAACGATCGGCGTGGTAACGAATTGTGGAGCACATTTTCACAAGGGAATGAAGACATCCAAAGCTCTCTCGAATGGATGCGATCTGTGGAAATTCGTCCTACAATCATCTCACACTCTCGAATCCACATCCTCTGATTCGATTCTGACCATCCCGAACGCCGATAATGCAACTCCTGAATGATACCAGCTGTGTTGAAGGAAGGGATATGTTGAGGCGCCGGACTCCCACGCTGGTGTTGAATGTAAATGCAGCAAAAAAAGGGCCACTCGGTGTTGAGAGTGAGTGGCTTAGGTGGGGTTGGGTGCGGCAGCACCGGTAATGTCGCCGCCATCCTGCTCCATAGGAGCGCATGTGCAGAAGAGATTTGTGTCACCGTAGGCTAGTCCAAGTCAGTATGTGCTTACAAGTGGGTCGTTGGGGTACGGTGAACTCACCATCATCGAGCCTGGTGACGCTGGGCCAGAACTTCTTCTCCTTCAGATATGCCAATGGGTACGCAGCGTCCTCCCTGCTGTACGAGCGATCCCAGTTACCAACAATAAGATCTTGCTGGCTGTGAGGAGCGTTTGTAAGCAGGTTGTTTCCGGCTCCCTTGGGCTGCTTGCCGTCCTCGATATCCTTGATCTCCTTGCGGATGGAGATCAGAGCATCGCAAAAGCGATCGAGCTCGACCTTGCTCTCGGACTCAGTAGGTTCGATCATGAGCGTATTGGCAACGGGCCAGCTCATGGTCGGGGCGTGGAAGCCATAGTCTTGAAGACGCTTGGCAACGTCGATAGCCTCAACACTGGCAGTCTCCTTGAAGCCACGGACATCGAGGATGAACTCGTGAGCGCAGCGGCCTTCAGCGTTGGTGTACAAGATGGGGTAGTGGGGTTTGAGCTTAGACATGATGTAGTTGGCGTTGAGTAGGGTAATCTTTGTGGCCTGTGTGAGACCGACAGCGCCCATCATCTTGATATAGGCCCATGAGATGGGCAAGATGGAGGCACTGCCCCAAGGGGCACCAGAGATGGGGTAGACAGCCTGCGCGCCACCAGTCTCGTTTCTCAAGTGACCGGGCAGGAAAGGAGCAAGGTGGCTCTTGACACCAATAGGTCCGACGCCCGGTCCGCCACCGCCGTGAGGAATACAGAAGGTCTTGTGAAGGTTGAGATGGCAAACATCAGCGCCGATCTCGCCAGGTGAGCAAAGACCGATCTGGGCATTCATGTTGGCACCGTCCATGTAGACCTGACCGCCGTACTGGTGAATAAGATCGCAGGCTTCTTTTGCAGCAGGCTCGAAGACACCAAAGGTTGAGGGATAGGTGATCATGAAAGCGCCGAGCTCATCCTTGTGCTTCTCGCACTTAGCTCTAAGGTCGGCAATATCGAGGTTGCCGGTAGCAGTGTCACACTTGACAGGCACAACACGCATACCGCACATGGCGGCACTGGCGGGGTTGGTACCGTGAGCAGAAACGGGAATCAAGCAGATATCGCGCTTTTTGCCAGGCTGCTGTTCGAGGTACTTGCGAATGACACGAAGACCAGCGAACTCACCTTGAGCACCGGAGTTGGGCTGCAGCGAAACAGCATCAAAACCAGTGATATCAGCAAGATCGCTCTCGAGCTGACTGATCATCTCAAGGTAGCCCTTGGCGCGCTCAAGAGGCAGGAATGGGTGCAGGTTGCCCGTGGTCTCCCAAGAAACCGGAGCCATCTCAGATGTTGCGTTCAGTTTCATTGTGCAGGAGCCAAGAGGGATCATTGAGTGAACAAGAGACAAATCCTTGGAAGCCAGGTGATTGATGTAGCGCAAAAGCTCGGTCTCAGAGTGGTGGGAGTTGAAGACGGGGTGTGTCAAGAATTCAGAAGTTCTCTTGTATCCCTCTGGCGCCTCAACTGCAACATGTTGAGAAAAGTCGACCTTGGCGTTGTCGTTGGTGAGGCCCTTGAGCAGTGCAGAGATTGTCTGAGAAGTGGTCGTCTCATCGAAAGACAGACCGATGTGTTTGTCGTCCACCTTACGCACAAGGATCTCGTTGCGTTCCAGCTCGGCGATCAGCAACTCGGTGTTGTTGCCTGTCTCCACTACGAAAGTGTCGAATGCAGCTGGGGCATTGTCAAGCTTCGCGCGTGTACCAGTCTTGTATCCAGCATCGATGAGTGCCTGCTGTACAAGCCTGGTCTTTGCCACGACCTGCTTCGCGATCTGCGTCAAACCGTTGGGTCCATGGTAGACAGCGTACATGGCGCTCATGTTAGCAAGCAGGGCTTGCGCGGTGCAGACGTTGCTAGTGGCCTTCTCACGGCGGATATGTTGCTCTCGTGTCTGCAGGGCAAGACGCGCTGCTGGGTTGCCCAGCCTGTCCTTTGAGAGACCGATGATACGTCCAGGGATCTTGCGCTTGTGCTTGTCAACGCTCGCAAAAAATGCGGCGTGAGGACCACCAAACCCAAGAGGCACACCGAAACGCTGGGCATTTCCAAAAGCAATGTCTGCGCCGAACTCTCCCGGGGGAGTGAGCAGCGTAAGGGCAAGGAGATCAGAAGCTACGCTGAGAAGCGCACCCTGCTTATGAACCTTCTCTGCGAGACCGCGGTAATCGCTCACACCACCATCGGTATCAGGATATTGTGCCAGAACACCGACAAGGTCTTGTCCGAGCTCCTCCACACGTTTGCTGTTGTCCGCCAGTACGTCTGCGACCTCGATCTTGATTCCGAATCCTTCAGCACGTGAGCGAAGGACCTGTATGGTCTGAGGGTGGCATGTCGAAGAAACAAGGAAGGTCTTATTGGGACGCTTCTGGCGCGGCCCTGGCAGCGAACCAAGAGACATAGTCATGGCCTCAGCAGCGGCTGTGGGCTCGTCGAGGAGTGAGGCGTTGGCGATCGAGAGACCGGTCAGGTCGGTGACCATGGTCTGGAAGTTAAGAAGCGACTCCAGGCGACCCTGACTGATCTCAGGCTGGTACGGAGTGTAGCTGGTGTACCATTGAGGGTTCTCGAGCACATTGCGCTTGATGACCTCAGGAACATTGGTGTTGTAGTAGCCCTGACCGATCAAGCTCTTTCCCGGCCTGTTCTGCCCCATGATTCGCTTTGCATTCTTAAGAAAGACGGACTCAGGCACGCCGTTTGCCTGCCAGTCTGCACCGTGGCGGTCCGAGAGCTTTCCAACGCTGAGTTCGCGGTTGTTGAGAATCTCTGCAGGAATGACCTGGCGCACAAACTCGTCCAAGCTGCCTACGGGCGGGTCGAGCGCCTTGAGCATAGCCTCTGCCGACTCGGCAGAAGGGCCAATGTGTCTGCGTGGAAACGTGTCCAGTGCGTCTGTGGGCTTTGCAGAGTCGGTGCTCTGCTTTGGCGTCTCGAAGACATCCTCAGCGGGCTGGACAGCTGCGGCCTGCTGAAAAGCCCGGAACTGCTGACCAGAGCTGACGTATGCTCGCTGTGTGCATTTGGCGAGCGTAGGACGAGGGACCTGGGCAACGCGTGTAGAACGAGCGAGCCTGGTGGCAGAGCTTGCCGCCCTGAGGCACGCTGTGCGCATTGTGACCTTTCTTCCTCCGAGGGGACTAGGAAACTACGATGTGGGGCTTGGGAATATGGAAGTCGCGGGCGAGGAAGCTGGAAGCAGGTCAATTGTATTACCATGCAGGTTTTGAAGGGTGAGCCGTACAATGGCTGTCGCAACTTGACTCGGGCAGTCCACAGCTTGGCCGAAAGTTTTTGGGGCTCTCAACTGCTCGTGTCGTGGCTGTGTTGCAACTCGGAGGACGTTCTACAGAAGACAGTCGCGTGCGTCAAAAGACACGTTAAAGACGAAGAAAAAGAAATCTTGTCAGACCCTTCCACGATAATCTCAAGCGGTCAACCCAGCTAAGTTGTATCTGCATAAATTGCCTGTAAACCGTCATTATCCGCCGCTCTCGATTGATTCGGCGCCGCTGAGGGCACCGATAAGACGATTCGCACCCTTGCCGAGCCAACGGTCGCCTGCCTTGACTCCAGAGAACAACGCCGAACCGGCTCGCCTGCCATAGCTACAACGAATATACCAATCAGGCAACTTTATGCATCGCATTAGGCCTGAAAGTGCAATCTGTTACCTGATGTTTGATGCTCACTTGACTCCACTTTCTTCCCGAGCATCACGAGCTTTTCGCGTTCGAGGGAGATGCATGGACCCCGACGCGTTGCGGGATCGATTGCCCGTCGGAGATCGCTTATGGTAGTTCTCCGTCTCCTGATAGACGATCATCATGTCTCTTTCATCACAGCTTCTGACCTGACGGCAGCCGGCCATCCTCGCTAAAGTCACGCATCTTGAACGGCCTTGCCCTGCACAGGTATCTGGATCCATGACACTTGCGCACAGCTCGGATCGCAAAGATTGCTTGCGGATCTTCCTCGAAGCCCAAGCAGCTCGCCAACCGTTAGGGCTGGGGTACAGTTGACCAACATCTCTGAAGTACCACAAGATCTTCAAAACCGATGGTGTCATCCTCTACAATAGCCACACTGGCATCAAGCAGCTTGCAAAAGGAAGAACGGTTGCTGGTACAGCTTGACTTACTCCATTCAGGAGAGCAAAAGAAAGGCGAAAAACATACAACAATGGGTGTTCTCTAGTGGTTACCCACCTAACTACTAATCCGCCGGTACGTTGCTTAAATAGGGCTGAGCGAATGGGAAGCCTTGTTGTCTCTTGGCCGTTCACGCAAGTGCAAGGAAGGGGATACTCCGCTTTAACAAGAAGATAGTGGTTGGCAAGGTTGGCCTGAAGCAGGGAAGGAGCGGTATGTGTTAAGCTGGGTTGCACAGCTCACTGGACAACTCTTGGACTTTGCGGAAGAGCGTCATGCGGGCTCTAATCTTCGACGACGAGTTGTGACACGACCTCATCAACCCCTGCAGAGGTCGACTGCCAACCGCAAGCTGGATATTAGCTTTGTCGCCTCGGAGCAGTTCAGCGTCAACCAGGATGGACTGCAGTTTGTGTCTGCAGTGATTGATTTTCTTTGGATGAACAATGAGCAGCTAGGCTTCGATCCGACTATCCTTACAGTTGGGGACAAGCGGTACATCGAGATCGAGCGGGATAATTGCATCGAGCGCCTCGTCATCGACAAGCTAATAAAGCGCGTGGCATGTGTCGCTGGTCAAGCAACGACCTGCTGGAGAGTCCACCGTGACGACGAGTACAATACTCAGCTCGTAGTCAAAGACTCGTGGCAGTATCCAGAGCGGGAGGAAGAGGGTGAACTGCTACGCTGGGCGGCCGACAAGAATGTGGTGAACGTTGCAAGGTACTTCCATCACGAGACGGTCCGCTTTAATGATCGAGACAACGACATTCGTAGGGTACGCAAAGGTCTAGACATAACGAAAGTAGAGAACTATGCGCCTAGGAAGCCCATGTCGCCGCTGAGCACGACTGAACGTCGAGTTTCACGCAGAGATGGAAGCAGAAGCCTCGCTGGGCAGAAGCGATCATCAAGCTGCACAAATCCGTCTAGCAAACGCACTTGCTTAAGCTCTCCCACAAAACCTGCCACTGCGAACCGCATTCATCGCCGTGTCATCGTCCGTGACTACGGGAAACCTATTTTCAGCGCGAGCTCACAACGTCGTCTGCTCGTGGCATTTGAGCAATGTATCAATGGGTATGAGTCCTTATATACACAGGCGGGCATGCTCCAACGCGACACGAGAGGATCGTGTGGAAACTTCTGGAGCGCGTGGAAACTGGCACGCGCGCTTTCATGGCAATTGGAGTGCCTTTCGACGACGAACAGCACTCCTTCATGCACGACCTCGAATTATTCTTTTGGGTGCTCTTTTGGACCTGCATTCATTACGATGGACAGCAAGAGAGGGTTGTTCAGCGGTTTGACAAATGGAACTATCTCGACGCTGAAGAACTAGCTGGTTTAAAAAAGGGCGTTGTGGATGATGAACGAGACTTTCTCAAGACAGGGCGGAGATATTTCGCGTTGTACTACCAAGCATTGATTCCTTGTGTGAATAGGCTTCGTAGGAAGGTGTTTCCCAATGGTGAAAGATGGAGGGTCCCCAGCCAGCAACTGTACTTTGATATGAGGGAGATTCTACGTGCAGCTCAGGATGAGCTCAAGGAGTTAGAAGGATGAAAATATATTGTCACTCTTAGCAAGATAGCAGACCATATGGCGCGTGCACCGTAGAGCGCGAGCGTCGATTCTAGGCGGATGTGCACTTATTGTTCTAACTGAGAACATGATAACCGTGCGGTATCGTGCCAATGAGGATCAAGGCTGTGCAAGGTAAGCCATGCTCTTCACGCCGAATAAACGAGGAGATAGCCGTGCTCTAGAGAAAGCTTGCCAATATTGCTAGCAAAGGCGGTTGGCAGGGGTGGTCGTGGCAACGCGAACCGACCTGGAACTGCTATTGTTCAACAGTGCAAATTATAGCCAACCCCATAGTGCGTTGGAAGTGTCAGGGCGCAAATCGTACCGGTACCGGTAAAGTGACGCGGAGCAACTTAGGTTCCGCAACTATGTACACTGAATATGGCACAGCAGAGGCTTGGCATTTGGCGTCATTGTAACTCACATTCCGCAATTAGACACTTTAAGATCTAGTGTACACGTTGTTACGAAGAACAAATCGCTGCTGCTAGGCTCAAGTAAATCGTAGTTACTGTAAGCCGGGCGCGTACCAAGCACGTGTTCCGTTTCTGGCCAGTGGGGTTGCAAAGTGCAGCACTTGCATAGTTATCAACAAGAAAGACTGGGTTATACCTATACAATCATAAGCACCTGCTATAGCCTACCGAATTGCACACGAGAGCCTGGCTGCAAGAAACGCATCCTCTCCACGTTCTCCCTTGTCCTGTCATCTCTGCCCTCTCTTTCAGTATCGCGCTTATCCCTCAACTCGTTGTTTCGTTTAGGCATTCTCTGCCCCAGGACATTGAAGCATTCTTCGACATCTGTTAGAGTACACTTGATCAGTCGGTTCTCCTGCTCAAGCGCAGAGATTCTCCCAGCCTGCAAGGCTTTATCGCGCTCCAGCTCCAGTATCCTAGCCTTCATTGCAATAACTATGAAGTAAGTGTCAGCAATATCTCGAACAGCATTCTTGACTGACCTTGGATTCTGATGGCGAAGACTTCTCTGCTGATAAGGACGTGTCTACTGAGTGTACCTTGCTAGAGCTTAAGTTCACATTGCCAAGGCTGGCATCTGGTGCTGCAGATAGCTATCGCTCATATCAGCTGTCTGCACTGAATATCCCAAGTCTGATTCATCATACCAAGTCCTCATACAAGCTCAGGTCTTCCACCGTATCCTGTGAAAGTTTGGAAAAGTCAGATAGTGGCGAGCCTGAATCAATTGGCCCATAGGAGACGTAGTTGGCCATCGCAAACCCAGTGGCTGGTACAAACTTGCAACAAGTGACCATTCCTTTTGATATGCAGTTCAGACCTAGCCGCATTACCAACTTCGATCGGGCTGTCTGCGCCGTTCAGGGCACTATTGTTAGATTTAGGTGAAGGACTACGGAGCGTTAAGTAGAGGATCACAAGGAGCGTACAGCCCAGAGTGTGTGTATTGTACTTAAGTTCATTCACGCCACTTAACATCGGTGTGTAGATATGTCTAGCTGTTTTAATGCAAGCTATTTACTTACCGTAGTGGTGCTTGCGCGAATGCTTATGTTAGATGTAACAAGCCACTTTCGTCAAATCCCACAATGGTTCCCCAAAATTCCCCTACATGACCTAAGATTCCCCTACATGCCCCACGTATCCTTGCACAACCCCTAACAATATCTGCCCTTGCGTCCAGGGACTCAAAGCGCCAGAGAGTCATTATGGAAAGATGCATAAAAGCTCCTCTAGAACCTAAAGAGCTTAGCTCAGAGTGCGGTTAATCTTCCACTGTATTGTTGTTGACGGATGTGATTTCATAGTTGCCCATGTGAATTCATTACAATTTCTTTGTTGCACCAGCTTTGTTGACAATATGGACTTATTATGGCCTAGACATTGCGCTCATCGCACAAATATTGGGAGTGAGTTGATTTTTGTACGCCTGTAGTCCGCTCAGGGATCAAAGTTAACTATCATTTCCTAAGTGGCCGCCTTTTACTGCGATGTGGGACTGTGAGTGTTCATAAAATCCTAGGCAGTAATCAGCTAGATTCTCGCAGCTGGTTTGAAAGGTCAGTACGATGTTCCTTATGGAGCAACTCCAAGTCTGGAATTGGCAGTTGTCTGCCCCTCATAGCTCGTGACGTGGTACATAGGGTAGGAACATCTGTTGCTGGCGCAAGGCACTCGGCGGCAGTCTCAACCCTTGGTGGCAAGCGAAATCGACGTAGTGCAAACGTGCAAACAACTTTGGGTAGAAAGTCAGGTCACTGAGTCTAGGACTGCGCGATACTAACACAAGCAGCAGAAGCATCACAACTCGCATGTCCTACGGACTGTTAGCCCGCTCGAATAAACTTGCACATCGCAACAACAGCTGCCAAGTAGATATTCGCGTAGTACGGATGGCATCCACAGAATCGAAGTCGAAAACCTCGGAGCAGGACTTGGTACGCTTGCTGCACATAGTATGGTTGACTTCTCTGACACCCTGCAGCGTGACCGCTGGAAATCCCTCTCGGTGTCATCTAAGTTCTTTATTCAACACAAGAAGTAGCCGATCGACTATATATACGCAAAAAATCATAAGAGAAAAATTTATTTCTTGGAATGCGAGAACATCGCCTTTCAAGATAAGGGTGGAGAGGATGTATAGTCTACCACAGGCGATAGAGAGATTAGCCTTCCAGCTAATGTTGGAGTATATGTATACAAAAGAATATCAAGGGTGGAACAAGGGACAGCATATAAGTCCTTTACCATGGCAATGCCACGAGTAAATCCAATGCGAAGTTTGAGAACACCGCATCCAGCTTCCCCTAGATGCATCTCTAGGGTGACACAGTCTGTGACTTCTTGGGACGACCACTCTCTTTCCCACGACCGTAGTTAGCTTTTTTTTAATTGCGTCACAGATTCAAACATGGAACAATGAGGCAAGAGCAAATATGGGGTCGTCGCTTAAACAGATAAGATCAGCTAATTACGTCAGTTCGCTGCGCGAATGCCAGCTCCGCCATGCAACTTACGATTGCTAGCTACGACATCTGTGCTGTTCCACTGTTCCGGGGCTAGAAACATGATTCCCGCAAGCTCGCGTGCTTATCCGACACGGAAGTAGATGATGGCATCTTGGAAGTTGTTCCGCGGCACAAATGTTCCTACGCAATTTGTCTCATGTCGAGACTCTCCTGATAGGGAATCGAGAATCCGATCGCCCAACACCATACGAACGTTCTGAATGTCTGTGAGATGGTACTTATAGCCACCACTTTCTGCTGTTGTAACAGGTCTAGCAGATGGAGGGAATAAGATTATAATCAACCTCTCGTAATATAGACTCTTTTAGACCATTGCTGTCTGCAATCTCCTTAAACTTCAGCTTCACGCTTTGACAGAGTTTAATGCGTTCACCGCCCGTTTATATGCCGTAAAATTCGCTTGCTTTGAAATTCTCGCGGGCCTTGGGTGTAGCCAGAAGAATGAACGGCAGGAACAGATGCGGAGCGTTGTCAAGCATATCCACGTACGACCTCTGGACACGCTTTTGCTTGTAATATAACCAGACATTGCAACGTGCGCGTGAGGAATTAGATTGTAGCTGTTAAGGATACGTTGTGCAAAGGATGATAAGGTGGCTCTCAAGGATATCTAGTAGTCTGGTAGGGATACTTTGTTGTTGGAATATCTCAAAGAAGGTCTCGAGGACCGTGACATACAAGCCTTAGGGCATGATGCAGAGTACAGCTGGAAGGAGCGAACATGGTGAATGTTAGGGTATATCTCGCGGAGGCTACAACCGCTGAGAGGCTGATAATAGGAGTAACACAAGCGCTGGAAGAGCCGCGACGCCCATTAGGCCTTGCAACTAGCTGTTAGCTTGTCCTTGTCAGCACAAGGAATTGTGCTGCGAATAGCATCGCAGGTCCAAAGGGACAAGGACGCAATTGTGCCAACAAGTGCCTCCTGAGGTTCTGAGCGCTTGTCACATTTACAGCAAGAAGTGACAGACCTCAGAGTAACATGGTTAGCAATGTTCTATTTCATGGTTGGAGGTGAACCATCATATGGTCGGGATTTGGGGCTGGGGGTATAGCCATTGGGGTCTAACATTCGAGCAATCAACTAGTTGGACCACCCTGTATCCTATTGAGAGTACTTTCCTCGTCGTGTTGTTTTCGCTCCGCGCGACATGTGTAAATTCCATCAATTTTTTGTCTGTAATTGCTAGCTGATATTGTCCGTCAAAGTCTCAACCAGTCTAGCGATCTCCGCTGTCGCTCTTGCAGCGGTCTTCCTCTCTGATCTTCTGTAATCATTTCGTTTGAGTCCAGGTGCAACTGCGATAAACCATGAATCGAATGGAGTACAGTTGTAGACACGGATACCTGCCAATTCAATATACCAAGGAGCATAACCGCACGAAGCATTCCACAGGTGAGATCGTGTAGAATGTGCAAGTTTTCTGTCAACATTTCTAACCTTATTCATCTCTTCTTAGACATCATGTAGCTAGACTCGAGGCTATACGGGAAGAACCTGTCCTGGGATATACAATAGGATATCACGTGATCTGAGCCACGAGGTTACACTATACTATGCAGAGGTGCACACTTGCTGTAGACCTACAACGTCCACTGTAATCTTGCTTTGAGTATAATGTTTCGCAAGCAACAATACGGGCTCGGGATTGCCACGATACGCGTCACGGCCAGCGAATCACTCTCAGAAATTTCATTACGCGCCTGCACCTCGCTTCGGCCAGCAATTCCTCGGCTACCTGACACCAGCCATCATTTGGGGGCCAAAATGTGAGATGATGTCCAAGTTGGCACTGACCACCAACAAACCCCACTTGTCAGCCTCGAGTGTTCCACTCCTTCTCTCTCATGCATAATTCTGCACGTTAGTGTCCATGTATCTCTTACAGCAAGACACCAACGGGGATCTCACCTTGTCAGAGTTCTTTGGGAAGAAAATACCACCATATGCGATCCTCTTGCACACCTGGATAGCCACACATGAAGAGGTTATATTTAAGGAGATAGTGAAAGGCAGAGGCAAGGCAAAATCTGGATACAGGAAGCTGCATTTCACTACCAAGCAAGCCGTTAAAGATGGCTTGCGGTACTTCTGGGTGGATACCTGCTGCATTGATGAAGCGAGCAGCACAGAGCTTCAGGAAGCCATCAACTCCATGTTTCGATGGTACCAAAGGTCGAAGAGGTGTTATGCTTACCTTTCCGATGTATCAAGCGACACCAAGAGCAGTAATATAAGCGAACCTGGTCCAACCTTTCAACCCTCATGGAGAGAATCATTCTCGAACAGCCGCTGATTCACCCGGGGCTGGACTCTCCAAGAGCTCCTGGCCCCAAAGGCGGTTGAGTTCTACTCCAGAGAGGGAATAAAACTGGGAGACAAGGCGTCGCTATGTCTAGATATCCAAAAGGTCACGAAAATACCCCCCGACATTCTCCAAGGAAGCTACGCATACTTGCTGCAATACGATGTCGACGAGCGCCTGTCTTGGGCTACTGATCGGGAGACTACCCGCGAAGAAGACGCAGCCTACTCCTTGTTCGGGATGTTTGACCTGCACATGCCGCTGCTTTATGGTGAAAGACGAACAAAAGCATTCATCCGTCTCCACTTAGAACGCAAGCGCATATTAGAATATGAGAACTCGAACGGGTTGATTGCGAGATTGAAGCCCATTGAGTTTGAAAATTCAGCGCAACGCGAATCGCCAATGAAGCAAGGAGATACAGTGTCATTAAAAAGAACAGCGGCACAAGCGTTCGACACGGAGACCACCTACGTTACAAATAACCGTTCACCAGTTATGAAGGACAGATCAAGTTCTGATGCTGCCGGGGAACAAGACCCAACTACAGTTCATGAGGATGTGCCCACAAATTTGCCTCTTGTGAGCGTGCAAGAACTCGCAGCAACCGATATTTTCTCTAACAGCAAGACTGAGTTCGAAACTCTCCGAATTCCCCAATACGATCACGAGGAAACACATCCACAGCAGATGAAGATGTGGTGGGACGAGGCAGTCGCAAGAAATCTACAATCGACAGAGGGATACTCGGAAGTTTCCGTTCTGCTAGTGAAGTGGTATTTGCCTGTACACCCTCTTTACCTACGATGTCACGACCCCATTAGCCTGGGCACCTACATATCTCCTCGTCTTATGCACCAGCCTCCCGCTGACCCAAACCGCTGTCGTGTTCCGATCATCACCAGCATATACCCACTTCTCCACCTTCTCCAGCCAGCTCTCTTGTCCGAAAATGTCCACGGGCCCGGCCTCGAAGTGCCCGTCGTTATTACCTCCAGCCTCAACGCTCCCAAGATCAATAAGCTGCGCGTCGAATTCCTTACCAACATCAAACCCGCCCACTTTCTCCGAGAGTCCAACGACAGCCGCACCGCCGCGCGTCGCGAGGTACAGCGCCTCTTCGGTGCTGAGTTTCGCCTTGTCGCCGAGCGAGGATTGCAGTGCGAGATGTCGACTCGTCCAGATAGCGTGACGCACGTTTTCGAGAATGCTGGGGTGGAAACCGCCGCTCACATCTGTGCCGAGACCAATAGTGTGGCCTTCGTCAAGCAGCTCTCTTATCGGGGCGCAACCCGAGGTGATGGCGGTGTTGCTGCAGGGGCAGTGCGAGAGGCTTGATCCACGGGCGAGGATAGTTTTGCGCTCTTCGATGCTTAGGTGGATGGCGTGCGCGAGAATAGTCTTTGGTGTGAGAAGATTATGTGTGTCATATACGTCGGTGTAGCTCTTGCTAGAGGGAAAGAGCTCTTTCACGAGCTCGATCTCATTTTTGTTCTCGGAGATGTGGGTTTGGATGAAGGCGTCTTCGTCTTTTGCTAGTTTTCCGATCTCTGTGAGACACTCGGTTGTGCAGGAGGGCGCGAAGCGGGGCGTTACAACTGGGCGCACGATAGAGCCCTTGGGGTCGATGGACCGGATATAGTCGATGCTTGCTTTTGAGTCTGCAACGCTTTGCGATACGGATGCATCGCGGTAGTCTTCGGGCGAGAGATCAGAGTTCATGCAGACTCGTCCTATAAGCGCTCTTTGACCCCTTGCGAGACAGATATCAGCAAGCAAATTTGTTGCGGGAACGTGGATAGTGGCGTAGTAGGCCGCTGTTGTTGTACCGTGTGAGAGGGTCCGGGACACAAAGTTGCGATATACTGTTTCAGCGTGCTTCAGATCCTTGAACGACAATTCCATGGGAAATGTATACGTCTTCAACCAATTCAGGAGCGTCGTCTTCCCAAAGAGCCCGTTGTTGGGATGTTGAGGGGCGTGAGTGTGAGTGTCGATGAAGCCAGGAAAGAGGAATGCGTTCCCACTCAGATGGATGGGCGTAGCATCTTGCCATGAGTGCTTCTCTTGCACTGCTTCCAGGTCCAGCTCTTTCTCTACAAAGGCTATTATGCCGTTCTCATCAACCCCAACAGCCCCAGTTTCGCAGATATCGAGCTTTGTGAGCGAAATACTGTGGACGAAAGGTCCAAGATAGATGGTCTTTGAAATTGATGCAGAAGCTGACATGTTGATGAGGTGTACAGATGAGGCTGATGCGGATGCAGCGACGTTGAGTATTGTGTCAGACTCAGACCCCAGTATGTGGAACTTATAAAACCAGTGTCTTGCGTGTGACAGATGTCCAGGTGATTGGAAAACAAGGAGCAATCATCAGCTAACAGAATGTGTATAAAGCCAAACAGCCATCAATATGCTGAGGGTTGCGCAGTCCTTATCAATGCTGCTAGACAACCGCGGCATGGGTATGGTGGGGATTTGGTTGGCGGAGCTAGAGGCGGCTAGGGCCTCGCTAAGTCTAGTAAGCCCTACGTCGTTCGGAGGCCACCGAAGGATTCGGCCACCTCCACGTGCAGGAGAAGAAATAGATGATGACAGCACGTGAGTGGTTATAGCTTGATTGAGAATGTGCTGCGCCCTCAACCTGCACATGCTTTTTGTTTCTCTTGATTCGTAACATTCCTCTTTTCTCGGAAGACGGCAACGTGCGCCATAATGATCCCTTTTGATCCCACGCTAGGTATTCATGACCTCCAAACTCCAATCTACGTATACAAGATCAACTACTCAATGTGCGAGACACAAAAACCACATGATGCCGATCAGTTTCACAGACTGTAGTCATGGATACCTTGAGGGCCCTGATCGTTGTAGTCAGGACGGGTCATGTAACCCTTGCTCTGGCCCTGGTCGACGACAAAGATGACCTTCGCTGCAACCTGTGCACCAAGGAACGCTGACTCATCAAAACCAACATCCTTCCACTCGGGGAAGTACTCTGGAGGCTTCACCGTCTTAATTGATGTAGGCGTCTGACCGTGAGAAGAGTGTGAATTGTGCGACAGACTGGACATCAGAGGGTTGCCGCCATGGGGCATCAGTCCCTGGGATTGAGCAGTCGTGGCTGCAAACAACAGAGGGTTGACTCCTGAGCTACCGTGAGGGCCTAGCTGCGGTTGGGGCGTATTGGCACCTGTGCCAGCGGGTGTGGACATGTTCGAAGGGATCTCTGAAGTGAAGATCGTGGCTGATGAAGGCGAGATGAGGTATTTCGAGTTCAGTGTTTGGAGAAGCGCCTCCTTGAAGCCTGTGGCGCATTAGCAAGTATTGAGAAGATACAACGGTGTCACAAACCTCTTAGCCTGGATCCGTTACCGCAAATGATCAGCGAGTCCCAAAGCTCACTGCGCTTGTTGACTTCATCGACTGAAGAAATGGCGCGGTGGATTGCGTCTGCAATCTTCTCCATCGTACCATTGCTGCCTGCCAAGAACCGTTCTGTGCCGACCTCCATCTCTCGTCTGATGGCACCTCGTGATGTTGCAGAAGTAACTTCGCCGGCGCCGTTGGCTTCAGCTCCGTCTCCGTGCTCACCTTCTTGCGCCTTCTTGCTTGGGCCCTCGTCCAATGCAGCCTTTGCGTCTGCCATGCCTTGCGTGTCCAGGTTTGTGTTCTTCAGCGCGTCTAGGAGAGCGTGATCCTCGTACAGGAAGGTCGCCTTCTCTCGCTTGAAGTTCGGTAGCCTCACAGGCCTATTGGCCTCGGGCACCGGTGCGCCCTTTTTCTTTGCGTTCGATTTGTCTTGCTTCTCCTTCTCCTTCTTGGCGAGATATTCGTTCATCTTGCCGCCAGCAACGATGCTGGCGACATCAAGGACGCCTTCGTTCTCCGGCCCGTCTTCCTCGCCAACTTCCGTATCTGGCCCAGGGCCTCGTGGCGCATTGCCAATTGTAGCAGCAGCTGCAGGTCCAGAACCGATGGCACCCGTAGATGCTGCCGATGCTGGGTTTGTAATCACGTCTCCTTCTGTCTTTCCACTTCCTGGAAGTGGTATCCCGTCTGGCAAGATTTCGCAGATGGGGGACTTCTTCAGTTGCTCACACATGTCTCTGTTGAAGCCTTTCGACTTTAGCTTGTCGTGTAGCGCCTCAGTGAAGGCCTCACCGCCACTGCCTGACAGGGACACGATGCGGCCTTGTAGGTGTGGAATGAACTCGCTGACAGCCGTAACATCCGTCTTTCCCTTTCCAACATCCACAATCGTTGCAGTGTGTACTCCATAGGCCCATGTTGTCGCAAGCGCTGCGTCTATAAGACCAAACGCGGGTGTCTTGAACTTCTCGAAGAAGAATTGTGCGAGCTTCTCGTGCTCTCGAGGAGTCCACGAGGGTTGTGTAACGAGGAGAATCGTGGTGTGGAAGGGCGGATTGAGGGCATTGTAGACGTGGGAGATGAGAGCGAAGAAACACGGCCAGTCTGTGATCTTTCCGTCTTGAATGGGCCATATTGCACCCTCCTCAGAAACTCGATCTTCCTCCCATATGATCTCGTCTTCACCTTCTGCAGCGGGTTTTGCTTCTCCTTGTGCCTCGCCGTTCGCGCCAGGCTTGTCTTGTTTCCTCCTTATCTTGTAAGGCTCAAATTCTCCTTCTTTCTCCGCGGGAAACATGCGCGATCTTAGACGAACACGTGCGGGGGTGAACGACTCCGGTAAGCCAAGCTGAGCCAGAGTTGTCTCTGAGCCCGGCGCGATGACCTGTAGCACAACGTTAGCAGGTACGCAGTGAAGCGCATACAATGCGACGGTCATACTATGATCTGATCATCTTTGAAGGGTGGCATCTTGGGCCAATGGGTGTGTGACTTTCGGCGCGTTGCTCTCGATGGAAGCTCGCGCGCGCAACGCGAGCTTCCTTCCAACGGAAGCAACGCGCCAAGACGACCCACTTTTAATGGGGCAGTCACAAGCCACCAAGGACATTCAAGCAACAGCAAACGTGCCAGGAAACTGCAACAACATGGGTGCTGTTGCCCTGCACCACTACAGCAGATCTGGGAGGCGCTGCATTCAGTGATTTTTGTGCGTCCAGGGCTCTCACCCACATCAATCGTGATCATGGCAGCGTCCGGGGCTGTGACGTCTCTTGTAGACGCTTCCACAGCAGTCGCGGAACGAGCTCTACGAACACCAAGCGCTGTTCCAGAAGCTGTGCAGATTGCTTCAGGATCCACGTTCGGTCTGCTAGGACGTGTCATCCTGTCCATATTGGGCGTGCTTCCTAGCATCCTCTTTTGGCTGTCTTACACCCTCCCCACATGGCTCTTCACACTGTTCTCTACCACTCTGACTTTCACGATGAACTTCAGCTCTTTGTAAGTGGCTTTGCACATCCAATACATATGTCCGCCCGACTGACAAGCACCAGGGTTTTTGTCTTGGTGTTCGTGGTCTCTACCGTCACCTACTTTGTTAGGTATCGCTACTTGACCATGTACGCGAGACTGCCACCAGAACCACAACGTGAGGAACCCCAGGTCGAGGTCTTCCCTGAAAGTCAGGAGGGCGATAACAAAAGAGCGTTCTCGAATTACATGGACGAGTTTTTGAGTGCCATCAAGGTGTTCGGTTACTTAGAGCGTCCCGTCTTCCATGAGTTGACACGTACGATGCAGACTCGACGACTCTTCGCAGGCGAGACTATCTTGCTGGAAGAAGAGAAAGGGTTTTGTCTGGTCATGGATGGTTTGGTCCAGATCTTCGTCAAGTCAAAACGTGAGAACAGCGATTCTGACGAGGAGGCATCCTCGAACGAATCGCACCATCAGGGTCACAGTCAAGGTTACCAGTTACTGACGGAAGTCAAGAACGGTGCGCCGATGTCCTCGTTGTTTTCGATTTTGTCATTGTTCACGGAAGATATCAAGCTTCGTCACGATGAAGACGAGCCAGGACCGAGCATGCCCAGTACACCGCACACTGGAAGACCGAGACCGTCGATATCCCGCAACAGCAGTTTTGCGACAATGGATGACTCCAGACCACAGACCCCTCAGCATCTGCCTCGCACACAGACGGGGCATCGACGCGCTTCTTCTACATTGGCAAGTCCCACAGCAGGTGGTCGTTTACCAAGTGTGCCGCCACTTTCGCTTGATTTGGACGAACATGGCGAACGTGTCAAACACACCAAGCCCCGGCGATCACCATCAAGATCATCAAAACCCAAATCTGCGCACCCAGATATCGTCGCTCGAGCAGTCGTGGATACAACAATTGCCATCATACCCGCAACGGCTTTCCACCGATTGACACGTGTATACCCTAAATCAACAGCGCATATCGTTCAAGTCATTCTCACACGTCTTCAGCGAGTCACTCTGGCAACCAGTCATGCGTATCTCAGCTTGACCAAAGAGGTCCTTCGTACGGAGAAACTGATGAACAAGTATACGACGTATGATCTCCCTGGCTTCCTTCGTGATGCACCTTTGGAGAGGCTAAAGGAGAAGTTTGCGAAGGAGACAGACCGCCTCGGTGTCGACGAGGGTATGCAAGGGATCGCCCTACACAATCCGGGCGCCGGACGTCGCCGTCGATCAAGTACGTCGCTCAGGCGTGGCACAGCTGCGCAAGCCCGTGTTGCGGCGGCACGAGGAACGTCCATGGAAGTGAACAGCCAGATCGAAGCTAAGAAGAATTCACTGGAACCATCTTTTCGTAACGACCGCATCAGTGCGGGCGACCTCTTGACCAATACCCAGATGGCTCGTGGAGCGGGTCGATCAGGCCGTGGCAACAGCTTCTCCCAGCCATATCAACATGACAACCGACGAGAAGCTCGCACCCCACTTGATGCTGATAATTTCAACCCATTCACCTCGCCATTGGCACGGCCGACTATACAGCGACAAGAGTCCATCGATGAAGCTACCATCTTTAGACAGTCTGTTCTCGACTGCATGTTCAAAGCGATTGGCTTGACGGATCTAGAAAACCCAATGCCCAAGCCAGCTGTGTCGGTCGAGCAGTCGCCCAGAATGCTGTCATTCGACAACAAGCGCCAGAAGGCTGTGTTCACCAATGCATTCGGTTTGATGGACCCGTACGACGGCGGTGACACAGAATCAGTAGTGTCAGCCTCGAACCTGTCGAGCATCAGTGGTGTCAATCACCAAAATTTACTCGAAGAGATAGTCAACGATGTCGAGATTGTCTACTTCCCCAAGGATGCCGTTCTAGTCGAACAGGGCGAGCGGAATCCTGGATTGTATTACGTAGTAGATGGCTTTCTCGATGTCAGTGTGGCAATCGAAGATGACAGTTCGGAGTCTAATGTGCTGGGAACCTCTCCCACAGGAGCATCTCTCAGCCAGGAAGAGCTGTTCGGCGCGCCGCTGAAGCGAACGTCGACGAATAACTCCACACGTAACCTCGCCGAAAGTGTGCACAAGAAAAAGAAACCGCGCAAGAGCCTATTCATGACCAAACCAGGTGGATTGGCCGGCTATTTGGGTACCGTCTCTTCTAACAGGTCATTCGTCGATGTTACTGCAAAGACCGATGTATATGTAGGCTTTCTGCCACGAGCATCGATTGAGAGAATTGTCGAGAGGTATCCCGTTGTTCTACTGACGATGGCTAAGCGCCTGACTACACTCCTGCCGCGCCTTATTCAACACATTGACTTTGCACTGGAGTGGGTTCAAGTGAACGCCGGTCAGGTTATCTATAATCAAGGTGAGGATAGCGATGCAATCTACATCGTGCTCAACGGACGTCTACGAGCCATACAAGATGCCGAAAAGAGTGGTACGATGAAGGTCATTGGGGAGTACGGCCAAGGCGATAGCGTTGGTGAGCTCGAGGTGCTGACAGAGTCGGCACGCCCTGGGTCGCTACACGCCATTCGTGACACCGAGCTCGCCAAATTTCCAAAGACACTCTTTAACAGCCTTGCGTTGGAGCACCCCGGCATTACGATCAAGATCTCGAAAATCATTGCGTCTCGCATGCGGTCACTGATGGATGATCCGTTGCATGAACAAACAAAAGAGCGGGGTACCAAAGCAACACGGACCAATGTCTCTTCCACTGTCAACTTACGAACAATCGCCGTACTGCCTGTCACAGCTGGCATACCGGTTGTCGATTTTGCCAGTCGTCTCATGAACGCGCTCACTCAGATCGGCACCCCCCGAGGTGTAGTGTCGTTGAATCAGGCCGCTATTCTCAACCACCTTGGGCGACACGCCTTCAATCGCATGGGTAAGCTGAAGCTGTCGCAGTATCTGGCAGATCTTGAGGAGAAGTACGGGATGATACTCTACGTGGCCGACACTCCCGTCAAGTCGCCTTGGACGCAGACATGTATCAGCCAGGCAGACTGCATCCTGCTAGTTGGCCTCGCTGAGCTCTCACCCAACATCGGTGAATATGAGCGCTTCCTTCTGACGACAAAAACAACAGCTCGGAAGGAGCTTGTCATGCTCCACTCGGAACGCTACTGTCCTCCTGGACTGACGCGGAAGTGGTTGCGTAATCGCCCCTGGGTCAATGGAAGCCATCACCACATTCAAATGTCGTTCCGGGCTACACAAGAGCCTGTTCATCACGCAGGACGCCGTTTTGGAAACGCGTTGAAGCAGCGTGTACAAGTCATTCAAGCAGAGATCCAGAAGTATACGTCGAGAAGAGTGCGCCAAACACCGCTGTACTCCGCAGAGACGCCGTTCAAGGGTGACTTTCACCGACTCGCACGACGACTGTGTGGCAAGTCAGTCGGTCTTGTGCTGGGCGGAGGAGGTGCCCGAGGTATTTCACAGATCGGTATTATCAGGGCACTTGAAGAGGCAGGCATTCCCATCGATATCGTTGGAGGTACCAGTATTGGTGCGTTCATTGGTGCATTGTATGCCTGGGATGCAGATGTCGTTCCCATGTACGGACGCGCAAAGAAGTTCGCAGGCCGCATGGGCAGCATGTGGCGGTTCGCGCTCGACCTAACATACCCTTCTGCTTCTTACACGACCGGCCACGAGTTCAACCGCGGCATTTTCAAGACCTTCGGTAACTCCCAGATGGAGGACTCCTGGCTCGAATTCTACTGCAACACAACAAACATTAGCAAATCGCGCTCTGAGATCCACACCTCAGGCTACGTCTGGCGCTATGTGCGCGCCTCCATGTCACTCGCTGGCTTACTTCCACCGCTCTGCGACAATGGAAGCATGCTTCTCGACGGTGGCTACATCGACAACTTGACCGTCGCACACATGAAGAGCCTCGGCGCAGACGTGATCTTCGCCGTCGACGTCGGTAGTTTGGATGACGACACCCCACAGTCATTTGGAGATTCCCTGTCAGGTTTCTGGGCCACGTTCAATCGCTGGAACCCCTTCTCTGCATTCCCCAATCCGCCCACTTTATCCGAGATTCAGTCGCGTCTTGCCTACGTTTCCAGTATTGACGCGCTGGAGCGTGCAAAGACTACGCCAGGTTGCAGGTACATGCGGCCGCCGATCGATCCGTATGGCACACTCGACTTCGCGAAGTTCGAGGAGATATACGAAGTGGGGTATAAGTATGGTAAGGAGTTTTTGACGGGGCTGAAGGAGCAGGGTGTTCTGCCTATCACGGAGGAGACAGAGAAAGAGAAGGATTTAAGGAGGACCATGGCGCCGAGACGGTAAGCTAACGCACTGCACTGTGAACTCAGAGCTAACGGTGTGTAGAGCCTCTATCTAGAGTCGGCGGGCCGGGTGCTGCTCAGTCACCCTTGCCCTGCAATCTGGAGGGCTATTGAGGAAGATGGAGGTGCACTGGACAAATGGTAGGCACGATAGGTTTGAAGGGCTTGTACACACAATCTTTGTATCCGGTACAGAATAGGGACCGACAACGTGAGTCGACTCGCAACGCTTGGAGCGTACAACGTCTCACATGGGCGGACACGATCTACAGATGCGCATAAGAACCTGGCGAGGGACAAGGTGGACAAGAGCCAGCTGTAGTTCGGCGGGCAGGGCCTAGCAATTTGTTTCCTCTTGGCGCGAGAGGAGCACTGCGAAAATTGACTAGGGCTATGATGTTCAGCGTGTTGAACTGTTGTTCTGTGAAGGGGTCGCGTGCCCATGACATCTTATCAGTTTTCCATTACAGAAGTTCCAAAAGGCTCTTTGAATCTTTGGGGACTGCGAATACAGTTGCAGGGGCTGTCGGTGATACGGACGGAGTAGATGTGGTCTGTGCAAGGGAGTCTCCGGATCTCGCGACAATCTGGTGCGGGCTCGGGAGATGTGCGGTCCTTAGCGTGTTCTAGATCCGGATGCACCCCGAGCTGAGGACCTCCATGGATCCCGCGCAGATGACTCGTCTGGATGTACTGACTCTTTGGCTTTCGAACTGTAATCATGCTCGCGATGGGCGTTAGGTTCAGCTGCATGCCTTGATGGCAATATGACACGCGCAAGACACGAGCCACGATAGAAGAACAGGAGGCGACACCTCTTGTTGATCTGACCGACGTCCACACCCTGGTCCGCATCTGCAGCTAGCCATTGCTTTTCGCGCCTCCAGAACAGGTCGCTGGACAGGTCCAGACAAACGCGGGCGCCTGACTGCCGGCAAGAAAGCGGAGGCCCGGTTGACCCTATCATCACCTACAGCCCTATTTATCAGCCCCAAGTCAACACACAAGGCGAACAGCGCCCGCCAAGTTCTGAAGAAACACATGTCGACCACCGTCCTCAGGACGCGCAAGCTCAGCTCTTTTGTCAAGTGCGGCCGCTGCCGTCAGGACAGACAGAAGGTGCTACTCCCACATGTCGCGCGTCGTTTAGAGAGGTAGCGGTTACTTACTGCCGTCCAGTGTGAGCGACCAAACGCCTCGCAGCAATGCGTACGATGCGCAAAATTCAAGCATGATTGCGATGCTGGCCGCGCCTCAAACCGTGCACAGTATACCCAGACCCAGCGGACTCAGAAACCCGCTGTTCGTCGGCGCGCTGCGCACAGCGAGCGAACAGTCGTTGCTGCGCCTAGTACCACACAACATGAGCTCTTGGCGACGGGCTCGTTCCCAGATTATGAACAAGTCGCTGATTTCAAGATTGAAGAGTCATCCTCGTCGCGGACTTCCAGATCGGCTTCTTCTGAGCTCTCCATCCCGTGGTCGATACCGAGCGTGCAAGATGGGCTGCAGTTTCAATACGTACCCAGCATATATTCTGGCGGGGATCGCCACGGCTCAGCGTCCTCGGACCAATGGGCCTCGGACCCCATGGCTTTCAAGGATTCTCCTCCTTCGTCGGGTGACTATGGTTGGGAGACGGTGAGTTGGACCGAGTATGGGATGGGCCAGGAGATGGTCGAGTATCCAGGCAGCATGGGACAGCTCGAACTGAGTCCCGTTGGATCTGATTTTGCGGCTCTTGCTGCTTCGTTTTCGCCGGCTGAGCTCGCTGACATGCGGATGCTGTCCGGCCTGACGAGCCTACGTCCCTCTCGTCAGTTCGTGGCGAATCCTTTCGAAGAGCGTCTGGACAACCGCATCAACCGGCTGTGGGGGAACTACAAGACCTTCGCCAGCGCGAGCTTGAAAGGCCTCGGCGTGACGCCTTTGTTCGGTCGAACACTGTCAGAACTTTTCCGTCAGTCTCGACAGATGGCCGAGAACGTGAGTCCTGGACAATAGCCATCATCCTTGGAATCGCTGCTGACACAGCGTCTAGGGCGACGATCTGGTCGCAGACGTGCGCATGTGCTGTGGCGCTGCAGACGCATGCATGAACACGAAGCTGTCAGCGGAGACACGAGCACAGTACCTGTCAGCCTACACTCGCTACGATGCGCGCGCGAACGCCAAATACCGCCGCGCTGTCGATGAGTTCGCGCAGAAGATCGCTCAGGACGAGAGTCCAGACGTGCTGCCGCTCTACACGGCAACATTCCTGTACTATGCCGCAGGAGTAAGCTACCCAGAAGCCCTCGTCGTCTGAGCACACACACTAATCGCACTCTGCAGTCGTGCATGAGAGGAAGCGCAGACCTCGTCGCAGCGACATATGCGTTCAACTACTTCAACCAGTACACGGCGGGGTTCCCCATCCGCCTCGAGATCCTGCCTACGCCCGAGGGCACGTGGGCTGTAGATATGCTTGTAAGTTCACGTCCCGCGAGCGAGCAGGTGCCGTTCACTGACGTAAGGTAGCTTGCGAACAACAAGGCTGATCCGGGCATGCGGATCAACACGCTCATGTTCGCGCTGGGGCGGGCAAGGCTGCAGTTCGACCGCGAGGATGGACTGTGTTAGCGACGCCATAGGTGTGTGAGTCAGGGATGAATGGGGCTGTCGAGCAGCGGACGCGGAGCGGAGAAGAGAAGAGCGAGGACGAAGACGAGTGCTAGGTATATCCGCAAACAAAGACGAAGCAAGGAACCGTCAGCACACCAAAGACAGACGAGAAGCAAAGTCCGCTTGCCTTGTAGCTCAGCGCACGTGATCTGTTGCCGCACTTCGCTGTTCGCTGTTCGCTGTTCAATCCAGTCTAGCCTACCACAAGCAGCGCTCGAGCTCCAGCTCCAGCCCGCTACCAACACCATATACCACACATCGAGCGGCATGCGTGCTCGCGAGGCCCGGGCTCACGTAAGCGTCTCGATGACCCAGCCCATCAACGTCGCACAGCAGACATAGTGTCTGCATGCCTTGCACATAGGCTCGCGGATGTAAAGTACTCTCCCCGTCCCCAGCCGTTGATTGTCACGCTCAGGTGGCTTGTGTAGGCGTGAGGGCGTGGCACCGCCATTCCACGACCGTCTCTTACACTGTCCTCTGAGGGAACGCGATGCATCGGTATTTCAACGGTGGAGTGGAGGTGCGAATCGTGCTTCTCATTCTCACACGTTTCCTTTAAGCAACGCCTTGTGTGCCACGCAGTTTGCTGAGTGCCTGCTTGCTTGCTCTTTGGCCTGGGGGAGGGAGACGCGTTTGTGCGCTGTTGCATGGAGCGAGATAGCTCAGAGTGTGGTTTGGTGCTGTGGTGTGCGCACGACTGCTAGATGTACGCTCCGTTTCTCGTCTCCTGTCGGGTCACTGTGCCACCAAGGCCATGAAGGCTCGGTGATGCTCAAGTCCTCAATCCACTTCTCTCCTCCATCAATCGCTCTACGCACAATGCAACTGCAACATCCCCTAGATCAATGCCACACCCACATCTCCTCGACCACCCACTCCAGGTCGCCGTACGCGAGCCTGCCGCCCAGCCGCACAGTCTGTGTTCTGAACGTGACAGCGCAGGGCAGGAAAGCGTCGCCGGTGCGCGCCGTGCGCTTCCAGCCGTTTTGCCTGGTGCTGTGCTTCGCGCTCTGCGCCGCGGTGTCTGCCGTCTCGCCGTCCTCGCTGGTCTCGCCGTCCTCGCTGGACTCAAACTCCCACCGCTCCGTCGTGCACGCGTCGCCCTGCATCACAATCCCCTGGCAGAACCGACCAACCCGTATCACTACGCCGCGGACGCGCGCCGCCTCGTCGTCGCACCGGAGAAGCATACAGACCTTGTCCTCCGTTTGCGCGTCTCTGCCAGCTGAGGACGTAGACGTAGATGAAGACGGGGATGTAGACGTAGACCGCACTTCAACATCGCGCCACAGCTCCTCATACGTAGCAACCCGATCCAGAAGCGGATGAAACTTGCTCCCATGCTCCAGCCAGAACCCCCCTCCCAGCCTATACACATCGCCCTCATCGCCCGCAACCGACTGGCCGATGGGGACGCGCGAGTCCACCCAGTGCTCCCAGTTCGCGCGCGCATACGCGCCGAACACGGGGTGCGGCGACGGCGCCAGCACAGACGACGCGGCGCCCGCGAAGCCCCAGTCTAGCCGCGCCGTCTCGCCGGCGTTGGGAAGCGGTGTTTCCGCGGCGTGGAGCGGCTTGAGGTAGCGCAGGTCGACGAACGAGGCGCGGGGGGAGGTGAGGACGAGGGAGCTTGTTGGTTCGAAGGGGGTTGGTGGGAGGTTGAGGGGGTTTGTCGAGGGCAGGCCGGGGGTGTACGGGACGGGCGCGTGTGCTGGAAGTGGGTGTGGGAGGATGTAGATGTATTCCCTGCGGGAAATGTTTGCGCTTCCGGTGGGTGGCTGGGGAGGGGAAGAGGGCGGGAGAGGCGTGTAGGTCAGCTCTGAGACTGCGGGAGGGCTTGATGAGGATGCCATGACTGCGCCCGAGGAGGAGGTTGAGTGGGTTGAGGTGGTGGTGGAGACGAAGGCGATGGGCGTGGGCGGCGAAATGTGGAGCGTGTTTAGACGGAGAAGTGGAGTGAAGGCGGGAGTGGAGCTGGTATTGTGGAATCGTAACAAAGCGGCTTTGAATGTGCTGTCTTGTTATTGTCTTGATGTGCTCCAGTGTTCGACAGTAGTTCGCGTCGTATCCACTCTGTGCCGGTACGGGTTGAAGCAAGTCCAGGCGCTCGGCGCTCCGAAGAAATGTTTCCTTGAAAAATGCGCTGACAGGACAAGGTGAAAGCAAAAAACGGCCTGTCAGTACACTCAAACAATCGTGAACCTATGCTTTGATGGGATATCGATAACCGAATGGTTTGCTTCCAAAGTCCGGACTATATCCTAGCGAACGTATATACAATCAAAGTAGACAAGTTCGTTGACTGGTGACGGCGGTGATGCGGCAATGTCCAAGTAGGATTGCCAAAGTCGCAATAGTGGTACCCGCTTGTGGAGTCGCAGCAAACAGTGGCGTTGGACGCGCGGTCGGTTGTCCCGGTTGTCTCGATTGTCCCGGTTGTCTCGATTGTCCCGGTTGTCTCGATTGTCTCGATTGTC